TGGAGCATTTAATGTACGGATATTGTGTCAAATAGGGCAACAGGCTTCCTTAGCCAGAACTTTAGAAGCTAGCGCCATCGATTTATGCTGCGTCTCGGAAACGCGCATACAGGATCCTAGTAAAGTCATTAATCTGATTTCGCCTTGTACAAACAAAGAAGCAACTCGATTTACTCTTCGTGTATCCGGTAGCCCTGGTGCTTCTTCCCGGGGTCTCGCTGGTGTAGATATCGCATTAGGTCGTAGAGCTGAACAATCTCTCCTAGACTGGATCCCTGTACATAGTCGTTTGTGCGCCGTCCGACTGAACGGGACAGTAAGGACTCGGAAAGATAGGGACACCCGTTGTTGCCTCTTTGTCGTATCTGCCTATGCCCCCACTAACTGCAGTTCAGACGAGGTGAAAGACGAGTTTTACAGAAAGATTTCGGACCTCCTCCAAAACGTTAGGCGCTCGGATATAGTAATAATGGCTGGTGACTGGTGGATGCTCAAAAACTCATTCTGCCTGGCTCTGAGGGCGATTAGGGGCGGAGTCAGCTTAGACGTAGGCTGATAAAAGGCCTACACGCTTGCTGTCGATATAGTTCTATTTGGTGAAGACGCTGACAAAATACAAAGTCTTCTTGCTAACCTAAGCAACAGTGCAAACATGTTAAAGATGCGGTTTTCCACCTCGAAATGCAAACTGTTGCTCCAGGATTGCGATACATCAGCACCTGAGCTAGTGATAGGGAGTGAAGTAGTCGAACGTGTAGACCGCCTCACTTGTCTCGGCAGTCTCATCAGCGCTGATGGCTTAGTGACTGACGAAATTTCAGCACAGATACAGGAAGTTCGATTGGCTTTTGCCAACTTGCGTCACCTATGGCGCAGGGGCGATATCCGTTTGTTAACCAAAGGTCTAGTCTACTGTGCATCAGTTCGCTCCGTCCTACTGTATGAATGCGAAACATGGCTGGTGAGAGTAGAGGACATTCAGAAGTGCCTTGTTTTCGATTATAGATGTCTCCGAAGCATTGCTTGTGTATCATGGGGAAACCGAGTAAGCGATGATGTCGTTATGAAACAAGTACTAGGCATGCGTGGCAGATCAATAGATGAAGCAGTGAAACCACCAGTTGAGGTGGTTGGGACATGTGTTACATATGCCTAACCACCGACTGCCTCGACGAGCTTTGTTTTGTAGTGGAGTAGGTTGGAAGAAAGTTAGGGGCGGCCAGACCAAAACACGGCACAAATGCATGAAGTCACTGACAAGTGGACTGAGTCATGTTGGTGGACGAAGACTAACCTAGTTGGGGTCCTTGAGACGATAGTAGTCGATGGTTAGAGACCTTGAACGACATGGCTCAAAATCGTTCGCAATGGCGCCGGTGCATTTATGCTTTGTGTTCTCTCAAATCCTAATCTTCTGTATTCTTCAAGACCACTAGTTTTGACTTTCTAAACTTATCTCACTGAATCATACTTCTTGAATAATATCTTCTAATCCTAACCTATCTGATCACTTCTTAAACCTTTACTACCTCTACTACTATTGGATTTGAACTGACAATTACATCTCTGTGCTAATGTGGTATGGCAACATGAACTGATGTACTTACGTACGAAGTTCTACATTGCATCTGACTGACTGACTGACCAAGTATCTGACAGCAATACTGAGGACTGGTTGAATGTGAAGAGAGCGGATGGCAACGCCCCAAATCGCAAATGCTACTACTCAGGGACAGGGACCACGGACTAAATTCACTGATTTTATTTAATTCCAGTGCTAGAATGTAGCTTGCTAGAAGGTAGGGCCGCCTTTGTTAAAGAACAAAGGGATAAATACTTCTCAGTTTTCGGAATATGCAATACTTTTAAAATAATATGCCACCTTTTCAAAGGCCAGAACGTCTCGAAAGGGAAACTCTGTTCGATGAAGGTAACATTAGACTCGGCACAACTTTTCGAAGACATCTATCTCTCATTTCAGAGACCAAGGGTTGATTTGTCCTCCTCGATCCGCACCAGGCACGATAAACCGTCGTCGGTTCGAGCGGCAGCACGGAAAATACCAGGCACTCAAGAGCAGCCCACTATGGTAGTTCACGGTATAACCGAAATGGATGGTGGTAGCTTGGATGAAGATCATGTGCACGACGTGCAACAATGGCAGTGGCCTGCACATAACGATGTCTGTTTGCGATTTCAGGCTGCCTCGCCCGTCACATCTCACGCCCCTAAAGTCAACACGTCTCATGGCTGTTGAATTCTGAATTCAGGTAACCCAAGAGGGGAGCTTCAGGCTTAGCACAGCTCGGAGTACGATCTCTCCAGCCATGTAAAGTGTTGCGAAAGCCGACCTAGATCTGTGGGACAACAAAAGGGAGGCTGAAATAAGCTCACACAAATGACAGTTGGTCCCGATCAACAACCCTTGGGCCAAGACAAAAAGATAGTGGTTTTGCTGTTTGAACGCAGTGCACAGGCGAAAACTTGCAGAGGTCAGATCCCACAGAACTGGCCAACTCGGTTCAAACAACTTGTTAGAAAATCCGACAGGTGATGAGACGAACCACCAAGCGCCTCCAAAGCCGCGTTAGAGGACTAAGGGGTAAGCTGTTGATGGATCTGAATATCGTAATCCAAATTGAAACATGGCTATCCCTTGACATTTCAGGCGGCAAAGTGAACTTGCTTTGCATGGGAGATAGAGATTCTATATAAAAACAGCCATATTAAAGGTGAAAACTATATGGCACCCAAATGATTGAGGTAACGCGATCATGCTGGTGTTGTTTCCGCACAAATGGAACGAAATACGTGATTGCAGGGCTTTATCGACCTCCCTCAAGTACTAAGGCCCAGAAAGACACACTGAGGTAATACTGTAACTGCCACTCCTTGGGTTTGATCTAATACTCTTAGCTAGTGATTTCAACACCCCGTACCTCAGTCTCTGCAATCAGCGTACAACTGCCACTGGTTATTTCCGAAGACAACATACAGCAGCTGTTAGAAGCTCCTGGATTATTGAGCATGAATGCAGTGCCACCAGATGGATTTAGGCGGGAAAGTCCTCAAACCTGAAATATTTGTTAACAAATGATTATCTCCTGGTTGAGGATGTTCAAGTCCATACACCAGTAGAAAGTATTGACCATGGCACAGTCTTGTTTCGCATGGTCATAAACGAAGAACTCGCACAGCACGAAAACGGGTGGATTACGCGCTCATGAGAGAGAACATTCTTCATGACCCATAGAGGAGGCTGACAGCAGATGATCACTGGCAAACAATGAGAGACATCATCCAGAATGCTGTCATAAACAGTGTACCTCAGTCACACCACACATCCGGAAATAGGAGAACATGGGCTGGGTATATCACTAAAGCGCTTGCAACAGACTAGGAGGAGAGCCTAGTACGAGGGGAAGTTCCTTAGGAAAGATTCAGACCGTAGTTATTACTTGAGATTGAGAAACAGATGCAATACCTAAAATTGAGGTAATCGGAGACGCTTTCAGGAGAAGGTAGCTGTCCAAATACAGGCATACTTTGGCATCGCTTTGGGTTCATGACAAGGAGAAAACCCAAGAGTTAGGGTTTGTGTTCTACCCAAGCTCCGAATGGGAAAGACCTCACCAACCTAGAGATGACTAAGAACTTCAACACAAACTTCACCGATCAGTTAAACCAGGCATCCACATGTTCAGAGTATTATGCCAACCCAGTGCCAGCTAACGGCTTAGGGAATATCCGTATCACTCCGGACTTAGTACTAAGGAAACTGAAATCCTTACGCTCATGAAAGTTACCAGGTTGTGAAAATGTTTGCCCCATAGTCTTGGAACAATGTGCAGAAGTACTCTGTTCACCGATATGTGACCTGTTCAGGCATTCACTGGAGTCACACAAATTCCCAGATGAATGGAAACAAGCTACTCTCTCCAATCTTCAAAGGAGGAGATAGAAAGAACCCAGCCTCTTACAGACCAGTCGCATTACTACCAATACTATCAAAGGTTATGGAAGGGCTAGTGGACGAACAAATGAGGGAGTACATGTATAAGAATAAAATACTCTATGAAGCTCAAAATGGGTTTCAGAAAGGCAGGTCGTACGCATCTAATCTTCCGATGGCATGGGACAGTTGGACATCCTGTTTGGACCGTAAAATACCAGTGCCCTTAATATTACTTGACCTTGCGAAAGCCTTTGACACAGCACCCCACTCACGCCTAATCGCCAAGCTTGCGGAAATGGGGTTCACTGACCCACTCATATCTTGGCTCAGAAACTACCTTGAGAATAAAAAGTTACGCCCTAAGGTAAGTAAAGTGCACGCCAGCTGGCCAGTATCCCCAGCGTTCACAGTGTTGTTGCACCCCCTCTGCTTAAAGGAGACATAAATCTCTTGGATCGAGTGCGGATACGAGCACGCAAATGGGGGTAGGGTTGAAAAATAAGCCTCACGATGATAGACTACAGCCCTTAGGATCATTTCCACTGAGCGACCGGAGAATCAGAGGTGATCTGATTATGGCGTACAACATATTAAGCACGCCAAACCGTCCCAACATGTGCGCCTGGAATCGTACCGAAACAACGAGAATCGAGCGCAAAAAATTAATCGGTTTATAGAAGCTCGTGGAAAAGATATTGGATATTGGACATTGGACCAGTTGGTTTGTGACATTTTAACTTTCAAATGCTCGGCAACCTCGTCCAATGGAAGGTATCTCTGTAACGCACTCGAAACTTGACTCTACCAGCTAGTTTCGTTTATCATCTCACGCCGGTTTTATTTCTGGTTGCTGTCTATTTATCTCTCTATTGCATGTAAGTGCTTCCCATGTTTTTACTGAGTCGTCGGCTCATCTTTTTTTGTTCCTTCCAGATAATTTCACTCGTTGATCCTCACCCCCCACACACAAGCAACCTCTGAGCCAAACGCAAACCAACCAAAGGCTGAATTTACACCTCTTGTTCGTCGCCTTACATTAGTGTAAATGGCTATTGTACTGAGCTTGATTTTTCGCCTGGTTGCTCTAGCTTTCTTCGTTTTTGTCATCTATTATAGCTACCAATTGTTACATGGCGATAGCCCGTTTCAGTTGAAAGACTTCATATTTTTACTGCGTTTCCTCACGATTTTGACAATAGTAAGTAATTTAATTCATAAACTTACCTTTGTTTTAGTCTCTTCAGATCGTTTACTATGCTTTAGCAACTCCTTTACAGTACTACAAAATGTACAAAATGCATAGCTCACTGTATGCTCTCGTTTTTACAGCCAATCTAGTAAGCTGGTATTAAATCTATTGTATAGATTGTGTGTATTATGTTTTGGACCATTTTCATCACAGATAAGAACTTGTTGGTGAGGGATTCAGAAGTGAAACTTGCACGTTCGTGGTTTAACCATGCTTGTGTAGGTTTAGTTATAAGTTTTATGTTTAGCACACTGTGGGAACTTTCTTTATCATTATTGACGCTCTACTTTGGAGACCAACTATTGTTCCTATATCGAACGTACTTTTGCTTCTTCTAATGTACTTCGGCGGATACGTAATATAGTAAGTCTTACTTAGAGTTTTTTAGTTTTTGCGTGACAGTTTTTTAAGCAATGTATACACTGTATTTTGAGGCAAATATTTTAGAATCCAATGTTGTCTTTTGAGAGCACTGCACATTGCTTCATCTTTTCAAACTAATCATTTCATAGTTGAAGTGCAGACCGAGTATATGAGCGTCACAAAAATGACTATGATCTGATTAAGTCATAGTCAAAGTGCTAAATTACAGAAGTAAGATTTTTTTTAATTACCAGCCATGAAACTGCAAAATATGTACTGTTTTCCGTTTAGTCTACTTGGGCATTAAAATCACCAGTCACCATTGCTGCATTAGAGCGCCTAGCATTTTGAAGGTTGGAAGGTTCACTAAACAGTTAACCTCTTTCCTCAATTTAGCTGCAGTCAATCGGAGTGTAGGCAGAGACAACGAAAAGGCAACGCCAAATGTCTCTATCTTTCCGAGTTTTTACTGTCCCGTTTAGTCGGACAGCACACAAGCCTCTGTCTTCTGGAATCCAATGTAAAGAATCTGGTTCTACCTTTGGACCTAATGTCATACCTGCTCCAGAGAGGCGAAGGGTAGTGACAGTGGGGTGTACAGATACATGAAGCGTAAATCGTGACTTGTTTATATTGATTAGGTGAGTTCAAATAAATAACTGCTCGAATCCTGTATGCGCCTTTTGGAGACGCAGCATACATCGATGACACGAGATTCTAATCTTAGCTAAAGAAGTCTGTTATTCTATTTGGCACAAGGTTAAAACATTTTGAGACACTATGCTGATTTGTGGCAAATATCAAAACGTTCCACCAGTATTTCTACTTGAGTTCTGGCTAATACCAACACACCGTGAAGTAACACAGAGAATCAGAAAGACGAAAGTAAAAAAAACAAAATAACGCCGAAAATTGTTTATCGGTCCAAGTTGTCATTGAGAATAATGGAATTTGAATGGCAACAAAGCTCAAGGTTTACATCACTATCTTCAATCACACCCTACTCAACGTAACCAGATATAAACTAAAACATTCTTGTTGAAACTCAGAGCTGTATATAGGCTATAAACGAATGCACAAACGTCAGCATGTTTACTGTATTTAATCTACGTAAAGCACTATTACTAAGTTCCACTGTATACTCACCTTTCACTGTTTTTATAAAACGGTATCTCAATAAATTCGAATTTTCAAAACTGTAAGCAGAAAATAAACGTACTTTAGTCCTAATGATATTTGGATCTGCGAATAGTTTTCTAACATCGTATTCGTCCAATTCAAGGGGGTTTATTTACTTCATGTATGTTGCTTGTCTGAAATATGTTCATGTTCATTAAGCACTCTTTAAAATGACTTGAAGAATCTCAAGTTTACGTTATCACTTTCAGTGTGGAATACCTTATACGCATCCACAGTTTCTACCCTTATCCCATACTTGCGGTTTTCTCGGATATTGGACGATTTGGATTTTATTCGGCGATAATTATCGCTACTACTCTTTGTTTTGGAGTCGGTGTACTGATGGTTCGTTTTCTAAACAACACTCAGCGAAAAAAGTTAACTCCCAAAACACAACAGATAGCAAGAAAGGAGCCCATTTATGTTCAGAGTAAGTGTTGCTGTAATTTGATCCCTGTTTATTTATGATTGATCTCATACATATGATACTTTAATTTTTTAATCTTACCGTCTTTATGATCAGTTACTATTGTAGAAAAATTTTAGTTAACTCTATCCTGGTAGCCATCAATTGAAATATAGGTTCTCCAGTTGATATTTTTGGAAAATGTTTTATTACAGCAGTTGTTTTATCTGGAGATATGGCTTACACTGAGTTGCGAAACGTCATTGAGCCCCTGTGTGGCTATTGTCAATCCCATGTCCGAATAAAGCGCGGTGGTTAGACATGCTTTTAGCGACTCCATCCCGTAGAAGGCTGACCCGCTAAAAAAACGCTAACCAGAATAAATAATTCAAACCACTTAAACTCTGCCCTGTGAGTTAGAAGGTCTTCATTTAGAAGAGTTATGGCATCTCATGATAAAAGCTGAGTTTCTTCGGAAATCACGAGGCCGATGTCCCTTCTGACAACCAGAGCAACCATTCTTTTAGGAGCATGGGACGTTCGAACAATCCAGGAAACCGGGAGAGTCTTCCAATTTGCTGTATCAATGAAAAGATAAGACTTGGTGGTCCTTGGAATCAGCGGCCAAACCAAAACATGGCAGAAACCCATGAACTCATTGACTAGTGGACTTAACCATGTCGGTTATTGTCGACTACCTAGTTGGGGTCCGCGAGATAAGGACAAGAAACCCAGACTCATACTGACCGGTCACCAAAGTAACATTGTACGCCACTCGTCCTTTCAAGATCATGCAACTCACGTGTCATTGGTTTAGGGTTAAGGTTTTCCGTTTTACGTATGTGATTCCTCCGTATCCACCAGCTCTGTTAATGCGTTTCCTCTCACTTCTGTAAAGAACAACCACACCGTATGAAGTTAGTAGGATTTCTTTAGCACAGACTGTAAATATGTAGCCGCATTTCTGCCATACCACGACATTCGGGAGGTTCGGTGTTATCCCTTTTTGTGGCTCATACTGCTTCTGGTGCACATTTGTATCAGAATGTGTATTAAATAAATGAAATTAAAACGGCTGATCCCTTTTTTGATGGGAATTGGTCATAGAAATAGGCTTACCTCAATATCGATGGAAATGATGATGATGATGATATCCTAACCTTTCCACTCATGCAGCGACTTGGACGCCCTTATATCCCCCTCATTTGTTTTGTAGTCACTATTTGTCAGTATTAAAACCATCTGTTAATTAAATTTTTGTTGATAGCCCATCAATATTTGCATATCCTAAACTGATGTACACTTATTCTCTATGTCCTAGATTGTTTTCTTCCCAAACTTGTGACCTAACTTAGTATTCTAGCTGTTTCCTTTGTGTTTCATATCCTATCTATTCTTTTTGGCTATAGTTTATGTATTTATGTGTCTAAGTTATATATATATATATATATATATATATATATATATATATATATATATATATATGCATATACATATATAAAATTGGTTTTACAGGTAAACACAAAAAATCCAAGAGAATGGATTAAAACGCAAATGTCCAAGACATTCCTCTGGCTTACTCACTATCTTCTACCTTCTCTCTTCATTATTATCATTATTGAAACGACAGCTACAATTAACATTCTCAGGGGAAAATGAAATTTATTCACACTGCTATTCTGTTTCATTATCATCTCTATTTCTATTTTTTGATCGTCACTTTTCCCTTCATCTTGATAAAAATCTTTCATTCATCATTATTATTACGAACACTTTACATGTTCCCTTAGTCTACTGAAATATGCTATTATATTGTCTATTCTTTTTTTATGCAGAACTAATTGATGTTATTTGTGTAACATCTCTGTTTGTTCATATTGATGCTCATTTATCAGGTAATGTAAATACTGTTTCACATGTCTTGTTTAATCGTTGTTAATTAACTGTGGAAGTGGAGAAAGTGGATTAAGAAATTTGCAACTGATCGATCAGTGGTCTGTATCAATGTCATGTATGTCAAGTTTTTTCTGATCGAATTATATCGACCAAGTTACAATAATGTAGCTGCTAATTTAGGTAACTAGACATCACGTGCTCTGTGTTGAGATGCAAGTAAGTGATTGGAGAAGGTCGACCATGCTATTTGGCACTGATCAGTAGTGTATATCTGTAAACTTGAGAAAACTGATGCCCCGTATCAACCAACTTCACAGTCAGATGTTATCACTGAGCTATATAGGTCGCGATTAACCTGTAGGTCAGATGTAGTTAATATTGGTCGAATTCTGTCGATTGAGAAATGTAATCCTTGTGACGGTTAGCTAGCCCATGAGCTGGAGTGTCGAGCAAGAATGCTCAGTTTGACCTAATGTCAATAATTAACGTACCTGTACATAAATGTTGACTGACAGCACATAAAACTGTTCAAAATCCTATCTCCGATGAACAGGTGTATGCCTGTTTACGCTCGCTATACAATCAAAGCCTTCTTGTGCCGAAAACTTTATGAACGTATATTAGCCTGATAGGTTTGACGACTTCGTTTGCTTAACCTTGGAAAAGAAAGGTGACGTGATGTATTTTTTTGACACATTTAAAAAGATAAATAATAAACTGGGCAGTAAAGTCTCGGGAATATAGGGACACTCGCCGTTGCCTCTTCACCGTAGACGTAGGCTGATAAAAAGCCTACGTAACGACCGCGAACAGTGGTGGGTGGAGAAAGCGATAGAGATGGAAAAAGTAGCGGCGATAGGCAACAGTAGGTTTTACCTAATGATAATAAAGCTAAGAATATATATCAGGAGCAACTAGAAAGAGTTAAGCGGCCATTTAAGCGATTCCCATCCGTAGGCAGGTTGTAATGATATCAAAAAGACTGTGGAAACAGCAGTGATATCTACTGCTAAGGTAAACCATAAGGCTAGGATGAAGACGTGGATCTCAATAGCATCTACCTTACTAATCGATGCTCGAAAACTCATTCCGCCTGGCTCTGAGGGCGATTAGGAGCGGAGTCAGTTTAGACGTAGGCTGATAAAAGGCCTACGCAATGACCGCGTACAGTGGTGGGTGAAGAAAACAAGCGAGATGGAAAAGGCAGCGGCGATAGGTAACGATTTAGACTCATCAAGGAAACTAGTATTAGGAACGCAAATGTGAGTGAAACTATTTCGAAAAATGATGGTCTTATTATCCATTCTCAATCCAGAAGACTGGACCGATGGGCAGTACGCTTTAGGGATCAGCTCAGCTGGCCTCGAGACATTCTTCGGTTGCCCACGATCTCCAGTCGTCCTGAATGGCAAGTCGACGTAAGTCTCCCTAGTCTACGTGAAAATGAGAAAGCTATAGAAAATCGGAAGCGAGGTAGAGCAGCAGTTCCTGATAGGCTTACCACTGAAATTTTTAAGGACGGTGGTCCAGTTTTAACAGTTAGATTGACTGGGGACTGGGCGTAATACCATCTGACTGGTCTCAATACTTGATTGTCCCAATTTATAAGAAAGGACAAAAGTCTTCGTGCGACAATTACAGGGGAATAAGTCTAACTAATATAGTTTCTGAATTGTTAGTCTCGGTTATACTTAGACGCCTAAGTAGAGCTCGTGAAGCGCAGAATACAGACAACCAGGCTGGTTTTCGACCTGGACGTCGCTTTATCGACCAAATATTCACACTTAGACACCTCACAATAGTAGTATTTCTCGACACTAAAACGTCATTTGACTCTGGATCGTGAGGTTCTGTGGCGGTCCCTATCATTAAAAGTTATACCAAAGAATTACGAGGGTATGATCTAGACTATCTTTCCATGTTGATGTCTGCAGATACAGGTCTGATTTGTTCGGAAGATGGAGCTAGTAGAGACTGTTTACTGAGAAAAGGTGTGCGGAAAATAGAGCTTAGTCTAAAATATTTATTTAAACACACCATAAAATTAAGGAATCCCAGCGTCACAAAAGTAGGGCGAGTGGTTCGTTTGACCGGCAATCTTGACGATGGGCGATAACATGTTTCCACGTGCCTGTGGAGCAGGACATTTGGTTTGATAATGGCTCCTAACGATATCGCAGTATGTAACTATCCAAGGATGTTGATGTTACTTTCATGTTAGCTATGTCAATAACTCATGATTCTAAACTTGAAATGGTTTCACTTCCTGCCAAGAAATCATCTCAACGTAACTGCCCAAATCCGCTTGCAATAGGGAGTTCACTCGTAAATTCTTAGCATAAAATCGCTGTGCCTTCCTGATTATATTCTGTGGACGTGCATAGTTATTAAAAGTTTAGTTCTTTTAAAGACTTAGGAATAAAATACGGGAACTAAGTTTACTGACGGATGTAATAAATTCCGCGAGATTCGCAAAAAGGTGGCTCTTCTGAAGTTCGAGATCTGAACGGTTTATTAAATGATAGAAATTCGAAGTATGGTCAGAAAATTCAAAAACGTGGATACTATTAAAAGATCTTACAGGTTGCAGGCCCATTAGTGACAATGCCCAGCTTAATGCTTGTGACTTATTCAAGTCTTTGTACATCAGTTATACGACGTTACGTTGTCTATATCCTCAGATTTGAAGAGCAGATGTCTTCCCAATTTTTTCAAAAGTGATGTTCGAAAATGTCTCCTGATGTCATGAACATGAAATCCTAAACCATCTTTTCGAAAACTTGCAGACAGTCTTTGTCATCCGTTCTCAAGCATAATTAATAGATACTTATCAATTACTAAAAATATGAAGGAACATTAAAATATTCCGAATCCAAAGAATGCAGAATTTATGCCCATAGCGAATTCTGCTTGCACTTCCACCTGTGATGAAATAGTATATTAATCTATATTAGTTTGTTTATAAATCAAAAAGAAGTACCTTAGATATTGATGCTGTTCTGCATCATAAATGTTTAGTTTAGAAAAAAGTAAGAAATGTACTCGATGGGCTTTCCTTAACCAGACTGCTGCCTCAGACTCCTTTTGTAAATAGCTATTACAAACGAATTAATCTGCGTTAACGCTAATAGTTGGATAACCAACTATCTGTATTTATACTTTAGAATATAGCAGTATACTGTACTCAGAGGAAACCGTTCAATGTCCTTACTAACTCAGGATGTGTCACATGATGCTAGTCTTTACTCTTTTTAAGCATTATCTACCTTCTACGTAAAAGTGAATAACTGAGTTCAAGTCACTCAGTGAACTATGGTCTGTCACCAATTGTCTCATACTTATTCGTTCACTGTTAATTTTAACCTGAGACATGAACAGCGCTTAAACAACATTATGCAACCCTATGAAGTTTATACTATTTGAAATCCTATGATAACGGTTTAAATAGCACTTATCTTCATGTAATCTTGCTTCTGATATCTCTTCATCTTCTCATATTTTAATGATATCGAAGAAAATTTTCTGTTTGCTTTATTATATAAAAAGGCTGCATGATTTTGGCATAACTCGACATCGACTTTTACGACTTGAAAACTGTTACGATTTGAGCGTTATTATTTACTGAACACCATCACTCTTCCTCGGGCTTTTGAAAAAAGATTTTGCCGTGTTGTAGAGAATGCCGAAATTGGTTATCGAGGTTTGTGGTGGATCTTTTAAAGTCATAAGGGATATGATTGTAAATAGACATTTAAAAACTTTCAAACATTTGGGAAGTGTTGTCCTATCAGATATCCCTTCACATCTTTCTCATTGTATAATATATGCTAGAAAAATAAAACACAGACATACTAGGATTCATGCGCATCAGCAAATGTCTAGAAACTCTACAATATCCTACTTAACCAACATACTATACGACCAATAGACGGTTAGATCTGACCTAGTAAAAGACTTGCTTTCTTTAACATGTATTATAGATCCTTATCTAATAAAAAATTCATTTATATCCAGATAGCTTATTTACATATATCATGTATATGTATACGATGTGCGATGATTTTATTCTGTTTTACTACACGCATAATAGAGAACCAAACTGTTAATAATAATAATTCTAGTGAAATATCTTGTAACATTACGGTAGTTTTACCGTAGTCCGTGGTACGACAGAGGGATTACAATGCAACTTGAGAGTATACAGAAATGAAACTTTGTATGAAAAAAAAACTACGCAACAAAGAGATCCTGTTTACCTCCACACAAAGTGGTCTGAAGATTTAGTTTCGTCAATTTCGATGTTTTTACCGAGCAGTCTAATCGTGAAATTTTAACCCGAAACATGTAATAAATGGGGATAATTATTTGAGAATATGAGATTTATAAAGACATTCTCTAGCCCCCTACCGCACTGTACGCGTTTGCCACTATTCAGAAGCGTTATTTAGGGCGGCCGATGAAATGCTTTTAACTGGGCCCACAATACTGATGAATTCATTTCGCTAATATTAGTCCCACCCGGTGTGAAACCAATATGATTTTCAGAAACATGTAGATGGTGTAGGATTTCTGAGGGACTCGAAACCTGTGAGACATTGAGGAGCTTATGAGAATGTAACTTTCTTCGATTTATTTATGCGGTAGTTATTAGAATCCTAATGGTCGATACATAAAATATGTATGCTAAATGGACAATCACTCTCAGAGACCGACGAATTCTCAAGCGACCATAAGCTAGGCTTCACAGTGAATTCTCCTCTACCCGTTTACTAACGTGAAGGCTATATCGCCGAAAATTTTGTGCAGTAGATAGAAAGCTTCTATGCTGTAGCTAGATTGTATACAAGTCATAATCTCATGTTGATACGAATAAAAATCGAAAACGGCTCTCACTTTTATCGTTTTACAAATGATCACAGGAGCATGATCGTACCTCATAGATATTTAGAGTCTCAAATTTTGTTGTTATCGATTTCGAATGTGAAAATTACAGAATGAAAATAATCGCTATATACGATTCCGACATACGATAACGTATAATGAGCTGATCGAAACTTATAGGTCATCGTTAGTAAGTCAGTTACAACGCAGAACTTTGTACGTAAGTACATCAGTTCAGGTTGCCATACCACATCAGCACAGAGACGCAACTGTCAGTTCAAAACCAAGAGTGATAGCGATAGTAGAAGTATTAGCAGTAATGGAGAAGATTAGGGATCGAAGATATTATTCAAGAAGCATGATTCAGTGAGATAAGTTTAGAAAGTCAAAACTAGTGGTCTTGAAGAATACAGAAGATTAGGATTTGAGAGAACACAAAGCATAAATGCACCGGCGCCATTGCGAACGATTTTGAGCCATGTCGTTCAACGTCTCTAACCATCGACTACTATCGTCTCACGGACCCCAACTAGGTTAGTCTTCGTCCACCAACATGACTCAGTCCACTTGTCAGTGACTTCATGCATTTGTGCCGTGTTTTGGTCTGGCCGCCCCTAACTTTCTTCCAACCTACTCCACTACAAAACAAAGCTCGTCGAGGCAGTCGGTGGTTAGGCATATGTAACACATGTCCCAACCACCTCAACTGGTGGAGTTTCACTGCTTCATCTATTGATCTGCCACGCATGCCTAGTACTTGTTTCATAACGACATCATCGCTTACTCGGTTTCCCCATGATACACAAGCAATGCTTCGGAGACATCTATAATCGAAAACAAGGCACTTCTGAATGTCCTCTACTCTCACCAGCCATGTTTCGCATTCATACAGTAGGACGGAGCGAACTGATGCACAGTAGACTAGACCTTTGGTTAACAAACGGATATCGCCCCTGCGCCATAGGTGACGCAAGTTGGCAAAAGCCAATCGAACTTCCTGTATCTGTGCTGAAATTTCGTCAGTCACCAAGCCATCAGCGCTGATGAGACTGCCGAGACAAGTGAGGCGGTCTACACGTTCGACTACTTCACTCCCTATCACTAGCTCAGGTGCTGATGTATCGCAATCCTGGAGCAACAGTTTGCATTTCGAGGTGGAAAACCGCATCTTTAACATGTTTGCACTGTTGCTTAGGTTAGCAAGAAGACTTTGTATTTTGTCAGCGTCTTCACCAAATAGAACTATATCGACAGCAAGCGTGTCTCCTGGTAGAAGGTCCACTCTTGAAGAGTCAGACGAGGATAAGGTTATATCTAGCAGCAAGTCTATGACGAAGTTAACCAAGAATGGTGAGAGTGGACAGCCCTGATGCACATCACTTGAAGTAAAGAAATCCGTTGACGGTTCGCCGTAAGCTCTTACTCGATAAGTGGTGTTCGAGTATAGATCTAGTAGAGGGTTAATGTACTTCTTTGGTATACCTTTTAATGATAGGGACTGCCACAGAACCTCACGATCGGGAGAGTCAAATGACGTTTTAATGTCTAGAAATACTACTATTGTGGGGCGTCTAGTGTAATTGTTCTAAGACCTGACGTAGTGTGAATATTTGGTCTATAAAGCGACGTCCTGGTCGAAAACCAGCCTGGTTTTCTGTATTCTGCGCTTCACGAGCTTTCGTTAAGCGGCAGATTATTTCTGAGGCCAATATTTTGGATACCATATCAGTTAGATTCATTCCTCAGTGTTAGTCACAAGAGTACACTGGTCCTTTCCTATCAATTGGGAGTATTAGCAATTAGGACCAGATGGATTGGAGAACGCGCAGTTGCAAGATTCTGCCTAGGATTTCAGTTGATTTAAATGGAACCCAGCGTTGTTTTATCAAGTTAGTTTTTGACGGGATAAAGTCGCCAACCCCATGCCCAAACCTCCTCCTTTATCCGGGCTTGCGACCGGCAGTAGTCTAGAAAGTTCTACTGGCTAAGGAGGAAATCAGGAACAAGGGGATAGGACACACACTACGAAAAGCACCTAACTGCGTCACGAGACAAGCCCTTACATGGAACCCTCAAGGCAAAAGGAAGAGAGGAAGGCCAAGGAACACATTACGCCGAGAAATAGAGAAAGATATGAGAGGAATGAACAAACATTGGACAGAACTGGAGAGGGAAGTCCAGGATATAGTTATTTGGAGAAAACTGGTGGGCGGCCTATGCTCCATTGGGGGTAACAGGCGTAAGCAAGTAACTGGAACCAAAATCAAATGTCAAACAACACCAAAGTCAGAATTTTCAATACGAACGTTAAATTAGTTCTTTTGTATGGAACGGAAAGTTGGGGAACTACGAAAGTCACCATCTGGAAGAAACATTAATTATTTATAAGTGTTTAGGCAAAATATTTCACATCCACTGGTCAGACACCATCAGCATTCACCGGCTGTGGAAGACTGCGAGAACACATTCGACAGCGTGGATAGGATGACACTATGGAGGTATCTTGAACACTGCTATGTGCCTGAGAAGACAGTCAACATCGTACGCAATTTTCACAATGGATTAAACTGCAAAATCTTACATGGAGGACAGCTCATGGACTCGTTCTGAGTGAAGAACGGTGTCAGACAAGGTTGATAGCGTGTCGAAATGGATCAAAAATAAAATGAATGAGAAATGAACTTTAAGATTTAAAGGAAGAAAACGAATGCATAAAGGAAAATGTGAATTAGCGCTTCAAAAAAGTGGTTACGATAATTAGGTGGAACACAATCAGTTATTCTGCATCTACCAAGACTCAAACAAACTGTTAATGGCCACTTGGTCTGACCCATCGAAGTAAGCGATGATTGGGATCAGTTTGAGAACCACAAGTAATCAAGATGTAGAACAGTAGAAATAAATGACATTGATATTGCGTATATATATATATATATATATATATATATTAAAACTTCATTATAGCAACCATAAATATAACAAAAAATGGATGAATGCAGCAAGCAGATCGACAAAAATAAGCCCAAAAACGTAATATGACAGACAATATCTTTTTCGTTGACACCATCATTTGCACAGCTATCGTGCCCACCTTTATCAGCTGTTTGAAAACATTTCTTTATCACAGTTTTTTGATTGTTCAACAATACCTATATTTGCTTGAGTACATTCTTCTGGTGATAACACTTCGATATCTGGATCCTCTTCATTGTCTAATACAAAATCATTTCCCGCCTCTTCCTCTCCTTCTGCCTCTATTTCATTATCATTTTCAGTATCAGTACTTGATATTTCACTACTATCACAATCATCATCTGATGCAGCTTCTTCTTGTTCTTTAAGAATTTGTACAATTCTTTCAGGAAGTGGACGAACGGTGAACTATAAAATATTGTAATCACAATAATAAGTTATAAATACCGATATTAAGGAATTATTTGCAACGCTTACATAATGTATAATAAAACACACATGACAAAAAGACTTCAGTCAAGAATTAAATTATTTACCACTGTTACTCCCAATGGAGCATAGGCTTCCGATCAGCATTTTCCAACCTAATCTGTCCTGCACCTTCCTTTCCAGTCCTACCCAATTGCTGTTCTTTCTTTTCGTGTTTGCTTCCATTTCTCGGTGCAGTGTGTGCTACTTGGTCTTCCTTTTTTCTTTTGGCCTTGAGGACTTGTGACGCAGTGGGATGATTTCCTCGATGTGTCCCACCCACATCTAATGCTTCTTCCTGATCTGGAATCTGATTTGTTGTCTCCCGCAGCAGGTTGCAGCTGATGGTGTCGGACCAGTGGATCTGAAGTATTTTCCCTAGACAACTGTTAATAAACACTTGTATCTTCCGGATGATGGCTTTCGTGGTACTCCAACTTTCCACTCCATACAAAAGAACTGCCCTAACGTTCGTATTGAAAATTCTGACTTTGGTGCTGGTTGACAGTTGGTTTGGGTTCCAGATGTTCTTCAATCTTAGAAATATTGCCCCTGCTTTGTCGATCCACAGCTTCATATACGCATCTGATCCAACTCGCTCATCAATGAGCTTGCCCAGATATGTAGAGGTCTTCACATTTCCCAATGCTTCTCCATCAAGAGTGATTTGGCTGGTGCACGTTGTGTTGTATTGGAGAATCTAGCTTTTCCCTATATGTATGTCGAGACCTACTGCTGCTGCACTGATTGTCTTCTCCGAGGTTTGTTATTGCGTATGCGATAAAAGAACAAGATCATCTGCGAAGTTCAAATCGTCCAGCTGCATCCTGGCTGTCCACTGTATCCCATGCTCCCCTCTAGATGTTGACGTCTTCGTAATCCAATCGATCACCAGGAGGTGAGAGTAAGTAACCTTGTCTGACACCGTTCTTCACTCAGAACGAGTCCATGAGCTGTCCTCCATGTAAGATTTTGCAGTTTAATCCATTGCGAAAATTGCGTACGATGTTGACTGTCTTCTCAGGCAGATAGCAGTGTTAAAGATACCTCCATAGTGTCATCCTATCCACGCTGTCGAATGTTCTCTCACAGTCAATGAAGAGTGGTGAATTCCATTCAATTGATTGTTCCACAATCACCCACAATGTCGTGATTTGGCCAATATATGATCGTTCCTTACGGAATCCAGCCTATTCATCTCGAAGTTGTGTGATTACGGAGTTCTTCATTCTGTTTAACAATATCCTGTTGAAGACATTTCCTGGTATTAAGAGAAAAGTGGTGCCTCTGTAGTTATCCCATATACTGAGGTCGCCTTTCTTTGGTATCTGGATGAGGTGTTCTCCTTCGCAGTCTGTCGATACTTGTTCTTCATTCAAAATCTTGCTGAAAGGAATGTGGAGTATTTTTGCAGATACTGTTACGTCTGATTTAATTGCCTCTGGTGGAACGTTGTCTGGTCTCGCTGCTTTGTCGCTCTTGATTTGCCTGGTGGCCATGCAGATCTCTTCAATTGTTGATGCGCTAACATTTGTTGGGAGGCCCGTGGGTAGTGTTTTGATGTTGGGTGGGTTCAGAAGGGCTGGTTGATTCAGGAGTTCATCAAAGTACTTCACTCACCTGTTTTGCTGTTATTCGATGTTGGCGTATACTTTACTTTTCCTGCTTTTCATTGGTCTTTCTGGTTTACCGTAATGCCCAGCCAGCTTTGTTGTATCACACATTTGTCTCATGTTCCTTCCTCTTACAGCCTTTTCCACAGTCATTGCTAGATCTTGCACAAAATTACGTTTTTCCACTCTGATGCTCCTCTTTACTTGCTTGATTGCTTCTGTGAATTCAGCTGCTGCCTTGGCTTTCTCTGCTCTTGTTCGGTTGATATTGATTCCTGTTCCTCCTTTCTTGAATCTTATCCAGTGTATCAACAGAGATCCATTCCTTGCGATCGAGATTCTTGTGGGTCACAACCTCATGACATCCTGAAGTGATTGCTCCCTTGATCTCTTTTCCAGTTGTTCTCCATGGCAGTTTCCTCCCAATAGAGTAGATCTTGAGAAGCCCGGAACCTATTGCTGAGGGTTATCTTGAATTCGTTGAGCTTTCCAATATCCAGAAGGCCCGTATTAAACTTTTGTGATGTTGTCCGCCCCCTTGTCCAGTGCTTCTTGAGTTTCAGTTTCATTTTGGCAACCAACAAGTGGTGATCTGAGACTATCCTCTCTTGGTTCCCACGTCCTGCATAGTCCTTCTGAACCTTTTATTGATGCAGATCTGGTCAAATTGGTCTTGTGTAGCGTGATCCGATGAAATCCATGCGGCTTTGTGTAAGTGTTTGTATGGGGGATGCGGTGCCACATACTGCCGGTTTGTTGAAGAAATGTATGCTTGCAACTCTCACCGTTTTCGGTCCTTTCTCTCAGTCCATGTCATCCCATGATGTCTTCATACCCAGAGATATCCATGCCAACCTTGGCATTTAGGTCACCCATTAGAATGGTCTAATCCTTTGATGAGCATCTGTCGACAATTGACCGCAGCCTGTCGTAGAATTGATCGCTAACATCTTCATTCTAGTTATTGGTAGGTGCATAGAATTGGGTCTTGTTCATTGCAATCCCCTCTTTCTTTGTTTTGATCGGTGCTTTGTCGACCCTGAGCTCATGATGTTCCCATCCTATCAGCGGCTTTCGTGCTGCTTTGGACAGCATTAGTGCAACTCCTTGTGTGTGTGAGGCATTTTCTTCTTCATGGCCGGAGTATAACAGCAGCTCTCTTGAAGGTAGTCTTAGTTGTCCAAATATGTATCTAATGTGTTTCACTGATTCCAAGGACCACCAAGTCTTATCTTTTCATTTATACAGCAAATTGGAAGACTCTCCCGGTCTCCCGGATTGTTCGAACGTCCCATGCTCCTAAAAGAATGGTTGCTCTGGTTGTCAGAAGGGACATCGGCCTCGTGATTTCCGAAGAAACTCAGCTGTTATCATGAGACGTCTTAAAACTTCTAAATGAAGACCTTCTAACTCACAGGGCAGAGTTTAAGTGGTTTGAATTATTTATTCTGGTTAGCGTTTTTTTAGCGGGTCAGCCTTCTACGAGATGGGATCGCGAATCTCATGCCTTATGCTACTTGCTTACCTGGGCTTGGGACCGACAATAGCCTCAAAGGGGGTCCATTAATATGAATACTCTATCAACAACTGAGTAATGTTCAGAATTATCTTTTTGTACCTTTTTATGGGTTTATAGTAATAATACCAATAACATTAATAGAATTTAGCATATATTATATGTTCAGTACGTTATAGAATATTACAGTGCGTCTCCCTTATAAGATTAGTAATCGGTGGTTGGAAGCAAGTAGTTCCAGAATTAACATCTAAATAGGGTTCATTCATTTCTCAGCAGATCGCCAGACACCGAGATGTTTCGGATTTTACATTTTGTACTAGCTGAAAAAACCTTTATATAAGCACCGAAATAAATTACGCGATTAACAGATATAATTGATTAGTTAATGCAAGCAGAAAAAGGTAACTTGTTGAAATACTATACGTTGGGAATAATGTGACCCAAATATTCAAGCATGTTAACGTTTTCAGTGTTTAACACGACAATTCAACTATTATTGTGTAAATAGAGGGTATTAGAACTGCGTCTACGAGTGTGATTCTATGAGAGATTACATCTTAAATCTAACATTCATAATTTTGTGTTTCGATCTCAAGATGTCGTGTCGTGGTTCATACACATGTTAATAGTAGACAGTTAAGGAAAACGTGTAAATAATTGGAAAATAGTGTCATAACATTTATCACAGTTAAGTATCATAATTGTTTGGTTTCATGAAGATAATTATCATATCGTGTCAGAATACACTGTTAAAACTGTATGTGATGAAACAAAGTAATAACAATATAAGATGTTTAACAAAGGTTCTATGTATCAAGTATTTATAGATTTTCAGTTGTCTAGTTGTTTTCAACAAAAAAGTAGAATTATAAGCATTTTCGATCAGTGAGTCAGAAATAATACTTTACGTAAAAAATGAATTAAGGTGCAGATTATTAACGTTTTGATCACTTTGACTGTTGAACTTTATGTAGTGGGAACGTTTCACTAAATAGGATTAACAGTTGTGAAATGATGGAGAAAATCTGTGACCCAGTAGCATTTTCGTTACAGACAAGTGAGGTTGTTGACTGAGATAAGATTTAGAAACAACAATGATACAAGGTAAAATAATGGGTTCAACCAAATTTCGCTGTTTTCTTTTCAATAGAAAAGGCTTTGACTATATATATATATATCAAATTTATTTGGTAAGTTTTCTTAGGATGATGGATTTAGAAGTAGCCTTCGATTGTCTTTTAAGAAATCACCAGAAGGTAATTTAAGAAAAATAACCCATTAATACAGTAAAAAATACAGAAATTCAATATGATATATCAATATTATACAACAAAAGAAACAAAGACATACACGAATATATTCGGTGAAATCACAATCCATGTAACTATCCGAACGAACAGAGAGAATGTACAAATATTGACCAGGGATAGGCGGTGCCACGAATCTAAGTTGTAACTATTAGAAATTATCATTAGAAAAACAGTGTTTACAGTGGATATATATATATTTTGTAAACTAACAGCACGAAATATTAAGCACTCGTATATGAAATCACGAATCGATCAAAATTAGACAACCACGGAAAAAATGGAAGCCGTCTTGGTGTAGGCATGGATCTCTCCAGTAGTGCACATTCAAGCCACCGAATCAGGAATAAAATGCAGGGCTTTTGAAAACTGCTCAATATCGTGAAGTGACTTTCGTTAGTTAAATGCCGGTTAAACGATATAGCGTCGGAGCGTTCTCGCCTGACACCAAATGTTTAAGCTATGGTATCCGGGTTTAAGGTCATGGATGATTAGTGTCGACGAGTCGCAAACTAGTGAAAAAGCGCCATGCAGTGATACCAGGTTCAAAGACACCTATGATCTGATACATGCCAATCGATGACCACGAACATTGATAGATAGCGAAGGTAAGAGAGATGAAAAAAGCAGCACGATCGGTAACAGTAGGCAACTGTTCACACTTATCAGTCAGTCAGGTACAAAGTAGAACTTCGTACGTAAGTACATCAGTACAGGTTCCCACAGCAAATGAGCACACAGATGCAATTATCAATATTAAATCCCATGGTGACAGAGATAGAGTAATGGAGACGATTAGAAATTGAAGATATTCTTAAAGTAGTACAATTCAATAAGTTTAGAAAGAGAAAGGTAGAGTTGTTGATAAATCAAGAAGATTACGATTTGAGAGAACACAACGGGTGTATGTACCTGCGCCACTGCAAACGATTCTGAGTCATGTCGTTCAAGGTTTCTAACTACCCGTGACTTTCCTCTCAAGGACCACAACCAGGTAGCCTACATCTACCAAAATGACTCAGTTCATTTGTCAGTGACTTCATGCACTTCAGCCATGTTCTGGTTTGGCTGCTCTTCACGAGCTCTAGTGAGGTGTCTACGGATTATCGAGGCTAACAATTTAAAAAATATATTAGTTCAAATGATTCCCCTGTGATTGTCATTAGAACACTTTTGTCCTTTCTTATAAATTGGATCAATCAGCGATTGAGACCAGTCGGAGAAGATTACGTCCAGTTACGAGATTCTACCTAAGATCTCAATATATCTAGCTGCTAAAACTGGACCACCGTCCTTAAATATCACGGGAGTCAATGTATCAGGTTCCGATGCTTTACCTCGCTTCAGATTTCCCATCCCTTTCTCAACTACGTAAAGACTAGGCGGACCTATATCGATGTGCAATTCAGGATGATTGGAGATCGTGAGTGTCGTAAGTATGGCTGAAGGCCAGTTAAACTGATCCCTGAAGTGTTATGCCCATCAATCCAACCTCCTGGATTGAGAATGAATCAGAGAAACATTATTTAGAAAACTACCTACCTACTTGAGCATTGAAGTCACCAGCCATTATTAATATATCAAAGAGCTTAACTTTTCGGAGGTTAGAGATGTTTCTATAAAACTCATCATTTATCTCATCTGAACTGCAGTCAGTGGGAGCGTAGGCAGATACGATGAAGAGGCAATGGCGAGTGTCCCTACCTTTACGAGTCCTTACTGTCCCGTTTAGTCGGACAGCGCACAAGCGACTATCTACTGGGATCCAGTCTAGGAGAGATTGTTCAGCTCTACGACTCAATGCTATGTCTACGCCAGCAAGACCCATGGGAGCAGCATAAGTGCTTCCAGATACACGAACAGTAAATCGAGCTGCTTCTTCATTTTGACAATGTAAAATCAGATTAATAATTTTACTAGGATGCTGTATGTGCATTTCCAAGACGCAGCATACATCGATTGCGCGAGATTCTAAAGTCCTAGCTAATGAGTCCTGTTGACCTGTTTGACCGCGGAGCACAAGGGACAACTGTTTGAGGTCGGTCACGCACGGCCTTTTTATGGGTAGTATTTAAAGTGTTAGCTCCGTTCTTGTTAATAAGCCCTTACCGACGGAGACAGAAATCCGTGCAGTAGGGTGAGGTGTGAGATATTTAAGGTCGACCCGTTCTAACCCTTCCTTCCTTGTGAGAAGGCAGCATCGCTGCAGATGCTGGTTGTCCAAGGGAAACACCTTACTGCTGTCACACCCCTCTGCAGTCAGCAGTACGACTTCGCCCTCAGACCTTGGGTAGCTGCTTTTAGTCTCATCGTTCTCCAATCGACCTGCCTGGCATGGTAGGACCTGCAGGAACATGTGTTCCAGCCAGTATAGCTCGGTTGGGTTATCACGATAGGCAAGCCCGACCACCACGTCAACGTAGCAGCTTCCATCGGGGCTGACTGCAGTAAGGTGTTTCCCTTGGACAACCAGCATCTGCAGCGATGCTGCCTTCTCACAAGGAAGGAAGGGTTAGAAAAGTCGGCCCTAAAAATGTCACACCTCACCCTACCTCACGGATTTCCGTCTCCTTGGGTAAGGGTGCCCACTAAGAACCTTTAAGAACGGAGCTAATCCTCTAAATACCTGTCATAAAAAGGCCGTGCGTGACCGGCCTCAAGCAGTTGTCCCTCGGACTCTGCGGTCACGCACCAACACTAATCCATCTTCCTTTTCAGGTCCCTCAAGAAACAACCTTCCACGGTGTGGGCAGCCGGGAAGTGATAACCGCCCTCATACCTGCAACAGTACACGAGACCAAATTGTTCAAAATCAAATCCTTCCTACATTCCCTAATACCTCTCTTATCTCCATGACTAACTCTTCTCACATTCATTTATTACAGTGCACAGCTAATGCAAACGATGCGAGTTTGCGAAACGTCGTTCCTGGTCTCCTTAAACCCCGTTCCAAACTACATGTTGGAGCATTCAATGTACGGACATTGTGTCGAATAGGGCAACAGGCATCATTAGCTAGGACTTCAGAATCTCGTGCCATCGATTTATGCTGCGTCTCGGAAACGCGCATACAGGATCCTAGTAAAGTCATTAATCTGATTTCGCCTGAAACACACATACAGAATCCGAGTAGCATCACTCATTTGACCTCACCATGTCAAGATAAAGAAGCAGCTCGATTTACCCTTCGTGTATCCGGTAGCCCTGATGCTGCTTCTAGGGGCCTCGCCGGTGTAGGTATAGCATTGAGTCGTAGGGCAGAACAATCTCTCCTTGACTGGATCCCTGTAGATAGTCGCTTGTGCGCCGTCCGACTGAACGGGACAGTAAGGACTCGGAAAGATAGGGACACTCGCCGTTGCCTCTTCGTCATATCAGCCTACGCCCCCACTGACTGCAGCCCAGATGATGTAAAAGATGAGTTTTACAGAAAGCTTTCGGACCTCCTCCAAAAAGCTAGGCGCTCTGATATAGTAATAATGGCTGGTGACTTCAATGCACAAGTAGGTAGACTAGGTGAAAAGGAAAGACATCTAGGTGGATGTTATGGTGTAGCGACTGAGAGAACAGACAATGGCGAGCGTCTGTTGCAACTGTGCTCAGATAACCAACTATTTCTAGCAAACACTAATTTTAAGCATAAGGAAAAACACCTTTTGACCTGGCGACCCCCGAAGTCGTCTCAACGTTGGACACAACTAGATCATATCGCCATCAGCCACCGATGGAGGGGTTCGATAGAGGACTGTCGCTCGTTCTGGGGCACATGTTTGGATTCAGATCATGCCCTAGTGCGAGCACGTATTTGTTTGAGGCTTGCTGGACGTAGGAAAGACACCGTAAGGAAGCCTCTTAGGGCTTTACTTGATGATAATCAAGCTAAGAAAATATTTCAGGAGGAACTAGAAAAACAGTTAGGCGGCCATGCAAGTGATTCCCATCCTGAAGCAGGTTGGAATGATATCAAGAAGGCTGTGGAAACAGCAATGGTATCTGCTAGCAAGGTAAACAACAAGGCTAGGATGAAGCCGTGGATTTCAGTCGCATCCACCGAACTGATGGATGCTCGAAAACGCATCCCACCTGACTCTGAGCATGATGAAGAGCGTAGTCAGCTTAGGTGCAGACTTATAAAAAGCCTACGTAACGACCGCGAACAGTGGTGGGTGGCGAAATCAAAAGCGATGGAAAAGGCAGCGGCGATAGGCAACACTAGACAACTTTTCCGCCTTATCAAAGAAACCGGTATTAGGAACCCGAATGTGAGTGAGACTATCTCGGAAAAGGATGGTCTTATTATCCATTCTCAATCTAGGAGGCTGGACCGATGGGCAGAACACTTTAGGGATCAGTTCAACTGGCCTCGAGCCACTCTTCGGTTATCCACGATCTCCAGTCATCCTGAATGGCGAATCGATTTAAGTCCTACCGGTTTACATGAAGTTGAGAAAGCTATAGGAAATCTTAGGGGAGGTAGAGCGGCAGGTCCTGATAGGCTTACCACTGAGATTTTTAAGAATGGTGGTCCAGTTTTAACGGTTAGACTGACTGAGATCTTAGGTAGAATCTGGGAACTGGACGTAATCCCATCTGACTGGTCTCAGTCGCTAATTGTCCCAATCTACAAGAAAGGACAGAAGTCCTCTTGTGACAATCACAGGGGAATAAGTTTAACTAATATAGTTTCTAAATTGTTAGCCTCCATTATACTTAGACGTCTAACTAGAGCTCGCGAAGAGTAGACTCGAGAAAACCAGGCTGGTTTTCGACTTGGACGTGGTTGTATAGACCACATCTTCACACTCAGACAGGTCCTGGAACACAGACACACATTTAGACGTCCGACAATATTCGTGTTCCTGGACCTAAAAGCGGCATTTGACTCCGTGGATCGTGAGGTTCTGTGGCAGTGTCTGTCATTGAAAGGTGTACCGAAGAAGTACATTAACCTTATACAAGCACTCTACTCGAACACCACTGGTCGGGTGAGAGCATATGGCGAACTGTCATCTGAATTCTCTACATCAAGTGGTGTCCGTCAGGGCTGTCCACTCTCTCCATTCTTGTTCAACTTTGTCGTAGACATCCTCTTAGAGTTAACATTAAGCTCGTCAGATTTTTCAGGGGTTGACCTTCTACCAGGAATGTCGCTTACTGATCTAGAATATGCCGATGACATAGTTCTATTCGGTGAAGACGCTGACAAAATGCAGAACACTTTAGGGATCAGTTCAATTGGCCTTCAGCCACACTTCGGTCACCCGCCAACTATTGTTAACTAGAATGGCTTATTGATATAAATACTTTGACTGTTTATGAAGTTAAAAAATTAAAATTCCTCTGTTCAAACCTGATCATTGCAAAAATTATCACTTATAAAAGGATATAATTTGAGTTCAAAGTATATATTACACAAAAGAAAGGTGAAACAAATTTTATGTTTAGATTATGTTTTGGGGAAAATTTGAATTTACAGTAATTGTTTCGTAAAATTTTGTTGTCATATCGTGCCATTTTTGTTTTAGGAAAAACCTTTTCTTGTCTATTTTGAGCATTCTTTTCAAAATCCTGGTTAGCATCGCTTTCATAAAGCTTACCTAAATTATATCAAAGGCAATATCTTGATCTAGATACTTTCGGTAGTGAAATCATGGTTAAATCAATTGCTATACTCATTCACACCTTTGTGCAGATTTCAACACGAGAAGATTCTTGGGATTTCAGAACGAACAAGGTACTTATATACTGAAGAACCAGACTTTTCACATTCCTAGCCTTAATACGTAATTACTTTTATAGCTCATACATCATTTACTGGTTATAATAGGTATCAGACAATGTAGAAACCGAATTCAAATGTACTGAATTAACGTATATCAATTTTAACAGAACTGACCTCTTCTTCAGTTTGTAATGTGGCAATGTAAATAGGTTTTGTGATAAGCTGTCTAGTTTTTCTGTCAGCTAGATATATCCACCAACCTTCGAATTTCTCCTGCAAAGAGTGGTAGAAAAGAGCACAAGTAAGCATATACATACACTAGTAAACTTTTAATATAAGCGAGAACACAAACATGAAACTGTTTATAGATAAATTATGAAACAATAAAGTCACATAATACTACTTAGTAGTTTGTATTATATGTTAAAAAATGTCTGAAAATTCTTTCATTACATAGAGGTCTTATAATTATTTTCATGCCACCGAAAGAAAACTGTCCATCATTTTATGATAGTGATTTCAAAATTAGCGACATATTTTTACATGATAACAACGAAATGCATGAGAAGTGTTATATCAGTACAAAGAGTTAACGGATAGTAAGTTGCAGGATTAGCTTACGGATTAGCATCAAATATATGGTATAATTATTAACTAGACTATAAAAGATTTATATTCTTTTTGTCATGAACTTTTGTTTGACCCATTAACTACTTTTACGTGATTTATTAAATTTTTTCCTATCAGTTGTTTACTGCCAGTCCCTTTTTGGCTTGGGTATGTATGATTGTTATTTTTAGGTTATGGTGTGAAGCAACCTTAATCTGTTTGCATATAAACTACGTCTGTCTGAAATATAATAATAGTGAAAGGTGGTTTTGATTTGCGGACTCAAGGGCACAGAAGAGTGTAGCCAAGGGATCATGAATCAAGAGTAACTTAGCGGTTGATTCAAGGTCATAAGCGCTGAAGCATATTCCGATTGGCGCTTGTATCACGTGAATCTAGTCAGTAGTCCGAAATCGTAATAAAAAAATGTTTCTTAAATCCGGTGGTTTTGTCATTTTGTTTAATTTTAAAGGGGTCTAATGACATATAATGTGGGTAAGTCTACGAAAAATTATGAATGAAGATATTTATAACTCGTTAGATAATCCTAACCTGACCGTAGCTGCTACCTTGACGTAGTGGTCGGGCTTGCCTATCGTGATGACCTAACCGAGCTATATCTAAAGAGCAACTGGAAAAACTGTTAGACAGTCATGTAAGTGATTCCCACCTCGAAATAGCTTGGAATGATATTCAAAACGTTGTGGACTCAGCAGTAATATCTGCAAGTCAGGTCGACCAAAAGGTTGAGGAGAGACAGTAGATTTGAGTGGCAAATACTGAACTGACAAACGCTCTGAAACGCACCCTTTCTTGTTTTGAGCATGATTAGGAGCAGTCTGTCAGTCAGTTAGTTACAACGTAGAACTTCGTACATACGTACATCAGTTCAAGTTACCATACCACGGTAGAGGTAGTAGAAATATGAACAGTTATAGGAAAAATCACAGTCCAATGATATTATTCAATAAGTATACTTCAGTGAAAAAGATTTGAGACGTGAAAGATGAAGGTTATGATGAGTTCAGATTAGAATTTGATAGCAGACAAAGAATAGATGCATCTGCACCATTGCAAACGATATTGAGCCATGTCGTTCAACATTTCAAACCATCGGTTACCATTGTTTCGCGGACCCCAACCTTGAAGTATACACTTACTAACATGGCTCAGTCAGATTGTCAGTCACTCCATGGATTTGTTCCATATTTTGTTTTGGCCGTTCCTAGATTTCGTAAGGCCTAACTCTCATCACAAAACATCACTCGTCGAGGTAGTCGATCATGTCCCAACCACCTCAACTGATGAAGATTCACTAACTTATCAATCGATTCACCATCCTTGCCTAGTACTTTTTTCCTGACGACAGCATTGCTTACTCCATTGTCCCAGGGTATATGAACAATGCTTTGAAGAGTACTGTAATCGAATACAAGTAATCTACGAGTATCCTCTACACTTACTGACCATGATTCATACTCCTAAATTAAGACGGAGCGAACTGTTGGGCAGTAAACTCATCCTTTGGTTGGCAGACGGATATCTCGCCAACGCCATAAGTGACGCAAGTTGGCAAAAGCTAGTCGAGCCTTCTGCATCCGTGCTCAGGTTTTGTCACAAACCACGTCATCAGTACTGATGAGACTCACGGGATAAGTGAAGCGGTCGACACGCTCAACTACTTTACTCGCTACCACTAGTTCAGATGCCGATACAAGCCAAACCTGAAGCAACATTTTGCATTTCGAAGGGAAGAATCGCATCCCGAACAAGCTTGTATTGTTGCTCAAGGTGGTCAAAAGACGATGCATTTTGTCAACGTCTTCACCAAATAGAACTATGTCATTTGCACCCACCAATGTAGCGCCTGTAATGATGAGCAAAATGTTGTTGAATGCTACGCATGTTTACGTTTCAGTTTACCGCCCAACCCCCCACAAGCTAGGACATACATTGCGATCGGTTATTGAATAATAGGATGTGTACAAATTATCATTTAAAGTTTATGATTGAAACATGATTATGCGACATCAAGTCCCAAAAGTAAATTGGATTTCGGTGGTGGAGAAATTTTCAGTTCAACTTAAATTGATGTGAACAAATCGGGCTCCATTTAAATATCCGAAATAATTTTTTGTTTGCTAGTACTTGACTTACCTGGAAACGTAGATAAGGTAATAAGTACACTCACAAGTGATTCTGAAATGCCGATTGCCTAAAAGGATAGGCTTCTGTACGTTTTTTAAATATCTACTAGTCGGATGGTAAATGGAATAATATTCACAATTTCATTAGGTGTGAAAATTTCAGAAAGCAAATATATCAGGAAAGCTAAGGATTGGTAATCAGAATGAATCCGTTTATGACTTAAAGATCATCTGACTTGTCGTTATAAATTCTTAAGGACAGGAAACTGAGTTGAAGAAAAACAGTTCAGTCAGTTCACTTTTTTGTTAGACTTCATCAAAGTTTTCCGTTTTCTCCAGTCAATAAATATCAATTTGCTTAAACAATCACATGCTAGACTAAAATACTACTAGACACGTGACCGATAATTTTTTGTGCTGATAAAATATTGACAGGGACTAGTGTCCTCAATGAGTCATTGGGAACACTCAAGAACTACATATACTACATTAGTTTTGTCAGTGTTGGCGTTAGAATGGAAGACATAATCAGTTTATTTATAGCAAATCACAGACTGGGTGAGTATTACAATGTCTAGTATGAAATATATAGTTACAATCAGTCCTGTAATCGAACTTTTAAACAAACATTATTTACGATGTGTATGCTCGATGACGCTCTGTTTTCGATTACCAATGTTTGTGAAGAAGCACTTTAAAATAGTGAAAACACTAGGTAATGAATGTAGAGAATTAATAACGTGTAATAGGTTGTACTTTAAAATATCTTTTAAGTAGAACTGGTGATGATATTGAGCGATCACACAGTTTTGAGTGTTTAGTAGGAAATACAACTTACCACAGGGAAGTAAGGACAATGTACAACATGTGTACAATGTGTCTTTGAATCCATCATACTAGATAATCTATTGTGTGGTTTCATAAGTGTTCTACTTGAAGAAGATTTATTTGTCTTGAATGAAGATGGTGAAGATGATTCTACGACAGAATCTGTTTTGGATATTGTCGGTTCTTGTCCGTTATCAGCAGGATTTAGCGGACCGGAATGATCTTTTCCTTTCATAGGCAATTCTGATATAGTGGTAAAACCAATGCGCTCTGATATTTCTACAAGTAAGGAGCATAGCGATACAAGGAAAAACAGAATAAAGTGAACATCATCATGAAGACTATAACTTTCTACGACCAAAAATACTGCTAAAATATATATATGGACTTGGAAAACAGGTATTTTAAGAGTTGGAATTAACGAGTTATATAAATACGTTTAAAAAGTGTTACAGTAATCTTTGATATAAGAGGTTATTTTTATTGCAAATCACGTTAACCAGAAGAAACGATCTGAAAAAGATAGTTTATTTTATGAAAATTGATAAATTTTAGGGGATTACAGTCAAATGATGAACAATCGAAGTTTATAGATTGACAAACAGTTACATATCAGCATACACATGAAGGTTTAACAGATTTATCGTTCTAAATGTGGTGGTTTATATGACAACCGAATCCAATTCTTGTTTCTTTGAGCCACATTGATCACAGTAGTCCATAAGAACTCTAAAACATTTACCAGGGAATGAGCGACCATAAATAAGGTTTACAGAGTACGTTCACATGCTATGCGGTATATCTAACAGGTCGATTGATTTTGTGACTAGCAGTGTAATTTGCACGGGGGGGACGACATTAACTTACTGTCCACAGAACGTTGAATATAATAAATAACATTTTTCGGAAACATTTATATAAACAATCTAAGACACGATGGCATGAAAGGAATTGCAAATTAACTTGAGTGTGTTCAGTGAGCGATGTTTATTTCGAATCAAGTACTAGAATAAAAATAAAATACAACATTTTTTGTTCACCTCCGCCTGAAACCTGTACAGAGTTACGGCTGAGACTAAGTCCGGATTAAGGGGGAGAGTAAGACATGGGTGTTAGAGACTTTTCTCGAAGAAAACTAACTCACTAAAAAAACACACACCAGAGAAATATTATTTAGAAAACTACCTACCTACTTGAGCATTGAAGTCACCAGCCATTATTAATATATCAAAGAGCTTAACTTTTCGGAGGTTAGAGAGGTTTCTATAAAACTCATCATTTATCTCATCTGAACTGCAGTCAGTGGGAGCGTAGGCAGATACGATGAAGAGGCAATGGCGGGTGTCCCTACCTTTACGAGTCCTTACTGTCCCGTTTAGTCGGACAGCGCACAAGCGACTATCTACTGGGATCCAGTCTAGGAGAGATTGTTCAGCTCTACGACTCAATGCTATGTCTACGCCAGCAAGACCCATGGGAGCAGCATAAGTGCTTCCAGATACACGAACAGTAAATCGAGCTGCTTCTTCATTTTGACAATGTAAAATCGGATTAATAATTTTACTAGGATGCTGTATGTGCGTTTCCAAGACGCAGCATACATCGATTGCGCGAGATTCTAAAGTCCTAGCTAATGAGTCCTGTTAACCTATTTGACACAGTGTCCGTATATTAAATCAGTCAGTCAGTTGCAACGTAGAACTTCGTACGTATGTACATAAGTTCATGTTGCCATACCACATTATTAGCACAGAGACGCAAATGTCAAATCAAATCCCATAGTGATAAAGATAGTAGAGGTATTAATGTTATAATAAAGAAGACTAGGGTTTAAGATATTATTCAAGAATTATAATTCAGTGAGATAAGGTTAGAAAGACAAACGTAGAGGTGCTGGACGAATCCAGAAGATTAGGATTTGAGAGAGCTCAAAGAGTGGATGCACCTGCGCCATTGCAAACGATTTTGAGCCATGTCATTCAAGGTCTCTAACCATTGATGACTTTCGTCTCGCGGACCCCAAACAGGTAGTCGACAATTACCGACATGACTCAGTCCACTCGTCAGTGACTTCATGGATTTCTGCCATGTTTTGGTCTGGCCGCCCCTAGCTTTCTTCCAACCCACTCCTACACCACAAAACATAGCTCGTCGAGGCAGTCGGTATACGTAACACATGTCCCAACCACCTCAACTGATGAAGTTTCACCACTTCATCGATTGATCTGCCATCCTTACCTAGTACTCGTTTCCTAACGACAGCATTGCTTACTCGGCTGTCCCACGATATACGAGCAATGCTTCTTAAGCATCTATGATCGAATACTAGTAACCTACGAACATCTTCTACTCTTAACGGCCATGTTTCGCAGCCATATAAGAGAACGGAACGAACTGCTGCGCAGTACACCCGCCCTTTGGTTAGCGAACGGATATCACGCCTACGCCATAAATGACGCAGGTTGGCAAAAGCCAATCGAGCTTTCTGTATCCGAGCTGAGATTTCGTCAGTCACCAGACCGTCAGCACTGATGAGACTCCCCAGATAAGTGAAGTGATCTACACGCTCGACTACTTCACTTCCTATCACTAGTTCAGGTGCCAATGCAACCCAGTCTTGATGCAACATTTTGCATTTCGAGGGGGAAAACCGCATCCCGAACATGCTCGCATTGTTGCTTATGGTAGTCAGAAGACTCTGCATTTTGTCAGCGTCTTCACCGAATAGGTCCAGGAACACGAATATTGTCGGACGTCTAAATGTGTGTCTGTGTTCCAGGACCTGTCTGAGTGTGAAGATGTGGTCTATACAGCCACGTCCAGGTCGAAAACCAGACTGGTTTTTCGAGTCTACTCTTCACGAGCTCTAGTTAGACGTCTAAGTATAATGGAGGCTAACAATTTAGAAACTATATTAGTTAAACTTATTCCCCTGTGATTGTCACAAGAGGACTTCTGTCCTTTCTTGTAGATTGGGACAATTAGCGACTGAGACCAGTCAGATGGGATTACGTCCATTTCCCAGACTCTACCTAGGATCTCGGTCAGTTTAACCGTTAAAACTGGACCACCATCCGTAAACATCTCAGGGGTAAGCCTATCAGGACCTGCCGCTCTACCTCTCCTTAGATTTCCTATAGCTTTCTCAACTTCATGTAAACTGGTAGGACTTAAATCGATTCGTCATTCAGGATGACTGGAGATCGTGGATAACCGAAGAGTGGCTCGAGGCCAGTTGAACTGATCCCTAAAGTGTTCTGCCCATCGGTCCAGCCTCCTAGATTGAGAATGGATAATAAGACCATCCTTTTCCGAGATAGTCTCACTTACATTCGGGTTCCTAATACCGGTTTCTTTGATAAGGCGGAAAAGTTGTCTAGTGTTGCCGATCGCCGCTGCCTTTTCCATCGCTTTTGATTTCGCCACCCACCACTGTTCGCGGTCGTTACGTAGGCTTTTTATAAGTCTGCACCTAAGCTGACTACGCTCTTCATCATGCTCAGAGTCAGGTGGGATGCGTTTTCGAGCATCCATCAGATCGGTGGATGCTACAGAGATCCACGGCTTCATTCTAGCTTCATGGTCAACCTTACTAGCAGATATCACTGTTGTTTCCACAGACTTCTTGATATCATTCCAACCTGCCTCCGGATGGGAATCGCTTAAATGATCTCTTAACTGTCTTTCTAGTTGCTCCTGAAATATATTTTTCGCCTTACTAGCATTAAGTAAAACCCAAAGAAGCTTCCTTACGGTGTCTTTCCTACGTCCAGCAAGCCTCAAACAAATACGTGCTCGCACTAGGGCATGATCTGAATCCAAACATGTGCCCCAGAACGAGCGACAGTCCTCTATCGAACCCCTCCATCGGTGGCTGATGGCGATATGATCTAGTTGTGTCCAACGTTGAGACGACTTCGGGGGTCGCCAGGTCAAAAGGTGTTTTGCCTTATGCTTAAAATTAGTGTTTGCTAGAAATAGTTGGTTATCTGAGCACAGTTGCAACAGACGCTCGCCATTGTCTGTTCTCTCAGTCGCTACACCATAACATCCACCTAGATGTCTTTCCTTTTCACCTAGTCTACCTACTTGTGCATTGAAGTCACCAGCCATTATTACTATATCAGAGCGCCTAGCTTTTTGGAGGAGGTCCGAAAGCATTCTGTAAAACTCATCTTTTACATCATCTGGGCTGCAGTCAGTGGGGGCGTAGGCTGATATGACGAAGAGGCAACGGCGAGTGTCCCTATCTTTCCGAGTCCTTACTGTCCCGTTCAGTCGGACGGCGCACAAGCGACTATCTACAGGGATCCAGTCAAGGAGAGATTGTTCTGCCCTACGACTCAATGCTATACCTACACCGGCGAGGCCCCTAGAAGCAGCATCAGAGCTACCGGATACACGAAGGGTAAATCGAGCTGCTTCTTTATCTTGACATGGTGAGGTTAAATGAGTGATGCTACTCGGATTCTGTATGTGTGTTTCAGGCGAAATCAGATTAATGACTTTACTAGGATCCTGTATGCGCGTTTCCGAGACGCAGCATAAATCGATGGCACGAGATTCTGAAGTCCTAGCTAATGATGCCTGTTGCCCTATTCGACACAATGTCCGTACATTGAATGCTCCAACATGTAGTTTGGAACGGGGTTTAAGGAGACCAGGAACGACGTTTCGCAAACTCGCATCGTTTGCATTAGCTGTGCACTGTAATAAATGAATGTGAGAAGAGTTAGTCATGGAGATAAGAGAGGTATTAGGGAATGTAGGAAGGATTTGATTTTGAACAATTTGGTCTCGTGTACTGTTGCAGGTATGAGGGCGGTTATCACTTCCCGGCTGCCCACACCGTGGAAGGTTGTTTCTTGAGGGACCTGAAAAGGAAGATAGATTAGTGTTGGTCTTAGAGACCTGGTTGCGTGACCGCAGAGCCCGAGGGACAACTGCTTGAGGCCGGTCACGCACGGCCTTTTTATGAAAGGTATTTAGAGGATTAGCTCCGTTCTTAAAGGCCCTTGGTGGACACCCTTACCCAAGGAGACGGAAATTCATGAGGTAGGGTGAGGTGTGACATTTTTAGGGCCGACCTTTTCTAACCCTTCCTTCCTTGTGAGAAGGCAGAATCGCTGCAGATGCTGGTTGTCCGAGGGAAACACCTTACTGCTGTCACACCCCTCTGCAGTCAGCATTACGACTGCATTACGACAGTCATCAGTAAGACTTCGCCCTCAGACCAACTGTCAACCATCACTAAAGCCAGACTCGTCAATATAAATGTCAAGACAGTTCTTCTGTGTGAAGCGGAAACTTGGAGAACCACGAAAGCCATCATCCAAAAGATACATGTGATTATCAACGGGCTTCTGCGCAGGATAATCCAGATCCCTTGGTCAGACACCATCAACAACAACCTACTGTGTGAGACAACAAATCAGATTCGAGATGAGGAAGAAATTAGGAAACAACCCTGGAGGTGGATAGGACACACATTGTGGAAAGCACCCAATTGCCTCACAAGGCAAGCCCTCACTTGGAAGCCGGAAGGTCAACGGAAAAAGGGAAGACCAGAGAGCACATTACGTAGATAATTGCAGCTCTGTCACATTTGAAATTAATGATATCGTAGATCAATTTATTTGGTACATGTGTTGTTGGTACGTACTACAGTACCTGCCTCCCAGTGTTTACGTTCACTACAGGATTTAAACGTAATGCCTTTGGTTTCAAACCCCAACACATTGCCCACTTAGTCACTGAGTCCAGATGGTCAATATGAGATGATCGATCTCAGTCCTGAACAATAATAGGAAGATGTAAACAACCAATACAAATAAAAGCAAAAAAAAATACTTACTATCAGTGCTAACAACCGAATCACTATCTTCTTGTTCTGAATCAATTTCATCTGAAGGAACAATTTCTGGTTGGGTAACTTTTTCTGATTCCAATAAGGAGTTTCGTTGTTGACGCTTTGAATTATCCTGTTGTTGTTGTTTACGTGATTTATTTTTGCGTACACCTTTTTTCCGTTTACTCTTATCCCAAACAGGTGGAGCGTTTTTCTTTGATGACTTAATTGAACTTCCAGTAATGTCAAACTGAAATAGTATAATGAAATTGCGGCACCCGTACAAAGATAAGTCTACATATACTGAGAAATAAAGAACCCAACAACGTCGAATATACCTGATAACTAGCTAACAAATGTCTAGTTATCGGTTGCCCTAACATGGTATACTGGCCAGTATAAGGATAGATAAAACAGCGGTTGAGGTATAGAGACAAAGGCATGGTGTTATTAGCATAGGTGGGTAGTGACTAAAAGTGGAATCCAGGAGGCTCATTTCGTCCTATTTGGGACTTATCAGGTGGATATACCTGCATGCCAGAGCTGATGTCTACCTCAGGACTCGAACTCAGTATCTTTAGCTTCGAACACCATCGCGTCATCCATTTAGCTGATGACTCCAGAGAGCAGGAACATCCAGACGACGAGTCCCAAATGGAATGAAGCCCATGTTCTGGAATCAACTTCTAGCGAATACCAACCCCTGTTAACAGTGCTTGTAACCTAAAGGCAATATGGAGGCAATCCGCACAGGATGTACATATACCAAAGAGACTGAACAATAGTTTTTCTAAGCGATAATGGGAACATCCAAACAAACAATACAAATGAATTACTGACAGTTGGTTTGTGTTGTGTAGGGAGAATGTAGAAGTTTAGGTTAACTTTTATACGATAATCAACAATAGGAAGTAAAGCATTTTGCTATGATGCTTTTGTTAAAAAAAAATTGATGCTATATGAAAATAATTTCAACAGTGAACGATTAAGTAACAAGATCGAACTATACAACTGTTAGGATATTCACCAAATATCCTAAGAGTACTATTTTTGGAAGTATAATCCTATTGGTCGATTTCTATTGGTCAAAATTATGCTCGTGTTAACTGTCAAAGTAAAATACTTCAATGTTGTCTCTTACTGGTCATCCGGACTGTCAATGTCATTTCAAATGTTCTTTCCTATTGGTCGTCCTAAACTGTCAATGCCACAGACCTTGATGCTCTTTCCCTTTCGACCAAAATGTATAAATACTCACTATCTGTAAGACTTCACGATTCCGATTCCAATTACGTTTCTTTCTGCCTACCTCTCTTCTGTTCTCGACCCAATAAACAACTCCATCCCACGGTGTTGCGTTCTGATAGGAGATTTGGAAATAGCATTTTGGGTCGTATTGGGATATTTGAATTGGACGCCGCTAGGACTGAATAGCTATACGTAGCAGCGTTATAACAACAACAGTCAGTGTTTCAGAAGCCGATTTAAGGTAGCTAAGCAAACATGCATATATCTTTTAATAGCGATAATAATAATAATGGTAATAATAATAATAATAATAATAATAATAATAATAATAAAGAATATGCCAAGTTACAGCTGAATAACAGAAAACTAGACAAAAAAAATATAAATGAATGCCTCAACAGTAAAAAAAACCTAACTTACGCTCTTATCATTATCAACACTACCACTAAGAAAATCATCATAATTCAACGATTTCAATATCTCTGTATCATGTATATCGGCGATCGGATAAAGCTTAGAATTCAATGAATTATTATCATTGTACGTATTCTGATCAGGTTGCGCAGTTTGACCACGATCGAAATAACTTGAATTCGATAATGCAGCAGTAGCGAGAGACGTGGTCGTGGTGGTAGTATTAGTATTAGTAGTATTGGCAGTAGTAGTAGTAGTAGTAGTAGTAATAGTATTATGTCCATTAACATTTGTAGCACTACTGATTACACTGGGATCTAATAACGGTGTACGTTTTAAAAGAACAGTAACTGTAACCATACTAAATGGCCAAATACTTGAATCATCATCATCATCTATTACCTGTTATTTAAGAAACAGAATGAAAATTGAAAGGAAAGAGGGCAACAAAATAGTTGTATTACTTTTAAAATGGACAGTGAAGGCAAGAATTTCAGTTTATGTAATGATGACAAAGAATGTCAGTCAGTCAGTCAGTTGCAATGTAGAACTTCGTACGTATGTACATAAGTTCATGTTGCCATACCACATTATTAGCACAGAGACGCAAATGTCAAATCAAATCCCATAGTGATAAAGATAGTAGAGGTATTAATGTTATAATAAAGAAGACTAGGGTTTAAGATATTATTCAAGAATTATAATTCAGTGAGATAAGGTTAGAAAGACAAACGTAGAGGTGCTGACGAATCCAGAAGATTAGGATTTGAGAGAGCTCAAAGAGTGGATGCACCTGCGCCATTGCAAACGATTTTGAGCCATGTCGTTCAAGGTCTCTAACCATTGATGACTTTCGTCTCGCGGACCCCAAACAGGTAGTCGACAATTACCGACATGACTCAGTCCACTCGTCAGTGACTTCATGGATTTCTGCCATGTTTTGGTCTGGCCGCCCCTAGCTTTCTTCCAACCTACTCCTACACCACAAAACATAGCTCGTCGAGGCAGTCGGTATACGTAACACATGTCCCAACCACCTCAACTGATGAAGTTTCACCACTTCATCGATTGATCTGCCATCCTTACCTAGTACTCGTTTCCTAACGACAGCATTGCTTACTCGGCTGTCCCACGATATACGAGCAATGCTTCTTAAACATCTATGATCGAATACTAGTAACCTACGAACATCTTCTACTCTTAACGGCCATGTTTCGCAGCCATATAAGAGAACGGAACGAACTGCTGCGCAGTACACCCGCCCTTTGGTTAGCGAACGGATATCACGCCTACGCCATAAATGACGCAGGTTGGCAAAAGCCAATCGAGCCTTCTGTATCCGAGCTGAGATTTGATGTAGAGAATTCAGATGACAGTTCGCCATATGCTCTCGCCCGACCAGTGGTGTTCGAGTAGAGTGCTTGTATAAGGTTAATGTACTTCTTTGGTACACCTTTCAATGACAGACACTGCCACAGAACCTCACGATCCACGGAGTCGAATGCCGCCTTAAGGTCCAGGAACACGACTATTGTCGGACGTCTAAATGTGTGTCTGTGTTCCAGGACCTGTCTGAGTGTGAAGATGTGGTCTATACAACCACGTCCAAGTCGAAAACCAGACTGGTTTTCTCGAGTCTACTCTTCGCGAGCTCTTGTTAGACGTCTAAGTATAATGGAGGCTAACAATTTAGAAACTATATTAGTTAAACTTATTCCCCTGTGATTGTCACAAGAGGACTTCTGTCCTTTCTTGTAGATTGGGACAATTAGCGACTGAGACCAGTCAGATGGGATTACGTCCATTTCCCAGACTCTACCTAGGATCTCGGTCAGTCTAACCGTTAAAACTGGACCACCATCCTTAAAAATCTCAGGGGTAAGCCTATCAGGACCTGCCGCTCTACCTCCCCTAAGATTTCCTATAGCTTTCTCAACTTCGTGTAAACCGGTAGGACTTAAATCGATTTGCCATTCAGGATGACTGGGGATCGTGGGCAACCGAAGTGTGGCTGAAGGCCAGTTGAACTGATCCCTAAAGTGTTCTGCCCATCGGTCCAGCCTCCTAGATTGAGAATGGATAATAAGACCATCCTTTTCCGAGATAGTCTCAATTACACTAGGATTCCTAATACCGGTTTCTTTGATAAGGCGGAAAAGTTGTCTAGTGTTGCCTATCGCCGCTGCCTTTTCCATCGCTTTTGATTTCGACACCCACCACTGTTCGCGGTCGTTACGTAGGCTTTTTATAAGTCTGCACCTAAGCTGACTACGCTCTTCATCATGCTCAGAGTCAGGTGGGATGCGTTTTCGAGCATCCATCAGATCGGTGGATGCGACTGAAATCCACGGCTTCATCCTAGCCTTGTTGTTTACCTTGCTAGCAGATACCATTGCTGTTTCCACAGCCTTCCTGATATGATTCCAACCTGCTTCAGGATGGGAATCACTCTCATGGCCGCCTAACTGTTTTTCTAGTTCCTCCTGAAATATTTTCTTAGCTTGATTATCATCAAGTAAAGCCCTAAGAGGCTTCCTTACGGTGTCTTTCCTACGTCCAGCAAGCCTCAAACAAATACGTGCTCGCACTAGGGCATGATCTGAATCCAAACATGTGCCCCAGAACGAGCGACAGTCCTCTATCGAACTCCTCCATCGGTGGCTGATGGCGATATGATCTAGTTGTGTCCAACGTTGAGACGACTTCGGGGGTCGCCAGGTCAAAAGGTGTTTTGCCTAATGCTTAAAATTAGTGTTTGCTAGAAATAGTTGGTTATCTGAGCACAGTTGCAACAGACGCTCGCCATTGTCTGTTCTCTCAGTCGCTACACCATAACATCCACCTAGATGTCTTTCCTTTTCACCTAGTCTACCTACTTGTGCATTGAAGTCACCAGCCATTATTACTATATCAGAGCGCCTAGCTTTTTGGAGGAGGTCCGAAAGCATTCTGTAAAACTCATCTTTTACATCATCTGGGCTGCAGTCAGTGGGGGCGTAGGCTGATATGACGAAGAGGCAACGGCGAGTGTCCCTATCTTTCCGAGTCCTTACTGTCCCGTTCAGTCGGACGGCGCACAAGCGACTATCTACAGGGATCCAGTCAAGGAGAGATTGTTCTGCCCTACGACTCAATGCTATACCTACACCGGCGAGGCCCCTAGAAGCAGCATCAGAGCTACCGGATACACGAAGGGTAAATCGAGCTGCTTCTTTATCTTGACATGGTGAGGTTAAATGAGTGATGCTACTCGGATTCTGTATGTGTGTTTCAGGCGAAATCAGATTAATGACTTTACTAGGATCCTGTATGCGCGTTTCCGAGACGCAGCATAAATCGATGGCACGAGATTCTGAAGTCCTAGCTAATGATGCCTGTTGCCCTATTCGACATAATGTCCGTACATTGAATGCTCCAACATGTAGTTTGGAACGGGGTTTAAGGAGACCAGGAACGACGTTTCGCAAACTCGCATCGTTTGCATTAGCTGTGCACTGTAATAAATGAATGTGAGAAGAGTTAGTCATGGAGATAAGAGAGGTATTAGGGAATGTAGGAAGGATTTGATTTTGAACAATTTGGTCTCGTGTACTGTTGCAGGTATGAGGGCGGTTATCACTTCCCGGCTGCCCACACCGTGGAAGGTTGTTTCTTGAGGGACCTGAAAAGGAAGATGGATTAGTGTTGGTCTTAGAGACCTGGTTGCGTGACCGCAGAGCCCGAGGGACAACTGCTTGAGGCCGGTCACGCACGGCCTTTTTATGAAAGGTATTTAGAGGATTAGCTCCGTTCTTAAAGGCCCTTGGTGGACACCCTTACCCAAGGAGACGGAAATTCATGAGGTAGGGTGAGGTGTGATATTTTTAGGGCCGACTTTTCTAACCCTTCCTTCCTTGTGAGAAGGCAGCATCGCTGCAGATGCTGGTTGTCCAAGGGAAACACCTTACTGCTGTCACACCCCTCTGCAGTCAGCAGTACGACTTCGCCCTCAGACTTTGGGTAGCTGCTTTTAGTCTCATCGTTCTCCAATCGACCTGCCTGGCATGGTAGGACCTGCAGGAACATGTGTTCCAGCCAGTATAGCTCGGTTGGGTTATCACGATAGGCGAGCCCGACCACCACGTCAAGGTAGCAGCTTCGGTCGGGAATGTGATCAAACCCTTTCTATCAGAGTCGAAATATTGGATAAAAGTCACAAATAGTATAATACTGCAATGACTCAAGTAGTCAGAACAAATACTGCATATGCCTAACAACTGCCTACCTTGACGACGGACATTTGTTTGGGTAAAATTGTTTGGAAGAAAACTAAGATTATCTAAACAAAAACGTGGGACAATTCGTGAAGTCAACTGACGGTTGGTCTAAGTTGAGTAGGCAGATGTACACCTAATAGTCAGGGTCATTGCAGTAAATGTAACCAATGTTTCAAGACGGTGAGTGGATTTGAATATCACAAACGCTTATTCTGAGAAATCGTTCTTTCATCTCAAAGTATATTGCATATCCCTAATGATTTTAATTATCGCTTCTAACATACAGGCATTCGTAGTGTTTATTTCATCTCATTGTTCTGTTACGCTGTGGAAATTTTAACCGATATGTATGTGTCATGACCTACGTTGCTTACGGATGAGTGGGATATTATCTATAAAAATTTTGATGGAAAAACTTTTATTGCCAGAATATGAATGACATCTGAATGATTATAATCAGTTACCTTACACGAACAGAGAGTAAGCCAGTTACAGCATAGAACTTCGTACGTACGTATATAAGTTCAGGTTGCCGTACCACATTAGCACAAAGACGCAACTGTCAGTTCCAATCCCATAGTGGTAGAGATTAGTAGAAGTATTAGCAGTAATTGAGAAGATTATGACTTGAATATATTACTCAAGAATCATAACTTTAGAAAGAGAATGATAGAGGTGATAAACAATTCAGAATATTAGAATTTCAGATAACACAAAGAGTGGATGCTTTTGCGCCATTGCAAACGATTTTGAGCCATGTCATTCAAGGTCGCTAACCATCAATTACTATCGTTTTGCGGACCTGTTTGCAAAAGGTTTGACCTTACGAAACATTATTCCTGGTCGCTTGAACCCGTACTAAGTTACATATTTGAGCTTTTGATGTTCGAACCTTCAGCTAAATAGGGCAACGGGCTTCCTTGGCTAGAACTCTGGAATCCCGCGCGATCGATGTATGTTTTATGGCAAACTCTCTAAACTTAAAAACGTTGAGTGGTCTGACAGATTATTAATGGCTGGTGACCTCAATGCTCAAGTAGGCAAGGAAAACAACCTCTGACCTGACGAACCCTAAAGTCAACCGAACGATGGATCCAACTAGATCACATTGCCATCAGCCACCAATGGAGAGCTTCGATAGAGGACTGTCACTCGTTCTAGGGCACATGTCTAGATTCAGATCATGCCCTAGTGCGAGCACGTATTTGTTTGAAGCTTACTGGACGTAGGAAAGACACCGTAAGGAAACCTCTTATGGTTCTACTTAATGATAGCAGAGCTAAGCATATATTTCAGGAACAACTAGAAAAACAGTTAGGCGACCATACAAGTGATTCCCATCCGGAGGCAGGTTGGAATGATATCAAGAAGGCTGTGGAAACAGCAGTGATATCCGCTAGTAAGGAAGAAGCCGTGGATCTCAGTAGCATCCACCGAACTGATAAACGCTCGTAAACTCATCCCACCTTTCTCCGAACATGCTGAAGAGCGAAGTCAGCTTAAGCGCAGGCTGATAAAAAGCCTACGCAATGATCGCGAAGAGTGGTGGGTGGCGAAAGCGATGGGAAAGAAAGAGGCGATAGGCAACAGCGAAACAGTTGTTCTGACTTATCAAGGAAAACAGTATTAGAAATCCATCAGTCAGAGGAACTATCTCAGAAAAGGTTGGCTGCATAATTCATTCTCAATCCAGGAGATTTGATCGACGAGCATAACACTTCAGCGATCAGTTCAGCTGGCCTTCAGCCACACTTCGGTTACCCACGATCTCCAGTCATCCTGAATGGCAAATCAACTTCAGTCTTTCGAATCTTTACGAAGTTGAGAAAGCGATGGGAAATCTGAAGCGAGGTAAAGCAGCATTTCCTGATAGGCTCACCACTGAAATCTTTAAGGACGGTGGTCCAGTTTTAACAGTTAGATTGACCGAGATCTTAGATAGAATCTGGGAACTGGGCGTAATACCATCGGACTGGTCTCAATCACTGATTGTCCCAGTCTACAAGAAAGGACAAAATACCCCTTGTGACAATCACAGGGGAATAAGTCTAACTAATATAGTATCTGAATTGTTAGTCTCGACTATACTTAGACGCGTAGGTAGACCTCGTGGAAGCAATTTACGGAGGTATCCTATACTAACACGAAAGTTTTTCAGTGCTCCCTGGTTTTAAATATGTCGTCTAAGATTAGTTTGAGATATAAATTTTAAAAAAGAACAACTTATCACAAAAGAGAAATACAAATCCATAGAATAAAATTAGTGACTTACTTCACATCGATATGACAATTCTAAAGAGGGCATAGAAGAACTAACTATTATAATATCACGATACTGTTCATCAGAAAGACTTCGTAAAAGTGTTCTACGTTTATCATCTGGTAAATTGATCAATTGTCGAATTGATTTGATATTACGCTGAGAAATAAAACATATATTTAATAGGTTGATTGAAAATATGGTTGAAAACATTTTTCTATATCAGACACAATTCTTAAGACGAAGAAAGTTTGCGATCAAAATTATCATTTAAATTATACGAAAACTCCACTAATTGTTACCATTAAGTAACTGTCATATTGTTAGGTCAATTTGATGGTCGTCCTAGATATCAATGTCACGTGCTCCAATGTTGTTTCTTATTGGTTGTCCTGACTATCAATGTTGCTTCCTATTGGTCGTCCTAACTGCCAATGTCACAGACTTCGATGCTGTTTCCTATTCGACCAAAATGTATAAATACGCATTATCTGTAACGTTTTATGACCAGGACCAGGACCCGGTCCCGGATCCCTAGTCTGGGATCCTGATTCTCTTCTGGATTCGGACCTCGTACTTTCTGGATGCTTGTAGAATACAGGTTCTACTTCACATTCAAGTCTTCTTATTTTTACTCAATATGGGGGTTGGGATAATCGGATTTGAGTAGCATGTCGTGTCGCCGGATCCTCGATCCTCGCTCTCGTTTTCTGTCTGGGTAAACTCGTAATAGTTCAAGTATATCAAGTTGACGTGTTTACGTGGAGGCATAACACATATGATCATCAACCTTTAGTTCTTTAAGATGAATTTTTTACCGTCACATTTAAAATTAGCCAATTTTTTCAGTGAGGACATTAGTAACTCATGGATAATATACAGTGGACAACAGTCACGCTTTTTATCAATTTATTTATGCTGAAATTAATAACCATTCTACTTCGATTTAATGAGAAATGTTGCAGCTAGATGCAAGGTACTATGCAAAGATAGGAAACAATTAATGAGGAAAAGAATATTCATTGACAGAGGTGGTTAGGATGTGTACAGAACAACTTTCCACTCTTGTATGCGAAGTTTTCATGTGCGGTAAGCAAATCAAAACGTAACATCGGCCGATGGAGCAATTAACGGTCCGATTAAACTATGATGGCAGGTTGAGACTACATGGTTAGGGTTCGCGCGATTATCGTAACGAATGGATTGACATGGTTTGGAATTGTTTATAAAAAATAAGATCCATTCGTTCGGCGCTTTCTATTACATATTGAGTTTTAAAATTATCTTTGACTTTCCTATTCCGCAAATTTTTCCCTCTTTCTCGAATTACATTGTTTATGACAAATTTTATCATTAATATTGATACTCTTCTTATTCCTCCTTTTACTGGTCTACAAAATTTTATCTTTCTGCGTCATTATGATTTGGAAAGTTTAACTGATACATGTAAATGTGATATGTTCTACATTCCCGATGACTAACTAACTTTGATTTAATAGCTCAACAGGAACGTGGTCGATAATGATGATTGAAATTAGATAAGCAATGTGAAATCACAGTTGTATACTGCTAAATGGTCCTAAAGTTTAGCAGTGCATCTTCTTATTATTATTTTCGAATAAACTTACCTTTACGAAAGACAGATATAATGTATTACGTATGAGTCATCATCTGTGAATCTCACTTGTGTTCGGGCACACAGGCAGTAAGTAACCCAGCCGGTACACGTATCCAAAGATGTGTAGGGCACATATATTTTGGTGCCCCTTTGTAATGATGTTTGGTTGTTTAAATAAATAAATAAACTTATCTGTGTACCTGCATTGGAAATGAAATGCCGGTTAGTAAGCATGTACGTAAAATGCAGGTTATAGAATACATGGTGTATAGGTTGAAGTGGACAAAAATTTAATTAGAATTTAAGTAGACTTAATAGAAGTAAATAAATCGTTTGAGCTGCAGCTGTCATTTGTCGCCCAGATACTGTTTCATTTGTACAAAACATATAAATTACACTTTTTATTTACCATACTATTTGTAATGATGAAACAAAAATCTAGGAAATTTAACTTTAACAAATTAGTAGTCATTGAATATAATACGAAAAATTTTTGTCTACAGTGAACTCACTTGTTTGGCAGCGATATGTCTAAGCTGAGTTTGAGTGATATGCGGTAGCTGAAGCAATGGTGAAGCATTATCCGTAAGAGCTTGAACAAGCATTGGAATTAAATGCATACAGTTTTCTATGGTCGCTAAATGTTGTGGTGTCTTATGTTTTGAATTAGCTGAAACGAAATACGTACGTAAATTCGTTTTTAACAAGGACACTATACATACAGGGATAATGATAACAGTAATAACAATATATTTAATTTGTAATTATTTGGATTATTTCGTTGTTTATATTTTGACTGAAATTTGATTAGCCTCAATCATCAAAAGATTAATCCTGTGCAGATTACCCCTACATATGAATCGTTACAAGTTCATCTACAAATAGATAAGATGTGACCAGCAGTGTCCCATCTTATTTGGGAATGGTCAGCTGGATGTACCCGCATCCCTGAGTGGATGTTTATTACGGGGTCCCAAACCAGCACCATGTGCTTCAAACCCAAATGCATTAGCTCCTCCTAGATACAGAGTTCAAAAAGCGGTCCACCTAGACAACAAGCATGAATTTAATTTGTAACGATTCAGGTAATCCCGTTTTCGATGTTTCGATATTGATTCCAAGGCCCAGGTATATTTAGCTGAACAGTCCCAAATAGGATGAAACGCGTGTCTTGGATACCATCGACAGCCATATTCCAACAATTCGAAAATATAGTAATAATAATAGTAATGAGGACATATATCTAACCAAGTAATTTTACAACAATAAATCAGGAATAAGAGGAACAATTACGTCCATCAACGAACCTTCATCCATCGCCACTGCTAAAACGTATAGCAAACTATTGATCATTTCATCAATTAACCGAGGTGAATGTTTAATAATATACTGTTTGTCTGTAAATATAAAAACAAAACAAGAGGAAATTTGAAACATAAACCAGATAAAAATTGTAAAGAGAAAGTTTGGTAAGTTACTAAGAATTTGCAGCCAGCGCAAAAACTAGATTGTACAGCAGTGATCGGTTGTAAAGAGAGACACAATGAGAGATATAACTCAGGAGTCACAATATCACAGCTCCATCATCTTTGTATGTTACTCAGGGTCTTGAGCTTCAGTAATGCTGTATACTTAACTTGATATTCTATTCTATCGAAACATATTTTCAGGACTTAGTCTTTCTCACTATCAAGGTGTTAACAACAAGGCTTATAAGTAGTATGCAGTGTGTCGCCCTGAAGTCACTGTTGAAGGCTAGAAGACAAGCATTCGTTCGTTACACTATCACTTACTTCATTTTTCCTACCATTAATTTTGATTTTATTTCGTTTTTATAATTTGGGGAAGTAACTTCAGCTAATGCATATTTGTGCCGATCTAAGTTGGTTGGAACCGGATGATTGCAACACAGCATGTTAGAATCTATTCAAAAGATGTATGTTACACGTCCGATACTAAAAAAAATGCAATAACCTAGAGCACTTGCAAAGAAACCTGGAAGAGATTTAAAATCCATCTTGACTTCCCTAAAATAACTGATATTTGACGATTGATAACAGTCTACCGTAGTTTGATTTGCATACATCTTAATGTGCCTTTCCATGGAATTTGTAAACATAAGTTATAGTGAAATAATAAATCGATCAGTGTTAAACCACAACTGAAAACCCGAAAGCATTGGAAGGTCGTTCCATCCTAGTGTGAGACTCATCCGCAGTGCGCATCCATGATCCTGTAAGCGGTATTCAAAACCAGGAACTTCCATCTCACGCGCGAACGTCTAACCTCTTGACCACTGGGCCGCTGAACAACGATATTAGTGACTAACTTCAACTACATCAAGCGTGAGGTGTCCGATCAGCGGTCAAAAGTTAGACGTTCGCATGCGAGGTCGAAGGTCCTGGGCTCAATTCCTGGCGGTAGGTTGCGGAATGAAATCTAAAGATCTTCACAACCCTGTAGTTTAATTTTTAGTATCGGAGACTTAGAGAGATTATTTCTGGCATAAATCATCGACTGATTTTATTTACAGCTACTGAAGACCGAGAAGCACTGGACAACTGTTTCATCCTAGTATAGAACTACCCGGCATTCCGTATATACGGTCCAGTAGTAGTCGAATCTAGAAATTTAGGTTCTCGTGGTGGCTAGACCAGTGAATGATGTTTGTATAAGGCTTTTGAGTTCCTTAAATGGTTAGAGCTGGGTGACGAAGGAGTTTTTGTTATAAGCTGGTCATGGGTCGGATCGCTCGGTGGTAACATATCAGACTATGAAAACAGGTGAGGCAAGTTTGAATAAGTTAACTTAAGATAGAAGCTACACCCTATAGCGAATGCCAGGCTGTCGAAACCTAGATGTAAAAGTTTCATATTGAATGCTTTTATAAACCTGAAATCTTGAAGTATGGAAACGATGTCCAGTCGAGTAGACTAAGAGACAAATAACAACTTTTCGGTTGAATTTGACTTGCACTAAACGAAGAGCACAATATGTATTGGATCACAATTCAGTGAACATCCGATAGCACATAAATGCAAGCAGCAACAAATATTCTCGTCAAACGATAGGCTTGAAACTACTACCCGTTCTTCTACATTGATAAACGGAGCGCAGATAAATAAAGCAGTGACACGATAGGCTATTCTGATTCGTTGTCCCCAGCTCCGCTAACTACATCAAGAAATCTTGATAAGGAGTAGAAAGTGTATTCTTCAAGAACCCAGAAAATACGAGGTCGACAAGCACACAAATCGAGTTTATTTATACATGATAGAAGCGTCTTTGGGAGCGCCACAAAAATAGCGTACCAAAATAATCCATAAGCCAATAGCAGTCAAGGATTTGCCAAGTGGGAAATGTAAGCTGAAGTTCAACTAAGCAACTTATGCACATAAGAAATCCAAAATAAGGACCTTTTACAAGTGACTTCTGTGGTTCTAACGTCCCGAGCAGTAACAAAATACAAGTTATCAAATTTATTGGCTAGAATAGATCAATTAATTGATATTTCGTCACTGGTTCTACAATCCCACTAGAAACCATAAGATAGTTTGCTAACATGCTGACCTACTCCCTCTATCGAAAGAAAAATTTAAGTAGCTTTCAATTAGTGTGCACTTAAGATAATTTATTTAAATTTACCCTTACCCTAAGGATAGCCGACTGCTATCAATACAGGAAGATATGATTATGAGAGACTTAGGAAAGACAGCGATGAAATCAATAATCAATGAGACAATGCTGTACGTCAGGTAAGATGATGAAATATTTGTGACCTTTGATGAATATCACTGGGTTTCTCATAAACTGACGCTTATCAATATAATGTCCACTGTTCCTTTTCTTGATCAAATTTGCCGTAAACATGCTTCTAGAGTTAACATTATCATCGTCTGACTGTTGAGGAGTGGACCTTCCACCAGGAGACTCGTTTGTTGACTTAAAATATGCCGGTGATATAGTCCTATTCGGTGAAGACGCTGACAAAATACAAAGTCTACTGACTACCCTGAGCAACAATGCAAGCATGTTAAAGATGCAGTCTTCCCCCTCGAAAAGCGAAATGTTGCTTCACGATTGGCATGTATCGGCACTTGAACAAGTAATAGGCAGTGAAGTAGTTGAGCGTGTTGATGCTTCACTTATCTCGGGAGTCTCATCAGTGCCGACGGCCTAGTGACTGACGAAATCTCAGCACGGATACAGAAGGATCAACTGGCTTTTGCCAACCTGCGTCATTTATGGCGTAGGAGAGATATCCGTTTGGTAACCAAAGGACGAGTGTACTGAGCATCAGTTTGCTCTGCCCTACAATATGGATGCAAAACGTGGCCGGTAAGAATAGAAGACATTCGTAGGTTGCTTATCTTCGATCATCGACGTCTTCGAAGCATTGCTCGTATATTCTGGGACAACAGAGCAAGCAATGCTGTCGTTATGAAACGAGTACTAGGCAAGGCTTGCAAATCAATAGATGAAGTAGTGAAACTCCGTCAATTGAGGTGGTCGGGACATGTGTTACGTATGCCCAACCACCGACTACCTGGACCAGTGATATTGTCTGATGCATAGGTGGTCTGGTAGAAAGCTAGGGGTGGCCAAAACAAAATATGGCACAAATCCATCAGGTCACTGACAATCTGGCTGAGCCATGTTAGTGAGTATATACTGCGAGGTTGGGCTCCGCTAAACAGTGGTAACCGGTGGTTAGAGACCTTGAACGACATAGCTCAGAATCGTTTGCAATGGATGGCAGGTGCATTCATTCATTGTGTCCTCCCAAATTCTAACCTTTTGAATTCCTCATCATCTGTACCTTTATCTTTCTAAATTTATCTCACTGAATTATACTTCCCGAATCATATCTTCGAACCCTAATCTTTTCCATTACTGCTATAACTTCAAGTGGAAGTAGATGGAGCATAAAAAAGCTGCTTACTATCAATACTCATCGTGGTTAGTTCCAGGATAACCGTCTGCCTTTAGTAGGCACGACTGCCAGCGACTTATGGATTCCATCCCATCAGGTATCTCGGTGATCGCCGATTATCTCGACGATATTAGAACAGCTATAGGAACGCACGACATTGGTACTACGACGCAACTGTTACGTCCAGAGAAATGCCAGTTCTTGTTGCAGTCGGTAAAGTATTTGGGATTCATCTTTGATGCCGACGGTCGCATACCGGATCCTGAGAACATTCGAGCTATCACACTGATGCCGATTCCCGTTAATTTCTCGGAATTATGTCCCTTCATGAGACTTGTCAGCTATTACTCAGCGTTGGTTTCTTCCACGCATGATATTAGCGCTCCATTGGATTGTCTATTGCAGATGAACGGCGCTTGGAAACGGACTAAAGAGTATGAAGCGGCTTTTGGTAAACTCAAGTCCATAATTAGCTCGGAACTGTTATTAACACATTCCGATCCATCCATGCCAATAATCGTAACAGCAGACGCTTCAGCATATGGCCTAGGAGCTGTTATTTCGCATCAGTTTCCAGACGCGTCAGAAAAAGCCGTTATGCAGGCATCTAAGAAGAAGAAGAGGCTCTTGACCTTGTGTTTGTTGTTCTCCGTTTCCACAAGTTTCTCTACGGTTGGAGGTTAACGCTTCTCACAGACCACAAGCCTCTGTTAGCAATATTCGGTCCTAAATCTGGCATTCCAACCCATTCTGCAAGTCATCTTCAGCAATGGACCTTGGTACTTTTGGGGTATGATTTCGAAGTTCGATATCGACGCCCTCTACAATTCGGTCAAGCAGACGCCTTGTCACGACTCATTGATGATCAAGTGGCGGCTGAGGAAAACATGGTGATCGCATCTCTGTCAGTAGAAGACCACGATGAATATTATCTGACAACCGCGATTCGCGCATTGCCGGTGTCTGCAACAGACATACAAAATGCTCCTAGAAACGACGCCGTCATCAAGATGACGATGAAATATGTCACTAATGGTTCGCCGTCGAAGAATTTTGAGGGTGACATGAAGCAACTGTATCAGCGGCGGGATTCACTATGCATCGTTAACGATTGTTTGATGTTTGGTGAAAGAGTAGTGGTGCCAGAATCCCTTCGTGCAAAAGTGCTGAGACAGTTCCATCTTGGTCATTCAGGGGTTAAACGAATGAAATTCATAGCTAGGAGTTATGCATACTGGCCACTAATGGATCAACATGTCACAGCGTTGGTTGAAAAATGCATGCGGTGTCAGCAGGCGGCAAAGATGAATGCCGAAATTCCGCCGGTTTCATGACCCAAACCTGAGCATCTATGGTCCAGGATACATGTCGACTTCGCTGGTCCAATCAATGGAACTATGTAATTAATTGTGGTCGACGCCTTCTCAAAATGGCCAGAAATCAGCCCCGTAATGCCGCTCACGACAACTAAGACAATACAGCTCCTCAACGAAATTTCCTCTCGAAATGGCATACCAGATGTGATTGTATCTGACAATGGGTCTCAACTTACCTCCACACAATTCCAAACTTTCTGCCAACGGCTAGCCATTAAGCACTTACGCTCACCACCATACCACCCGCAATCGAATCGGCAAGCGGAAAGGTTTGTGGATACGTTTAAAAGAGCATTGGTTTAGTCCAAAGGGGAGGGGACGCCAGCCGATGCGCTACAAAATTTCTTGTACGTCTATCGAATAACACCAAGTGAGTTGTTACCGGAGCAAACGTCCCCAGCAGAACTCCTGATGGGAAGAAGACTGAAAACGATCCACAGCCTGATGCATCCGACTAATGCACAAACATCAGAAGAGACAAGGCAGCAATGGCAATCAACGTACGAGGTGGGACGCCCTGTGTTCGCCCGTGACTGCAGAACAAATCATGGTCTCTGGGTAGAAGCGCAAGTGATCAGAAGAGTTGGGAGAATTATGTACGAAGTGGAGGTCGGAGGCGAAAGGTGGTGACGCTATCGAAACCAGATACGCAAACCGCCGGCACCAGATCGTCCATCAAGAGCAGGAAATCTTCGCATTGACATCCTGCTTGATACCTTCAAACTACCAGCAGTCCTCCACGAGAAGAAACTCAGTCACAAGCTGATCTACGTCCCCAAAGGTTTTGAGTTACAAAAAGTACCATCATATGGAATAGGTCTATGTTGATCCTCCGAATAAGATTCGAGAAAGCAAGAACATCAAGGCAGCAACCAATATCAGCTGAACAAGAACAGAGAAAGCTAAGGCAAAGCTGAATACACACAAACAACCAAGCAGGTGGTGAGGTGCATTGAACATGATAAGCAGAAATATTTAGAAGATCCAGCAACGACAGTAGAAAAAGTTGCATGAGAACGAAATCCGAGACAACTACATGATACAACGAAGATACTCGCAAAAAATTATTCAGTCAGTCACAATGTAGAACTTCGTACGTAAGTACATGAGTTCAAGTTGCTACACAACATTAGCACATAGAGATCAAATTTTAAATTCAAATCGCGTAGTATTAGAAATAATAGCAGTATTAGCAGTAATAGAGAAGATTAGGGTTCGAAGATATTATTTGAGTACGTTACAGTGGAATCAATTTAAAAAGAGAGACAAGAATTTTCGAGACAGTTCTTCTGTATGAAGCGGAAACTTGGAGAATCACGAAAGCCATCATCCAAAAGATACAGGTGATTATCAACGGGCTTCTACGCAGGACCCGACCGTAGCTGCTACCTTGACGTGGTGGTCGGGCTTGCCTATCGTGATAACCCAACCGAGCTATACTGGCTGAAACATATGTACCTGCAGGTCCTACCATGCCAGGCTGGTCGATTGGAGAACGATGAGACTAAAAACATCTACTCAAGGTCTGAGGGCGAAGTCGTACTGCTGACTGCAGAGGGGTGTGACAGCAGTAAGGTGTTTCCCTCGGACAACCAGCATCTGCAGCGATGCTGCCTTCTCACAAGGAAGGAAGGGTTAGAAATGGTCGACCCTAAAAATGTCATACCTCCCTTAACCGTCCCCTTGGGTCACGGTGCCCACTAAGGGCCTTTAAGAACGGAGCTAATCCTCTAAATACCTTTCATAAAAAGGCCGTGCGTGACCGGCCTCAAGCAGTTGTCCCTTGGACTCTGCGGTCACGCACCCAGGTCTCCAAGAACAACACTAATCTATCTTCCTTTTCAGGTCCCTCAAGAAACAACCTTCCACGGTGTGGGCAGCCGGGAAGTGACAACCGCCCTCATACCCGTAACAGCACGAGAGACCAAATTGGTCGAAATCAAATCCTTCCTGACTCTACGCAGGATAATCCAGATCCGTTGGTCAGACACCATCAACAACAACCTACTGTGTGAGACAACAAATCAGATTCGAGATGAGGAAGAAATTAGGAAACAACCCTGGAGGTGGATAGGACACACATTGTGGAAAGCACCCAATTGCCTCACAAGGCAAGCCCTCACTTGGAAGCCGGAAGGTCAAAGGAAAAGGGAAGACCAGAGAGCACATTACGCCGAGAATCGGAAGCAGACATCAAAAGAATGAACAGCAATCGGATAAGACTGGAAAGGAAGGCCTAAAGTAGAGTAGGTTGTAGAATGCTAGTCGGTTGCCTATGTTTCATTTGGGGCAATAAGCCTAAGTTAGTAAGTAATAAACCTGTAGAAATATTTCGAAGGTAGATCATACTATATGTATATTTTAGCCAAAGTAATACACTGTTTGTGTAATAGGGTTCAGTCGTCTTTTCGGATCGTTCTGTATTATATGCAATATTGGATTGGAAATTAGAATCGACGAAATAGCACAATTGAGAGATAGTATGAATAATTCGAACACTTACCAACATATAAAGTGTTAGGTGGAAGCTCTAAACGTTCCAAATGTGCATAAATTAACGCTCTAGCTTTCACAGAATACGGTGATCCAACTATGGCTTTCTTAAAAATTGTGAAGAATGGTATTTGCATAATTAACTAAAATTTGTGTGAAAATAAAAAAATTTAAATTTATGTAAAACTTGACTGGATAACATTAGCAATGAAGTGAAAAAACTAAACATAGATAACATCTTAGTCATCCAGTGTTGACTGCAATTTGTAGATCTCTGAACACTAAGCTAGATAACATGACGCTAAAGTGATCACACTGTCTGATGATATAATGTTACTATCACCGTAAAACTCCCGTTAATTATGTACAATTTCGATAAAAAGAAAAACAACTAACCGGAGGTAATTCAATATTATCACTTGGTCGACAAATTATTTCCTTATTATAATTTGGATTGAATTCAAATGCGTTGGATAATACTTTAACAATGCGTGGCATTGCCATGTAAGGTGAACGCATAAATGTACCACAAAAATATCTTATTGTGTCCAACATTACATTGTTATTACTAAATTTCATTGTATTATACCACCAAGCACCCTGTAAAATATGAGAAAAACAAAGGAACCACTGAAGCAAAAGTATCACCGTTAGAAATGTTAAATATAATTCATTTAACTGTTGAAGGAAACAGCTGTTAAACTGAGCTATGTTGATTAGTATAGACTACAAGTATGTGAGGACTGGTGATACTATCCAGTTATTCAAACTGAAGTAGATGAAGCACGGTTTGGACTAGCAACTCAGTGGTTGAAACTGAAATGCCCTAACGATTGAGTCAACACACGAATGAGAGAAGTAGTGGTTAAAATGGAATATAAAACTGTGAAATGAAATCCCAAACCAGTTTGTGATTAGTTGGATTCGATCTAATCATAGAAGATTGATTTATTACAAATAGTATCAGCGTTGATAAATTGTTATTACTAAACAGTGGCAAGCATCCTACCTATGTTTCGTAAAGTGGGATACAAGTAAAGATTGAAATGTGTCAGTCACAAGCAACGTAAAGCCCAGGACAAATGTCCGTTGGTTTAAGTTCTTACACTATTGTTAGTCCCAATATATCAATTGGTGTAACAGTACGGTAAACATACATTAGCGATTGACCACAGAATTTATTATTACAGAGGCCATATACTTCGATATTAATTACAAGACATCTTTGTATCATGGTCATGAGGTAATGCAGTGAAGGGCGCATGTTAACGCCAGGACGAATGGAACAGTTTTAAGTAAACGAGATGAACATGCTATTAGCTGGAATGAACGATAGTAAACTCAATATGCTTGGTGCAGCGTAACATGATTTAATTGTCTGAAACAAGGTAACAAGCAGAACGATATTTAAATGTGAACCATTTTAAAGAATTCATTGTGAATGGTTGTGAACACATAGTATTTTGACAACGGTAATTCCATTAGTAAGCTGTTGAAAGATTCAAATACAAGTAGTGAGATTTCGAATAAAAATTATTTAAACGAAAACTGATTCAAATGATGTGCGACAGTAACTTGCTTGAAACGCATTGCTCGTGTATCCTGGAACAACCGTTTACAAAACTGTTTACAACGTTTACTACTCCTAAAGTTTGTATGTTGGTATGAAACAAGCAACATGCAAGTGATTAAACATGGAAATGCTTTACCATATGTAGTTGTCGCATTTTAGGAACTCATACCAAAAGTAGTGAATTAATGCAATCGCTCAACATTTTACTGTAAAAATGTTTTTTTTCTGTACAATATTTATTTGACTTCGTGCGTGTATGTGGGCATTAAAGTCAAACTTTAAAAATATGACAAAGCAATGGGCTAGTAGATTTTGTCACGAAAAAAAAACAACGGTGATAACATACCACAGAAATCGGTAATATTATTATGAACAATAACATATACGCTCCAATAACCTGTGTGTAAAATAGAAATGAAATAAAACAAACAAAACGTAAAACTGATTACCGGCAGGAAATTAAAAGATTAAACAACGAAGTTTACCACACGGTATATATATATGTATATATATATATATATATGAATGTACGACAGTAAGCTAAGCACTTGATTTGCATCACCGAATGTAGAGTACACCAGGGAAATTCAAAACAAAGTATTATAATTACTAAGTAAATAAGTTTGTGATCAACTAGAAAATCTTGATGTTAAGTTGTGGAAGGTTTTCGGTAAACTTTTCATGAACTAAGTTGCGTGCTAGTTGACATTCGTTATATGCAATGATGAAGGAACAGATAATCCCCGAAAAAATTTGATCTAGTGTCACCCAGATTTATAGCCAGCGGTGACATTATTATTGTGTCATTCACGCTTCGACCTCGTGTAGTACTGAAATATCCACATAAGCAGATCACTGAGCACCGATTAACTCCACTCGAAATTTTAACAGAATAAAAAAGACTACACTGCAATGTGGACACTAGTTTAAGTAACTCGGAATTCAGAGCACTATTTAGATGCTAGGTGCTTATAAGGAGAACACCAAGTACTAGATGAGATAGACAAATAATCGTATCAAATAAATTAGACAAGCAAGCATAAGAAATAAATATTTTAAGACAAAAGAATGAATTAAAAATATAGACGTAGGGTAAGAATAAGACAAATTGACAGTTAGTAAACATAACCAGGCTAGATCAAATTGGCACCAATAAATATATACATTGATAATGTGAAAGCGTGCTGTGTTTACAATCTGCTTCACATTTTAGTTCAGTATCTTCTGTGAAACTGTAAACAATGCAGGGTTTATGTTTACAGAAACATTATTCCTGCTTATCAACTGATTAACGAGTAGAAATAAGTTACCGAACATCCTCTGTTTCAAGAGTCTATAATAACAACAATAAAACAGAAAAGTACAGTTTGTACATATATGTCATTCAGCTAACATACCAGAAAAAAATTCTCCTTTTGAATCATCCACTTAGGTAGCGCAATGCCAAAATGGGCAGCTGTTAAAGGGAAATATAAGAATTCAAGTACATCGGTTTTCGTTTTATAACAGCTTAAAAGATAGTTTGATCCCGGTGAAAAGGAGTAAGGATTTTAACAGTTGCTTTTACAAGCTATGACATGAGTAAGCTTAATCTTAGCTTGTGCTTGCGTGATGATGATAACTAGTAGTTAGTCTGAGTAAGAGATTAAAACCGTTTTCAGTGGCATAAGTGAATTCATTCTATCTTCACTTTTATCCTAAGTTTTCAAATTTCTTGCAAACTTTCTCTGCTAATTTATATTTTATTGAAAACGTTCTTTAGTATCTAATCTTCATTATCACCAATTCATCTATTCTAGGATTTGACCTCACAACTTTATCACGGTATGTGCTAATCGGTATGTAAATATGTACCAGGTGCTACATTGTTTGATTAACTGACTTCTAAATAGCGCTGTAACATGAATGGATGAAGGTTGGTCGATTGAAGATGAGATAGACATAGTAATTTTTTGGTGTACATCTAAAGAAACATTTGACTCTTACTTAAAATACAACTTCGCAAAACACTAAATGTATTCTTTGAATAAAATTGTGTTACAGTGATACATCGTATATATATATATATATATATATATATATATATATATATATATATAAGTGATTGAATGAAAAGTTAGATGGAAGTATTAGATATTGTGTATAACAGACACACAGTTTTTCAAAAAGAAGCGATTATCTTGAAGTTATTTGCACATAAGTATATATAAAAAATTAGATAGCTTTACAAGCACCAAAGAGAATGGTGTCAATACAGAATCTAATTAATGTTTAGTGAGTCTATAAACTATTATTCGATAAGGTTTATTTGTGAAACTCTTCCAATATTCAACTAGTAAACTACGGGTGCGAACCCTGGCCTAATGCATAATTTTACAACTGAGTAATGTATAATTTAGTAAGTGTACTCTGAGCTAGACAGTTTTGTTGTGAAGTTTTCGTCCTTCCGAACATTACTGTCATGGCATACTTTACGTGAATCAACTACCCCACAAAACTATTATCGTGATTCCTCAAGTTGGTTGGTGAGTGTTATGTCAGTAAGTTATGTTTAGCATGTAGCATGGCGCAAGTGTGGTTTCATGGAGATTGCCACACCACGATAGCACAACCAGATGAAATAAATAAGACGAATGGCATACAACCGAAATAATGTGGTAGAAATTATCATGAGGAAGACTTAATAATGACGATAAAGTTTGAAAAGATAATGAGGCGATATTTTTACGCCTGCACGTAAACACGCCAACTTGATATACTTGAACTATTACGAGTTTACCCAGACAGAAAACGAGAGCGAGGATCGAGGATCCGGCGACACGACATGCTACTCAAATCCGATTATCCCAACCCCCATATTGAGTAAAAATAAGAAGACTTGAATGTGAAGTAGAACCTGTATTCTACAAGCATCCAGAAAGTACGAGGTCCGAATCCAGAAGAGAATCAGGATCCCAGACTAGGGATCCGGGACCGGGTCCTGGTCCTGGTCATAAAACGTTACAGATAATGCGTATTTATACATTTTGGTCGAATAGGAAACAGCATCGAAGTCTGTGACATTGGCAGTTAGGACGACCAATAGGAAGCAACATTGATAGTCAGGACAACCAATAAGAAACAACATTGGAGCACGTGACATTGATATCTAGGACGACCATAAAATTACCCGTAGGAATTAACCAATAGGAATAGATCAATAATCGTCTTAGGATATTGGATGAATATCCTAACAGATATATATGAAGTAACGTGACTCAAGGTTTACAGTAATATATGGAGATGGGTCTGCGCTACCGTGATCAGTTCTAAGCTGTATCAGCTAACACCAATTTTCGATAGCGGTTTTCGTGCAGGTTCCAGACAGTTAGCTTGCATTTACCAACAGGGCTTAGACCAGCGGTCAATGACTTTATGAACTAATGCCAAGTTTTCATTGATTAAACCATTGTTTTCCTTCAGCTAACTATTACAAGACCTAACATCGGCGTCGAGGTAAGCATTGGTTAGTTATTCGTGACACATGCGAAATATGAATTAATACGGGTAAGATTTAATTAGGCTTACCACCAGGACCGTCGGGATTACCATATTCTTCCCAATTTTTCCTTGATTCTTCATTGGTAAGGCTTTACAAATGAAACAAACAAAGCAGTAAGTATATATTTAAATGGTAAAAAATCTAACTACACTTTTTAATGAAGCTAAATGGGATGAAATAGTCATCTTTTAGGTGTCATAAGAATTTACGCATCACTAATTTGAGCATGTTTGTTGATCAATCATTTAGCTAACAAGAAGATAAGTGAATAAGTTTCATCGGTTATAAGTATAATAAGGAATGGTCTCCAAATACCTTGATACACCCAAGTGGGAAGGGTTCGCCCTGTCGCTCGAAATGTGACCATGTGTATATAGCTACCGCTACATGATGCATCTAGAAGAGTTGGAAAACCCTCGTTCCTAACCAATGATACACATAGGCTCCAAGATTTTGATGGAACGAATGGTGTATGGACCTATTGTTTGCCGCCAGTTAACATGGGACTACTGTGTGGATCACAGGTTCAGGTCTAATGCTCGGGAAGTTTCGGCAACATCTCAACCCACTCACAAATTTAATAAAAGTTGTCTAGTGTTCATCTAACATAATATTGAAATTTTATTAAGTCACGTTTAGTTTATAAACGATAAATTATGACAAATCATCTGAAGAAAGCATTAGTCGCTTATTCATATCCAAACAATAAAAATACATATCAAAAACACAAAATTGCAGTGAACATAAAATACAGAAAATTAAACCGAAATTCCATCGAACAGAAAAAGTAATGGAACAATCCTGTTGAATTGGCAGCCTTTCATTTTGAAAACACTACACAAACCGATTCACGAAGTTATAAGTGTTTACTATTTATCAAACCTACATGTCAAAAATTTGCTTGTATATGTGTATAAACACTTACCAAACAACAATACGCACTATAAGACACAATGACGACCAAAAGATAATTACATCTCAAAGAGTAAGGAAACAGACAAACATAAATCATCATCACAGAGCTTGGAAGAGATGTATGTTGGTCCAAGTTGCCGTACCACATTGGTACAGAATGAAAACAACATAAGTGAACAAAATAATGTTTTGAAGATAGGAAAGTGATTTGGAAAGAAATAGGAAGGGTATCAGTGAAGAGATAGTGCAATTCAGCATCAACAGGAATATAAGGAGTGAATGTTTAATGCCTTGCTGAACTCCAATTCACTCCAACGATGAAGTGGTGAAACCTCATCAGTTGAGGTGGTTGGGACATGTCTTGCGTATGCCGAACCACCGACTGCCTCGACGAGCCTTGTTTTGTAGTGTAGGAATAGGTTGGAAGAAAGCTAGGGGCGGCCAGACCAAAACATGGCACAAATCCATGAAGTCATTGACAAGTGGACTGAGTCATGTCGGTAGTTGTCGACTACTTGGTTGGGGTCCGCGAGATGATAATAATCGATGATTAGATACACTGAATGACATGGCTCAAAATCGTTCGCAATGGCGCCGGTGCATTTATTCTCTGTGTTCTCTCAAACCCTAATCTTCTGGATTCTCCAACACCTCTAGTTTTGACTTTCTAAACTTTTCTCACTGAATCATATTTCTTGAATATCTTCTCATCCTAACCTCTCCGATTACTTCTAATACCTTTACTACCTCTACTACTATTGGATTTGAATTGACGATTACTTCTCTGTGCTGATGTGGTATGGCAACATGAACTGATGTACTTACGTACGAAGTTCTACGTTGCATCTGACTGACTGGCTGACACAGATTTAGATATTCCAGTACGACCCCAAATACTCTTTCCCAAATTCCAAATATACCAGAACACAACTCCGTTAGATGAAAGTTGTTTATGGGGTCCGAATACAGTATAATAAAACTTTACAGACAATGCACATTTATTTAGTTAGGACGACATTAAGTATCGACTAATAGGAAAACGTCATGTGACGTATGTGAAAAATCTGGAAATAGGTGAAAACACGATTTTACTACCAATGACGGAATTAGCCTTACAAAATAATTTTCAGGGTACTTTTATGAATATCCTAACACATACCGCATTAGCACAGAGACGCGACTATTACTTCCAGTCCCATAGTAGTAGAAATAGTAGAAGTATTAAGATTAATGAAGGTTAGGGTCTGGGGATATCATTAAAGAATACAATCCAGTAAAATAAATTTTAAATGAAAAAGACATGTCATGAGGAATTCAAAAGGTTAGAATTTGGGAGGACACAATGAATGAATGCACCTGCCATCCATTGCAAACGATTCTGAGCTATGTCGTTCAAGGTCTCTAACCACCGGTTACCACTGTTTAGCGGAGCCCAACCTCGCAGTATATACTCACTAACATGGCTCAGCCAGATTGTCAGTGACCTGATGGATTTGTGCCATATTTTGTTTTGGCCACCCCTAGCTTTCTACCAGACCACCTATGCATCAGACAATATCACTGGTCCAGGTAGTCGGTGGTTGGGCATACGTAACACATGTCCCGACCACCTCAATTGACGGAGTTTCACTACTTCATCTATTGATTTGCAAGCCTTGCCTAGTACTCGTTTCATAACGACAGCATTGCTTGCTCTGTTGTCCCAGAATATACGAGCAATGCTTCGAAGACGTCGATGATCGAAGATAAGCAACCTACGAATGTCTTCTATTCTTACCGGCCACGTTTTGCATCCATATTGTAGGGCAGAGCAAACTGATGCTCAGTACACTCGTCCTTTGGTTACCAAACGGATATCTCTCCTACGCCATAAATGACGCAGGTTGGCAAAAGCCAGTTGATCCTTCTGTATCCGTGCTGAGATTTCGTCAGTCACTAGGCCGTCGGCACTGATGAGACTCCCGAGATAAGTGAAGCGGTCTACACGTTCGACTTCTTCACTTCCTATCACTAGTTCAGGTGCAGCTGCAATCCAGTCTTGAAGCAACATTTTAAAATGGAAATATACATTATATACCCTTTTGTACGAGGAAAAGATCTGCAAATAGCTCACTGACCTATTCTTTTTGGAATACCTAAACATTTCAAGACACTTAGCTATATTTTGGAAGGTATATATGGACTAACTGTCGTGGTTAATTTAGTCAACTTAACAAAGGAGGGAAAACGGGTTGTAATTTACTAGGTAAGTCCTTCAAACTAGTTTCGGGTTGTCCGATTCTCCATCTTCTAATACTATATTCCTTGCAATAACAGATGGAGGTAGACACGTGTCAGTGTTTCAAGTTGTAGTTTAATGTAGGGTCATTAGCTAAAGTATTTGAATAAGAAACCTCAAACATGAAAGTGTAATCGGTTACTTGTGATACAGCTACTTATTTATCAAAATTAATGAAATATGAATAGTAGTGAAACCAACCACAAATTAACCACTGAGTCAACGAGAGAAACTACCAAACAGCTTGTATACAATAATAAACTTCTCAACAAAACAGTTGAATGAACGACACGCTGTAAGCATCCCATTTGCTCGATGAATCGTTTTGAAAAAAAACGTAAAAACAAACATGACTAACAACTGTGAGTTTACAAGTTTCTAACTTTCAACAAGCTATCATTACAATAATCTAAATCATACAGCTACTGTAACAAACTACCCATCAATTGTCGAAATACAACTTTTGTAAGTGGTAAGTCTTGATTTTGAGAACATTGAATACTACTTCATTGTCTAAAATGCGAGTCATATCTCCTGAAAGGTTTGAGGAAGCACTACTCTGATGTATCCAATGTTTCCAAAATGACAAAAACCAAACTCACGCATTATATGCTTTTGTGATTTGTATGAAACGTCTGGTGTCACCACCTTTATCAGGATGGTTTAATAAGGATAGTTTTCTATAGGCATTTCGGATATCTTTAGCAGATGCATCCTACAAGAAAAATTAATATTTAATACGCTGTTACCTTGTCTATACCTAAAATCAAAAATGGGTCAAATCCAGAGTTATCAGGCTCAATCAGAGTGAGCTTGTACACAAGTAATAAAAATATCCCCCAACCAGCAACAAATAAAGCCTTTCTACAAAATATATATATAAACCTATAACCACCAACATTGTAATTTTTTTTATATTTCTCAGTGCTGTTGAAGATTTTATTTGATGTCTTTTGAGTTGACAAGGTTGACACATACATTTTCTTTTACACTGTTCAAATGATTCTGAACTATCTCAATATGTTCAAGAGAGTAATACCTTTGAATTCAAACGGTGGCCAACAGAAATAAGTCAACGGAATTAAAACCAAAGTGTAGAAGGCAGTCAGGAAGCAGAGGAATGTATCTCCACTCTCGTCAAACTCGAAGTGGTCAACTGGCATTTTGCAGCAAGGACATACACCGAACAGCCCGCGCTGATACAAAATTCAATATCTTTTTCATAACCTAATATAAACGGATTGATTACTTTTCACTCGATTCTTGTTCTTCCGGTACGGTTCTGGGTGTTTGGTGGTGTCCAATAAGTCAGATTCGAAACTTTCTATTCTCAAGATATGAGTGGGTCAGTGAACCCCATTTCCGCAGGCTTGGCGATTGGGCGTGAGTGGGGTGCTGTGTCAAAGGCTTTCGCAAGGTCAAGTAATAATAAGGGCACTGGTATTTTACGGTCCAAACAGGATGTCCAACCGTCCCATGCCATCAGAAGATTAGACGCGCACGACGTGCCTTTCCGAAACCCATTTTGAGCTTCGTGGAGTATTTTGTTCTTATCCATGTACTCCCACATCTGTTCATTCACCAGCCCTTCCATTACCTATGATAGTATTGGTAGTAATGCGACTGGTCTGTAACAGACTGGGTCCTTTCCATCTCCTATTTTGAAGATTGGGGAGAGAGTAGCTTGTTTCCATTCATCTGGGAATTTGTATGACTCCAGTGAATGCATGAACAAGTCACATATCGGTGAACAGAGGACTTCTGCACATTGTTCCAAGACTATGGGCCGAATTTCGTCGCAACCTGGTGACTCACCTGGGCGTACGGATTTCAGTTTCCTTAGTAATAAGTCGGGAGTGATACGGATGTTCCCTAAGCCGTCAGCTAGCAATGGGTTGGCGTAGTACTCTGAAAATGTGGGCGCCTTGTTTAACTGATCGGTGAAGTTTGTGTTGAAGTTCTTAGAAATCTCTAGGTTGGTGAGATCTTCAATATTTTACCTTTTTATACCAGTTTAATCTGATTACACACAAACTAGTGACCTTTGTTTACATGTACCTGCTGGGAACAAAAGATCCCGAGAACTCACTTGGAAAAGTGACCAATTTTGGATTTTGTGTTTTCGCTCTTTGGCTGATCAGTTCCTTGACTGTCATTGATTGATGGTTTATTTAAGAACGCTATTTTTGTGGCGCTCTGAAGGATGTTTATACCATGTATAAATCAACTCGATTTGTTTTCTTGTCAGAGTCGTATTTTCTAGGTGCTTGATGAATACACTTTCTACCCCAAATCAAGACTTCTTGGTAAAGTTAGCAGGGCCAGGGAAAATCGAATCGGAACAACCTACCTTGTCATCGCATCATTGCTTCGCCCTTGTTTAGCGAGTTGTGTGAATTGATAATAACCTCAAGCATATCAGCATCGGCATGCGACTATTTATTTCTCTGGGTATCGTAAAACATATCATAGAAAGAATCCGCTGATAGGTTTGCGTCTATGCCGGCGAGGTCAAAATTTGAAGATCCGTTACAAACATAAAAGAACTCGCTTAAATTCAAATGGACCTCATATAAATTTATGTATGTGTGCAAGGCTGTTTTAAAACAAGAAGTACTTGAATGCAAGTTATTGAACACACACACGTAGATTACATTCTTTCTAAACGTACCTTACAGGTCATTACTACATAATGGTATACCCTACTATGAATCATACTGTTGGTATAATCTAGACGGATATGGATATAGCTCTTGAACGAAGATTAATTGTCTGACTGAAACCAGAATAAAACTTGGACACTTTATCCAACACTGTTGCGGCAACTGGCTTCGAAATCGCAAAGTCATGCAGTACGAGGGCTCGAAACGTTCGTCATATTCGTCTCCTGGAGCCCAACAATGTAGCCGATATCCATCAACAAGATTCAGTTCACTTGTCAGTGACATCATGCATTGGTGCCATCTTTGGTTTGGCCGCCCCAAGCCTTCTCCCGTTCTATTCCTTCACCACAAAATATAGCACGATTGGTGTTAACCTATAAGCAACCGAGGAAATCAGCATGGTCATTCGGCGGCTCAAAAAAAGAATTAGCACCATGACTAAACAACATACCATCTTAGATATTAGGGGCAGACATTGCTGTAACTGTGACTATATTCCACGCTCCCTTCAACAGAATTCGGGAGGAATTAAAGTGCAAACATAATGGAATTGAAACCTAGTCAAGATATCCAAGGAGGAACATCCGAACGAACATCAGAACTACAGAGAAATTACACTACCATCAATACCAAAGTTATCAACAGTGCTTTAAATCGAATATAAGATTCCGTGGAAGACCGATTTCAAGACTGAAAGGCTGAGTTTATCAGAAACAAATAAGATAATGACAAAACTACCGAAAAGCGGTCGTTTTGAACCTCCGAATTAGATTCGAGAAAGCAAGAACATCAAGGCAGCAACCAATATCAGCTGAACAAGAACAGAGAAAGCTGAGGCAAAGATGGCTGATGGCGATGTGATCTAGTTGCGTCCAACGTTGAGAAGACTTTGGAGGTCGCCAGGTCAACAGATGTTTTTCCTTCTGCCTAAAGTTAGTGTTTGCTAGGAATAGGCGGTTGTCTGAGCATACTTGCAACAGACAGTCGCCATCGTCTGTTCTCTGGCTATGAAGAAGAAAATACACCAAATACACAAAACGTTCCACTTATGCTATACAAACAAGCACAAAAATTACTTATAGGACAGGAACCATATGGAGCCAGGATCATCAAAGCATCCATCAAAACAAAGAAAGAGGGCATTACAATGAACGTCATTCAATGCTATGCGCCCACCAACGATAACAACGCAGACAATAAGGGTGAATCATATGGGAGACTGCAGTCAACCGTCGGGAAATGTCCAACAAAGGACTTGACCATTCTAATAGGAGACCTAAACGGAATTGTTGGAATGGACAACACTGAAAATGAAGACATCATGAGACGAAATGGACTGGGAGAAAGGCCCGAAAGAGGTGAAGGTCTCAAACATACATCCTTTAAAAAAAATGGTCATGTGCAGTACCATATTCCCACATTAACGCATACGCAAAGCTATTCTGATTTCACTCGAAAAAACTACGCAGAAACAAATCAATCAGATATATAACCATATAAGGTTCAGAAGGACCGTGGGAAACATGAGAAAAAAGAGGAACTGACAGGTGGAAAACGCAATGAATTCAGGTTTTCCCTCACCAACAAGTCACGAGCCTTTCACGATCAATTAAACGAAGAGGAAACAGTTATGGAGAACAATCGGAAAGAGATCAATGAAACAGTAACTTAAGTCTGCAATGAGGTTTTGTGTCACAAAAAGTACCGTCATATGGAATGGGTCTATGTTGATCCTCCGAATAAGATTCGAGAAAGCAAGAACATCAAGGCAGCAACCAATATCAGCTGAACAAGAACAGAGAAAGCTAAGGCAAAGCTGAATACACACAAACAACCAAGCAGGTGGTGAGGTGCATTGAACATGATAAGCAAAAGTATGTAGAAGATCCAGCAACGACAGTAGAAAAAGTTGCATGAGAACGAAATCCGAGACAACTACATGATACAACGAAGATACTCGCAAAAAATTATTCAGTCAGTCACAATGTAGAACTTCGTACGTAAGTACATGAGTTCAAGTTGCTACACAACATTAGCACATAGAGAAAAAGTTGCATGAGAAGGAAATCCGAGACAACCATATGATACAACGAAGAGGTTTGCTGAAGAATATCGAAAACCAAAGCGACCGGTGAAGAACAAGAATGGCAAACCAATCACCAAGATCAAAGAACAGCGAAACAAATGGGTAGAAAACTTCGAAGACCTCTGCAATAGACCGACCCTCATGAACCCACCAAACTTCGAAGCACCACCTGCAGACTTCCAATTGATGTTCACCAACAAGCGATCGAGAAAATCAGCACGGCCATTCGACAATTCAAAAGTGGTTAAGCACCACTGTAGATGAATTTTCTACCGTAGCAGTTCAATTTGTTTCCAGTAAGTGCAAGTCGAACGCGTTATCTCCCAACCCAATGTCAAAAACACAATAATTCTAGGAGAAAACGGTCTATATTATGTTAAAAAGGGAAATACAAATCAATACCTGACTTTTGATGCACCTTCCAAGTCCAATTACTCTCAGGAGTATCCGAATTAAAAGGGGTAAGTGCTGTTAAATCCAACCGCCACAGTATCAATCCAAATATGGCTGTAGCCATATTAAAGATCAAATTTAAACAACGTATATACAGTTCAGAAGCAAACATAAAAACTTCAATATAAGTACAAAATATAGAAATAATAACAATATACAATGATAAAATCTCAAATTGGAATCAAATGAAATACCAAAATGTCAACAAAAGAAGGTCCGTCATGTCATAAGAAAAATACGTAAACATGGAGGGATTTTCCAAAAAACAAAACATTCAAAAAGATTCTACAACCACAACTATACAGCGTACCACCTGAGGTATTGGGAGCACACATAGCGGTAACTGCTAAGTCAGACAGTCAGTTAGAACGTAGAAATTCGTACGTATGTACATCAGTTCAGGTTGCCATATCACATTAATACAGAGACGCAATTGTCACTTCAAATCCCATAGTTTTAAAAGTAGTGGAAAAATTAGCAGTAATCGGAGCGATTAGGATTCGACGATATTATTCAAGAAGTATAATTCAGTGTAATAAACTTAAAAATATAAAGATAAAATGATAAGGAATTCAGAAGGTTAGAACTTGAGAGAACACAAAGACTGGATGAACCTGCACCGTTGCAAACCGTTTCAAGCCATATCATTCGGGGTCAATAACCAACGATCACTATCGTTACGCGGACCACGGTAGCCTACATCTGCCAATATGACTCAGTCCACTTGTCAGTGACTTCATGCATTTCTGCCATGTTTTGTTTTGGCCGCCCCTATCGATGAGGGAATCGGTCGTTGAGCATTCGTAACACATCTCCCAACCACCTCAACTGATGGAGTTTCAATACTTCATCAATTGATCTGCCATTCTTACATAGTACTTGTTTCCTAACAGCAGCATAGCTTATTCGGCTGCCACTCGATACTCCATCTATGATCAAAAACCAGTAACCTATAAATGTCCTCTACTCTTATCGACCATGTTTCACAGCCATATTGAGTAGGACGGAGCGGACCACCGCACGGTACTCTCGTCCCTTAGTTGGCAAACGGATATCTCGCCTGCGTCATAAGTGACGACAGTTTGCAAAAGCCAATCGATCCTTCTGTATCCGTGCTGAGATTTCGTCAGTCAACAGGCAATCGGCACTGATGAGACTCCAGAGAAAGCGACAAGGGCTACCAAGCAGGTCATGAGATCACTCTACTATCAATAGCATTAGGCCTCAACAGGGTTTCTGAACCGAATGGACGATTCCGCAGAGATCGACCATGTATTGACCGAATCACGACATAACGAATCATTGTGGAACAATCTATTGAATAGAATTCACCTCTTTATTTGAACATTGATTGATAGAAAACATTCGACAGCTTGGACAGGATTACACTATAGAGGTATCTTCAATAGTACTGTGAAGATTAGATATTCGATATCGTACGCAATTAGACTACAAAACCCTATACGAAGTACAGCTCACTGAGTCGTTTCGAGTGAACAACGATGTCAAATAATGTTGCTTGTTCTCACTCTTTCTCCTGGTGGTCGATTGAATTTTGGAGACATCAAAATCTCAGGAGAAGCATTGGATGCGATAGAAAGCTCAAATACAGCGGAACGACCTGGACTTCACAGACGATCTGGCAGCAGTAGGTCTCAACATACATCAAGGGAAAAGCTAGATTCTCCGATAAAACACAACATGCCCCAACAAAATCACACTTGACGGACAGGCATTGAGAAACGTGACAACCTCCACATATCTGGGGAACCTCGTTGATGAACAAGGTGGATATGATGCAGAAATGAAGGCACGGATTAGCAATGCAAGGGCAGCATATCTAAGATTAAAGAACATCTAGAACCTAAACCAACCGTCAACCAAAGTCAGAATTTTCGATACAACTGTCAAGATAGTTCTTCTCTATGGAGCGGAAACTTGGAGTGCCACGAAAGTCATCATCCAGATGATAAAACGGTTTGCAACGGTGCAGCTTCATCCAGTCTTTGTGTTCTCTCAAGTTCTAACCTTCTGAATTCCTTATCATTTTATCTTTATATTTTTAAGTTTATTACACTGAATTATACTTCTTGAATAATATCGTCGAATCCTAATCGCTCCGATTACTGCTAATTTTTCCACTACTTTTAAAACTATGGGATTTGAAGTGACAATTGCGTCTCTGTATTAATGTGATATGGCAACCTGAACTGATGTACATACGTACGAATTTCTACGTTCTAACTGACTGACTGTAGATCACATAATCAGCTCCTACTCAACCGATCGAGAACCAAATTTGAGTGATATATTAAAGTTATGGATTATAATGTACAAAGGTTTCTTTCTGCTCTCCTTAAACAGCCACTGCCAATGTTCACGTGATATATCAGTTTCTTTTCTTTATCGTTAACGTATGTACTGTTCACGCATAACGGCTTGCAGGAATTACTTAAGTATATCTTTTTCATTCATTCAAATATTTTTACAGGAAAGATTCCTAACCGAACGTTTTCGCACTCAAGGAGGTATGTGTTTATGCATATTTGAACCAAATACGTTTATTTAATGCGCCAAACATATTAGTAAAAACATGCTACCCACTTAGCATATTTTAATGATAAATTGACCTATGATATGACTGAAATGAAAAAATATTCGTTTGTACTGAATTATGGAATTAACTGTAATGTACTTGCTACAGACATTGGGATATTGGTAATGGTAGTCAGAGTAGAGGATACTCGTAGGTTACTTGTATTCGAGCGTAGGCGTCTTCAAAGCAGTGCTCGTGTATTCTGAGACAATGGAGTCAGCAATACTAGTATTAAGAAAAGAGTACTACGCAAAGATGGTGAATCGATTGATGTAATGAACCCACCAAACAAGGTGGATGTGATGCAGATATGAAAGCACGAAATTGCAATGGAAGGGCAGCATATCTAAGATTCAAGAACATCTGGAACCTAAACCAACTGTCAACCAAAGTCAGAAATTTCAATGCAATAGTTCTCCAGTACGGAGCGGAAACTTGGAGTACCACGAAGGCCATCATCCAGAAGACACAAGCGTTCATTAACAGGCGTCTAGGAGTATGATCCTCTCCTCAGGGCCAAAGAAGAAGAGGAATATCAGAGGGTAAATTACGCAGAGAATTAAAAGCAGATATGAATAGAATGAACGGCAATTGGCTAAACCAGGAAAGGAAGGCCCAACAGAGAGTAGGTTAACGGCATCATTAAGGATAACAAAAGTAAATAAGAGGATTTATTGAAAAGAATATTATTCTTTCATATATATATGTTTGAATATGATGGGAATTTTACTGCGATTCAAATGCCTTAATGGACAAATATTACGTTTTGTTCCATCCGCTCCAGCCTTACTCTAACTTACTACAATAACAAATATCAAGTATTGAAGTAAGCTGTTATTAGGTATATTAAAAAAACGTTCGAACCATCTCAGTCGAAAGAGATTCTCTACCACATCAATGGATTTGTGATCCGCAGCTAGGGTCATACACCTGACCAAACTACTGCTCACTTAGTGATCACAACATACGCGAATAATACTTCAGAGGCACTAACAGCCTACAAATATCTCCAAATCTTGATGGCTACATTTTACTGTTTTAACGTAAACCTATGCTATGACTGACAGACAGATATTTCACCTACGCCACAAGTGACGTAAGTTTATAGAAACCAATTAAGCTTACTGAATTAGTGCCGAGCTCGTTCTATAGAATAAAGAATAAGTGGTCGTAATTATCGTCAGCTTACTTTCGGGTTGCCTTTTACACCAACCAAACAATGTTCTTTGCCATGATTTAACCAATGTCCTGTACGTCCGGTGCGAATTAAACGTTGCAACTGATTAGTTTTAACCCATATGATCTCATCGACACGTTCGTAACCCCATAAGCGTAGGCATTCTCGACCAAGTTCCATAGCCCTGTGTAATTTGACATGTAAAAAAATAAACAATGAGTTAAGTTTCAATGGGCTGATTTCGTGTTTTGATTTGACGATTATAAACGTTTTTTCAATTTGCTACGCTAATCAGCATTGTATGTTGAAACAGATGGAGTGACAGGTAGTTGTAATCTTTGGTTTACTTTTTAAAATAGGAACTGTCCAACCTGAAACATACAAAAACTGATGAGTGGAGCTCGACTAGCTCCAAATCTCTTGGATTAGAAGAACAAAGCATTGAGCTTACTAGACCCAATTTAAAAAAAAACATTCACTGACCTTCCAGTTACCCATAAGAATATATAACCATCATCTTGTAAACAAGGTATATCTAAACGTCTCATTTCATCATCTGACATTGTTCCATATGGCAGTTCCATGTGTATATCCCATGGTGGATCAGCCATTATCACAGCGAATTTTCCAAGAATTGACATATTTATCAATCGAATATCACAGTTAACCCACTGGAAGAAAAGCGGTAGTAAAAAGTAGAAAATCAGTAATTTAAGTTTCAGTATTGCGTATGCAGTGAAATTTTACTTTCCCGAGGTGGGAGTATAGGCAGTCCGGAGAGCTTTACTAGTTAGAACCACAGGCTCCTCAGTTGTACACGGTCATGCAATTACCCAAGAAGTGCACTTTGAAGCATTTGTTCGGGGTACACATTACGGTGTTTAGTGTACCAATGATGTGTAGAAACAAAAATTGTTTCCGAAAGTCATGGGAAATCATTATTTATCTTTGATATGCATATTCAAGATTAGTTCAAAATTCTTTCCGAATGTATGCCCAACCAATTAAATGTAAAATATCTAATGGTTGTGTATAAGTCATCACGCTTCACAGTAAGAATACTAAGTTTGAGGGCATTCGGCGCTTGTAAATATACAAATGGTTGAGTGACAGTTCTTAAATAAATTGTTAGATTGATAAGTTAAACCAAAATTTGGAAGAAAAAGGGCATAAAAATTATTACAGTATCCTTAACACTGACTTCAATTATGTAGATCGATGGTTAAAGATTTAGCAATAATTGTTATAATATTAGCTTGATTCATTACCATATATTTGATTACAGTGAATAATTCTGAACAGATTAGTATGATGGAAATCCTGTTTTGTATGCATTCAGTTCCTCTGAGAATGTTTATGATTAATATTGCCCATAAGAAATTTTATTTCACTGCACAATACATTGAATATATGAGTTCTATGAAAATGGTCTCATTTACCTAAACGACAGATAAAAAGGAAAATATGACAACCATTCTGGTTGGTTCTACCTGAATTTATCAGTAGTTGGCAAAAATAATCAGTAACTAAGATAGTCTTGCCTAATAGATCAGTGGCTAGTAACCAATTAATAAGGGATTCGCTTGAAATTTTAATGAGAAGCCATGATTAGTGAAGCTTAGTCGTGTGAGACGGTTATGCATCGAAAGATGTTTGCGAAATATTGCAAACTGATTAGGTCTAGACAACTTGACCATCCAATGCTAATTTAGTGGTTTAAAGTTTCAGCGCTTTCTGAGAAACACGAAGTTGTTTTGTTCGCTCCGCAACAAGGTATGATTGCATATTGCTGAGGAGTCGTGATCCTAAATGATCCAACAAGATTTTTATTTGGTTGATCGAAGAAAGATACAGACAGCAGAATGACATGGTACGAAGAAATTAAAAGAGCTTTTAAAAAAGAAACTAATTGATAATATCACATATCACCTATTGGATTTTAGAGGATTCAAGCTACCTCATTTGTATTGACTGACAAAAATACATATACCTAATTTTCCTGTCAGACCGATATTATTGATTATTATCGAAATCATGAGTCGATCGATGTTAGACTAGTATGAAGCTCACCGGGAGTGCAAATACACCACCCACTGCAGCAGGAACAGAACCCAGGACCTTCAGTCTTGGGTGCGGATGTCTAACCGCTTGACCACTGAGCTGACATCCGATGGTGATAATGTTCGATATGAAGCATTGTTGCTTAGGGTAGTCAGAAGAATTTCTATTTTGTCAGCGACTTCACCAAGCAGGACTATGTTTCGGCATATTCTGAGTCAGCGAGCGATTTTCCTGCTGAAAATTCAGACGAGGATATGGTTATATCTAAGAGCATGTCTATCCCAAAATTGAACAAGAATGGGGAAAGTTGACATCCCTGGCGGTCACCAATTGAAGTAAATAGTTCCAGTGACAGTTCGTGTTGGGGATGTTAGATCTCCAGAACTCGCTTGGTAAATATCTTTAGTTTGGATTTATTTCATGGACCAATCAGTCTTCCTTGAGATCACATTTCCTACTAGGAAAATCCTTGGCTGTGATTGGTTACTGTGTAGTAGCTGGCTGTTAAGTGATTGATTATCAAGTGTTCGAATGAGTAACAAACCTGTTAAGATAGCTACTGTTTGGAAATCTGGAACTTTTTTCGAGTTCTATCTAAACTCTTTTTGAAACTTACTTGAATAGTTGTCGATTATAAGCCTACCCCTTCTTGAAAATTTAGTTATTGTGTTCTTATAACATCTGACTTACGTTGATATGGCTCAATCCTGTCGGTCATAACTTTCATCGTTGAACCTCTACAACTTATTCACTAATGAGCCTACCATCAGTAATTCAGACAGAGATTTGAAGAGCATAGACTCGAGAATTCACTGCTAATGGGTTCTAAAAAGAAATAAAAGATTTAAAAGTATTAAAACGCTTTTGAAAGTGATTTTCGGTTATTAAATAATTTCAAGAAGTGAATAGCGAATACTGAGTAAATATCATTTTCCTCTATATATATTATCAATGTTTACGTGTTTATTTACTTAGGCAGTCAAGTACAGCAGTTTTGTCCTTATGGTACTCGTACTGAATGCTCGAAAGTCAGAGCTCGAAATGGTGATAAGAAATGGTGCACAAAACTTCATTTTCGTAAAATTATACATCCACATACTGACGGTAAGTATATATTTTATAGATATGTATAAAGGCCGTAAAACCAATGCATAGCATCATCCATCAAGCAGCTGTTGTTTTCAACCACGCTGTTTACCATTGTGTAAAGCAGAAGACAATTACGGACATACCAGTTGTCTTCCAACCTCATTTATTTCTGACTTGTGGTTTTACTGAGTTTGTAATACGCGGTTTGAAAAGTATTAGAAGACAGGAGACTAATAGAAATAAGGAGTTTTAATTACCAAATCGACCTATAATGTACATAGAAATTTAGATTGTAGGTGCATGATTGACTTTCTCGAGTAGTGTGCTTCATTCATTATTGATTTCATATTGTTAACCTTTTAATGATTTAGGAGCACAAACATATGTCTATACCTACCTAATTCATCATAAATAACAATAACATCTGGCATCGTAATATAAATTAGATGAATCTATGTACGAAACATTGCCAACAGCTGTGCTTGTGGGGATTTCGGTTGTTAGTGTACACTTTAATGGGAATATATAACTTCAGTCTGAGCTGTATATGCATTCAGATATTATCAGTTTTTGTCATGATGTTTCACAAACATTTTTCAACTGAACCATTCATAACACTATAGTCAATAAACTCATAGTTGTATTCCGTTTGCACTAACGGCTGCTTGTTTCTAAATCAGCATGGAGAGAGATTCGAAATTGTAACTCAGTAGTTAGAAGTCAATTTCTTCAACTGACGGATTTCCAACCGTAGCTGATACCTTGACTCGGTGGTGGGGTTTTATCTATCGAGCTATTTCGGGTGAAATACCTTTTCCTTTAGGTCCTACTATGCCAGACAAGTCGATTGGAGATCAAAGCTGAAACCAAAAGTATTTAACGAAGTCATACTCTTGACAGTAGGGGGGTGTGACAGCAGTCAGGTGTTTCCCCCCGAAAACCGGTATCTGCAGCAGTGCTGTGCTCTCACAACGGAAGGAGTGTGTTAAACAAGGTTCACACTGAAAGTGTCACCCTACCATATCCCAGAGATTTCCGTCTCCATTGGTAAGGTTTTTTGAGGAGTGAAGCTGATATGTTAAAAAACTTCCCATAAAAATGCTGTGCGTAACTGGACTCTAGCAGTTGTCCTTTGGACTTTGCGTTCACGCTCTCAGGTCACTAAGACTAATATAACCCAACATCCTTTTCAGGTTCCCAAAGAAGAAATATCCTTCCACAGTGACATCCACTCTGATACCTCTAACAGCGCTTGCTCACAATCGAATCCTTCCCCCACCTCTTAATAACTCTTTTCTCCACGAAAAACCTTTCTCTATACCTCACTTTGTCACCGTAAAGAACCGTCGCATCTTACAATTCGTGTGTCTGGAAGCCCCACTGCTGCTTCATGTGATCCAGTAAAGGTATAGCATTGAGGTTCAAATGCAGAAACAGCTCTCTTAGACTGGATTCCAGTAGATAGTTGCTTGTGCACTATCTGACTAAACGACGTAGTAAGTATTCAGTAAGATAGGGACATTCAGCGTTGCCTTTCCATTGTCTCTGCCAACGCTCCTACTAATTACATTTCAGATGAGGTAAAGCAATAATATTTAACGGAAATGAAAGACACTTGGTCGATCTTATGGTGTCGCGGCTCAGTGAACAGATAATAGCGACCGTCTGCTGCAACTATGCTCAGATAACCGCTTATTCCTTGCAAATACCGACTTTAAACTTAAGGGGAAACATCTTTTGAAAAGGTGACCCTCAAAATCGACTCAATGCTGGACCCAACTAGACCACACCGCTGCCAGTCACCCATGGAGAAATTCGATAGAAAAATACCGCTCGTTTTGGAGCGGACGTTTAGATACCAATCATGGTCTAGTACGAGCACGTATTTGTCTGCAACGTATTAGACTTAAAAGGGACAGCAAATAAACCCACTGGAGTTGTGCTCAACGATGAAAAGTCAATAATACATTTAGAAAGCAACTAGATAAACGGTTAGACAGCCATGTAAGTGATGCCCACGGATGAGATTTTTTTGAACTTATTATATCAAGTCTGTACATTGGTTTTTACGGGTTAATACTATTATGTTAAGGGTGTAAGCAGCTGACGAGAAACCGCGAAATAAAATCAATTCATGTTATTCTGCTATGTCAATTGTTCTTAGTTAGCCTTTATTGTGTACAAGACTAATGGTAATCGTGGTTACTAGTAAGAAATGATAGAACTGTAAATATATCTATGTTCCTTAAATATAAAAGTAACAGAATTGAAATAATTTTTCAAGATCAGATGAGGTCTGAAGGCGAAGTCGTACTGCTGACTGTGGAGGGGTGTGTCAACAGTAAGGTGTTTCCCTCGGACAGTCAGAATCCGCAGCGATTCTGCCTTCTCACAAGGAAGGAACAAAGGAACTATGAGCTCTTCAGGTTGGAGATTGCTGGCCAGCAGCCTGTGCCTTACTAGAGGTAGCAGGCCTTAGTAATTAATTACGCGATCGTATCGATAATTCTTCCTAACTTCTGAGAAACACATAACTATTACAATTTTACGAAATATAACGAACAAAAGGATTCTCTAGGAGTATGACATTAGTGGCTTCCAGTGATCTCAGTGCTCGTAAGAAAACTTAAGTTAAGCAACTCATCAAGTTTAGGTCTACATGCACGGTGTAAAGCTACATTGCTAATGAAATAGCTAGTGAGTGATGCATTTCTACTCAAACTGAAGTGCGTACAGCAGAGCTTGGACTCAAAAATTACTGACTTACAATCAAATAAATTAACTGGTAAATGATTACACACCTCATGTCAAGATATACTAACCAGTAACTACCTGTTGAATCCAACTAGACTGCCACATCCCAGTTGTTATTAATTATCTAATAATATATGTTAAGAAATCATGTATTTTAGTAGACTGAACAAACAACATGCATAACGATACTATGGTTACTACTAGTTGTGGGTAACAGCACCGCAGTTAATATAGGCGACTTTTTTATCATATATGTATGACATGCTCCTAAATATAATATTATCTTCGTCTGAATTTTCAGTAGTAAACCTTCTACTAGGAGGCTCGCTTGTTGACTTAGAATATGCCGATGACATAGTTGTACTTGGTGAAGATGCTGACAAAATGCACAGTCTACTGACTACCCTGAGCAACAGTGCAAGCGTGTTCATGATGCGGTTCTCCCCATTGAAATGGGAAATGCTGCTTCAAGATTGGGTTGCATCGGTACCTGAACTAGTGAAATTGTTGAGCGTGTAGACCGCTCCACTTATTTGGAGAATCTCATCAGTGCCGATGGCCTGGTGACTGACGATATCCTAGCACCGATATAGAAGAATGGATTTGCTTTTGCCAACCTGCGTTATTTATTGCGTTTTGTTTTGTAGTGTAGGAGAAGGTTGGATTGAAGTTAGGGGCAGTCACACCAAAGCATGGCAGAAATGCATTAAGTCACTGACAAGTGGACTGAGTCGTGTCGGTAGGTGTCAACTATCTGGTTGGGGTCCACGAGATGACAATAATCAATGGTTAGAGACCCTGAGTGACATGGCTCAAAATCGTTTGCGATGGCGCAGGTGGTATCTTGAACTGCTGTACTTAAGTACAAAGTTCAACATTGCTGTTGATGACGATTTTGATGGTATTTATTATCCTTATTTCGTGTTCGAGTTTCTAAGCTTCATAAGATGGATTCAGCCGTTATCGGACGTAATAGTCAGTTCATAAATTTCCCATCAATTTTTTGTTAAGAAGTGTAATTGAAAACGAAATGGATGTTCAACGTTCATCTTAAGAGTAATTATTTTCAGACTATCCAGGTTGAATCTAATTGAAATTTCTTTTTCCGATATTTGCCCACTTAAAACTCAGTCGTCTCGACTAGTTTAGTGTCACGTTGGTAAATAGTGATGCGACATTTGTTGAGATCTTATTTTTCGTAATAATATTATTATAGTCTTCTTCGGAAACTTTGTCGTAATCGTCTTAGATTCTCCTTCTTACGAAATTCATAATGGGAAATGAGTTGAACACCAAACTATGATTTCTGTATGTGTTGATCACTGGAACGACACAAGTAAACTGGAGACTCGAGTATATCGGAGGTCAATCCACGCATCTAATTCCTAACTACAGTACCAACGATCAAAAACTCACACAATAAACTGCAGCACACATGCAGCACGGTAAAATGGAGAAAAATAATTGATGACTGTCCACGGAAAGAACGGTAACTCACACGATTTCATCAAAAAATATCAACCTAATTCATCAGCGGAAGCGAAATCAATTACAGGAAACAACAAACGCGTCAACCTATCACAGATGGAAGACATCAGAAGCTTAAACGAGATAGCTAAACAAACGATTCGAACGAAAAAAATATGAAATTGCGAATGCCACATAACACAAGATTTTAAGTTATCTAGCTGACAAAAACATATTTATCTTTTCAAACGACTTCACTACGTCGTCCAACATATCTGACCATTGTTTACGACAATAGTTCAGTCCCTTCCCTCCACCTTGGTCACTTCCCAACATACCTCAAACCATTATCACTTTATGACTTCACCTTGATTTTTTCGTAACTAAGTTTAATCCTGAAAAAGCACTTCAAGTTTGATTTTTTTTAATTTCAGAATCTCTTGGAGACTGTTCATTCTTAAATACTTGTTTTCATGTTGACACCTGTAAGGTGAGTGTAAACTAATATATTACGATGTTTATGTTTTCTGCTCATAGCTGGTAAGTCAACCTTCTGAGCCTCTCTCATCTTTGTTTCAGCCAGCTAAATAATAGTAGTGTTCGTAGCCCTCACACAAGTAGAACTGCTCATAGGTGAATACATAAACATATACAGGATAGTTGTTTTACCTCTAATTATATCGTCAAAAAGTTCTGAATGTATGTTGTCAAAGCCGCATCGCCTACCGTGAATTGCCTAGTTCAACTGTCTCTCCATAATTATTGTTTCCATCATTTTCTGTGCAGATATACTTGTGAATGAGTCAATAATCACCACACTGTTACGACTAAATAGGAGGAAAATATATTATGAATCCTTATACTTTTTTTCTTTAATATTGCTAAGAAAACTTTATATTATCTAGTTTTCGTAAATGAATAGTAATTATAGCTTGTAAGGAAATCTGCTGTAGCTTTTTTTAAAATTCATCTTCTATCTGGTGTTACGTGCTTGGTTTTGTTTTGAGCTCGTACACATCATATAAAAAGAGTTATTCTACTAAAATATAGACCGGTTGGGAGTGTTAGGGCTCTTCTGAAAATCGCGTCTTATCTCCTTCCCTCATCTCCCTATTCAATTATGAATTATTAAGGTTGAAGCGTTATAATGCACTAGTATTTCGATTTCTTTAGTTTACATGGATTCCGTTTTGTATTAAAAAAGTCTAGTCAATCGTTATTTATTCGGAATTACCTTAACTATCCCAAAACAAGACAAACAGATATGCAGTTTTCTTTCATTCCTAATTTATTATATGTCAAGTATACCTTTAAGTATAGATAGAAATTACTAATTATTTGAATGTAAATCATATTGATATGATTCTAATCGTGTCCCGAACAAAATTTAATATGAAGAAAATTCATGAGAAATCGTGATAAATCGGTGGGTTTTATCAACTAAGCTGAAAGAAACCAGTCGATGTTTCTATTGAAATTTTAGGAATAAAAACTTAACAGACGAAAAAGTCGTAAATGTTTTAATGTATACAAATAGTGTGTGTAAGGGGCAGAGATTGTAGCAATACAGAGAAATTTTTAAACCCAATTGTATTTACTATTCGTATGACCGATGGTAGCATTTTGTCAGCAAATATACAGCTTAACTTATGTTCCTGACCGTAACTGCTATATTGATGTGGTGGTTGGGCTTGCATATCGTGATGACCCAACCGAGCTGTATTGGCTGGAACATATGTTTCTGTGGGTTCTACCATGCCAAGCAAGTCGATTGGAGACTAGATGCAGCACCTCGATATCTGAAGGCGAGGTTATGCTGCTGAATGTAGAGGGATGAGACGGCAGTAATGTTTTCTCATTAGACAACCAGCGCTGCATCGATGCTGCTTTGTCACAAGGAAGTAAGGGGTTAGAAAAACTAGACCCTAAAAATGTCACACCTCATCCTACCCCGTGGATTCCAGTCTCTGGTGGTAAGGCCATTTGAAGAGGGGAGCTAACATATTACAAATATCTCATATCCGCAAAAGCACACGAGTCCAAATCGGTCACAATCAAATCCTTCCTGCACTGCCTAATAACTGTTATCTGTACGAATCACCCTTCTCGTATTCCCTTATCACCCTGAACCGCTAATGCAAACGATCCAAGTACACAGAATGTCTTTCCTGGTCTGCTAGAACCTTGCTTTAAACAACATGTTTCAGCTTTTCATTTCCGAACCTCGTGTAAATTAGAGAGACAGGCTCCCCAAGCTCGGATTTTAGAATCTCGTACCAGCGATGTATGCCGCATCTCCGAAGCGCACATACAGCTTCACAGAAGTATCATTCATTTGACCTCACCATGTCAAAATAACGAAGCAGCTCAATTTACTCTACGTATATCCGGAAGCCCTGATGCCGCTTCACGTGACCTCACTGGTTTGGGTTCTGCATTGAGTCCTAGCACAGAACTAACTCTCTTCAACTGGATCGCATTAGACAGTCGCGTATGTGCTGTACTACTAAACGGGATAGTAAGGACTTGGAAACATGAGAACACTTGCCGTAGCGTCTTCGTCGTGTCTGTCTATGCTCTCATGGACTGCAGCTCAGATAAGGTTAAAGATGAATTCTACCGAACACCTAACATACTTCAAAAAGTTAAGCCCTCTGATGTAGTGATAGTAGCTCGTGAATTCAATGATTCGTAAGGTAGATGCAGCGAATCTGAAAGACACTTAGGTGGACCTTATGGTGTTGCGACTCACAGGACAGATAATAGCGACCGTCTTCTGCAGCTATGCTCACGCAATCGACTATTTCTAGCAAGTACCAGCCTTAAGCATAATGAATAACATCTTTTGACATGGCGATCCTCAAATTCATCCCAACGTTGGACCCTACTAGCTCATATCTCTATAAGCCACTGGCGGAGGGCCTCGATAGTACACCATTGCTCGTTATTAGACATATGTTTAGATTTAGATCATGCTCACGATGACTCAGACATTTTACTATGTATATATATGAACACTTCAATCTTATTAATTCATTCGCACATTCGCTCGCTAGTGTGCCTGCCCTGTCTGCTTGTGGTCCGCTGTCCCATTTTATAGTGTGCTAAAAATGAACGAATACAACACTTCGTATTTGCCTTCTGATTTATAGCTGTCAGGCGTTATTCGGTGCTGATTGAGTAAACGAGAAAATTATGAAGCTTAAGAACACGTTGAAATTGGCCACCACAACCCCATGTTCTACTCTCCTCACTTATCCGCGCTTAAAACAGCAGTATCCCCAAAGGGGCTGTGAGTAGATGTACGTTGTATGCATCCCTATGCAAATCTGTTCTTGTCCAAACAACTAAAATATGATCCACAAATAAATCTGTCATTTTTAATCGTATTATTCCGATAATTATTGAAAAACTTTATTTGTACCATTTAATGTACTTATGACCACTTGTGTTTATCTGTATGACCATTTGTAGTCTATGTAAACTCAAACAATAGTTTATACAAGCATTCAACTAATGAGTTAAATTCAAACAATTATCAGGTGATACCCATATCAATCCATGATGCACAATGATTGATCCTCACATCAATTCATTCATTGCATTCTGCACACCACTTTGAAGTATATTCAGACTTTCCTTCAGGATATTGGATCCGAATTTTCACATCACTTTGTTCAATGAATTCGTCAAATGGCAAGATAAGTCTAGGGGTATATACGAAAATAAACGCAGACCCTATAATCGTAATAATTAATAGACAGTGGGAGGTAAAATAGAATATGCAACACTATCCGTCCTAGGTAATCAGTTCTCCTAATTTCCGCATGTGTTACTTTACCCATTATATTTTTGTTCTGTTCTTCGTTGTCTTAGTATGTCCATTACACAATCGAATACGCAGACAGCGTTAATCAACAACTGAGTGGTGTTGTTGTCAATCAAAGTTTGTTAGATAAGAAGAAGAACCATCAATATGATGATTATTGTAATACTAGTATAATTTCATCGTCACATGGTAATGCTGATTTTAGCAAATCCCAAGTCAATGTAACTTCAGTGGATTCAACCGATGATGGTGTCGCTGTTAGCGGTGGTGCTGTAAAAGACAGTGGAACATCATTAATTCTCTATCCGCCTCAGGTATTGTGCAATATTATTATATATGTATATGATTTACCTATTTATTTAAACACAAATATCGGTACAAATATGCTTCAAAATAATGTACGCTATACAACGAGGAAATGTGAGTGCGAAGCAATAGAGGGGAGGAAGTGGGTGTAAAGAAAATTATCGAACAGCAAATGAGTAAAAACAAATGGAAGGGAGTGGTAAATAATCATAAAAGCAGTTCAGTCTAGAAAAATTAAACAATCAGAAAGCGTTTCTTGGCAAGCTAGTTTTTTGACGGGATGGGGTCGCCAAACCCATGCCCAAACCTCCTACTTTTTCCTGGCTTGGGACCGGCAGTAGCCCCGAAGGAACTACTGGCGGAGTTTTGGACAAACTGAGCACATAATTTATTAGAATTTAAAGCAATCATACCCTCGAGGCTTATCGTTGATAGTACATCAAGAAGCCATGAACAGTTTTCGTTAGTCTTCAGATTTTGCTAAACACAAACAATGTCAGCGATTTTAAGCAAATTTAGTATAAAATAACTCATCTGATCTTTAAAAATTATTTCAATTCTGTTACTTTTATATTTAAGGAACATAGATATATTTACAGTTCTATCATTTCTTACTAGTAACCACGATTACCATTAGTCTTGTACACAATAAAGGCTAACTAAGAACAATTGACATAGCAGAATAACATGAATTGATTTTATTTCGCGGTTTCTCGTCAGCTGCTTACACCCTTAACATAATAGTATTAACCCGTAAAAACCAATGTACAGACTTGATATAATAAGTTCAAAAAAATCTCATCCGTGAAGATTCTTGGAATGAACAATACGTATGGGTGAACTATATGAGTTTATATTCATGTGCTTAATAATGTGAAATTTAAAGGTTGAATAAAGGAATATTCTAGAATAAGTACATCAAAACAGTATTATTTGGAAATAGGATATTAATGGTACAGTTATGTAACTCTTGTAGCAAAATTGATCAACCGAGTACAGATCAGATAAGAAACGAAGATCAATAATTAGTCACAGAAAATTATGATTGAGCTCGGCATTGTAAAGATGGTCCCTTTTGAATCCGTAGATTTGCTTTGAATATGCTTATGGCAAATGCTTCAGCGAACTCTATTAAATCTGATGTTCGTTGTTGATTAATTCTCGTGAAGGACCTTTAAGTATCGACAACATGACCACTGTCAAGCAAATGGCATGCAATTGATTAGCTAAATACGTGTTGTCCTCGCAGTCTAAGTCTCTGTGAAATGCGCTCAGAGATGCAGACACTTATTGTCCTTTTTGTTATTCCGGGTTTGTACTTTGGCACGTACATGTAAACTAGCAGACAACTGTTTATAAACCGTTTAATTTGTGAAAGACGGTTTCGCTAATTTTCTAATATTTAGCTCTATACAATAGGATTTCCATAATGTTTGTTTCAAAAATCTTGACTTTGATGTTCGTTGACAGTTGTTTTGAGTCTTATTTGATTCACTCATTTCAAACCCTGCCAGGCTGCATTTTTTTTCGCTTCCTTAGCTATTTTAATGGTCCACTCAGTTTCTCAGATGATGCGAACGTTCTGTCTACCAATGTTACTTGTTTCTCTGATTGTCAGGTCGGGCATCGGCTCCGTGACTTCCTAAGAAACTCGGCTCTTACCACGGGGCGTCACAACTCCTCTATGTGAAGACCCTTCAACTTCCAGGGCAGAGTTTAAATGCTCTTTCCTGTTTAACATTTTGTAACAAGTTTGTTTTCTACTGGTTGAAATTACTGAGCCCACCTCGAACCCTTGTCCTATATTCAGGCTTAGAACCAGTGGTAACTCTAGAATTGCTCCATGCGGAGTTAAGTTTGATCACTTACACAGTGTATAGGAAGCCCTTTCAATTTGTTTGTACTACATAAAAAAGACATGTCATAACTTTATTTGATCAACCGTGTATGCGTTTGTGTCAGTATGATGAGTGCATATGTGCATCTCAATTGTTTACGTATCCTAGAATTGGTTATGAGCGTGGGCAATCAATAACTTTATCCACACATTGATTAACACGCATAAAATACACAGACATGCTCCTCACTAATTATTCATCAACTTACTCTCTAGTGTGCTTGTATGTCTTGTGAATCCGATTATTCGTCAACAATAACTGATGTTCTAGTTATCTAATTATTCTTTATCATATTAATAACAATACTAGGAGAATTAGCCTCAAAAAGTACACCGTTAACGGGACGATAGATTTGAGTCAAAAGTATATGGTGGAAATAATCACTTCAAGTTTCATCTATTTAGATTGTTTTTCTTCGAACAACTGATGTATCTGTGAAACTTCTTCACATTTTTCGGTTAGCATTCATATCGTTTGGCATTTCAGAAGCTTAAAATATGTTGTAAAGTAATCATCAAATATTATATCTTGAATAATTAAAATTCTTTCCTGTGTGCAGTTTCGACTTTCCATGATTCAAACTAAGCAATCACTTTATAATTTTACTGGCATAACTTACAGTTGCTGGTAATACCACAAATGCATGCATTCCATTTTCTTTTAGATCCCAAATTTTCAAGTTATTCTACACATTTTATTCCTGCGAAGACGTTCATTATTCTCAAGGCATATTCTCTGTATGTAATCCTTTTTGTCGTCGCTGACACTTACTACTTCTAACACTGGAACATACACTTGACTTTATAATTTCATGTTGCTATACTAATATGGTGGTTTGGCAACTTGAAACGAGTCACATATATATTGGCACTACATTGTGGATAACTAACTAACTAACTGGTACATCTATCAACACTAACTAAATTCGATGTCCAATTTCAATCAATCCACAACATTGGGCGACCTAATCCATTGTCTTTAATGGGTAAATGCTTCATATCGAACATTATCACCATCGGATGTCAGCTCAGTGGTCAAGCGGTTAGACATCCGCACCCAAGACTGAAGGTCCTGGGTTCTGTTCCTGCTGCAGTGGGTGGTGTATTTGCACTCCCGGTGAGCTTCATACTAGTCTAACATCGATCGACTCATGATTTCGATAATAATCAATAATATCGGTCTGACAGGAAAATTAGGTATATGTATTTTTGTCAGTCAATACAAATGAGGTAGCTTGAATCCTCTAAAATCCAATAGGTGATATGTGATATTATCAATTAGTTTCTTTTTTAAAAGCTCTTTTAATTTCTTCGTACCATGTCATTCTGCTGTCTGTATCTTTCTTCGATCAACCAAATAAAAATCTTGTTGGATCATTTAGGATCACGACTCCTCAGCAATATGCAATCATACCTTGTTGCGGAGCGAACAAAACAACTTCGTGTTTCTCAGAAAGCGCTGAAACTTTAAACCACTAAATTAGCATTGGATGGTCAAGTTGTCTAGACCTAATCAGTTTGCAATATTTCGCAAACATCTTTCGATGCATAACCGTCTCACACGACTAAGCTTCACTAATCATGGCTTCTCATTAAAATTTCAAGCGAATCCCTTATTAATTGGTTACTAGCCACTGATCTATTAGGCAAGACTATCTTAGTTACTGATTATTTTTGCCAACTACTGATAAATTCAGGTAGAACCAACCAGAATGGTTGTCATATTTTCCTTTTTATCTGTCGTTTAGGTAAATGAGACCATTTTCATAGAACTCATATATTCAATGTATTGTGCAGTGAAATAAAATTTCTTATGGGCAATATTAATCATAAACATTCTCAGAGGAACTGAATGCATACAAAACAGGATTTCCATCATACTAATCTGTTCAGAATTATTCACTGTAATCAAATATATGGTAATGAATCAAGCTAATATTATAACAATTATTGCTAAATCTTTAACCATCGATCTACATAATTGAAGTCAGTGTTAAGGATACTGTAATAATTTTTATGCCCTTTTTCTTCCAAATTTTGGTTTAACTTATCAATCTAACAATTTATTTAAGAACTGTCACTCAACCATTTGTATATTTACAAGCGCCGAATGCCCTCAAACTTAGTATTCTTACTGTGAAGCGTGATGACTTATACACAACCATTAGATATTTTACATTTAATTGGTTGGGCATACATTCGGAAAGAATTTTGAACTAATCTTGAATATGCATATCAAAGATAAATAATGATTTCCCATGACTTTCGGAAACAATTTTTGTTTCTACACATCATTGGTACACTAAACACCGTAATGTGTACCCCGAACAAATGCTTCAAAGTGCACTTCTTGGGTAATTGCATGACCGTGTACAACTGAGGAGCCTGTGGTTCTAACTAGTAAAGCTCTCCGGACTGCCTATACTCCCACCTCGGGAAAGTAAAATTTCACTGCATACGCAATACTGAAACTTAAATTACTGATTTTCTACTTTTTACTACCGCTTTTCTTCCAGTGGGTTAACTGTGATATTCGATTGATAAATATGTCAATTCTTGGAAAATTCGCTGTGATAATGGCTGATCCACCATGGGATATACACATGGAACTGCCATATGGAACAATGTCAGATGATGAAATGAGACGTTTAGATATACCTTGTTTACAAGATGATGGTTATATATTCTTATGGGTAACTGGAAGGTCAGTGAATGTTTTTTTTTAAATTGGGTCTAGTAAGCTCAATGCTTTGTTCTTCTAATCCAAGAGATTTGGAGCTAGTCGAGCTCCACTCATCAGTTTTTGTATGTTTCAGGTTGGACAGTTCCTATTTTAAAAAGTAAACCAAAGATTACAACTACCTGTCACTCCATCTGTTTCAACATACAATGCTGATTAGCGTAGCAAATTGAAAAAACGTTTATAATCGTCAAATCAAAACACGAAATCAGCCCATTGAAACTTAACTCATTGTTTATTTTTTTACATGTCAAATTACACAGGGCTATGGAACTTGGTCGAGAATGCCTACGCTTATGGGGTTACGAACGTGTCGATGAGATCATATGGGTTAAAACTAATCAGTTGCAACGTTTAATTCGCACCGGACGTACAGGACATTGGTTAAATCATGGCAAAGAACATTGTTTGGTTGGTGTAAAAGGCAACCCGAAAGTAAGCTGACGATAATTACGACCACTTATTCTTTATTCTATAGAACGAGCTCGGCACTAATTCAGTAAGCTTAATTGGTTTCTATAAACTTACGTCACTTGTGGCGTAGGTGAAATATCTGTCTGTCAGTCATAGCATAGGTTTACGTTAAAACAGTAAAATGTAGCCATCAAGATTTGGAGATATTTGTAGGCTGTTAGTGCCTCTGAAGTATTATTCGCGTATGTTGTGATCACTAAGTGAGCAGTAGTTTGGTCAGGTGTATGACCCTAGCTGCGGATCACAAATCCATTGATGTGGTAGAGAATCTCTTTCGACTGAGATGGTTCGAACGTTTTTTTAATATACCTAATAACAGCTTACTTCAATACTTGATATTTGTTATTGTAGTAAGTTAGAGTAAGGCTGGAGCGGATGGAACAAAACGTAATATTTGTCCATTAAGGCATTTGAATCGCAGTAAAATTCCCATCATATTCAAACATATATATATGAAAGAATAATATTCTTTTCAATAAATCCTCTTATTTACTTTTGTTATCCTTAATGATGCCGTTAACGTACTCTCTGTTGGGCCTTCCTTTCCTGGTTTAGCCAATTGCCGTTCATTCTATTCATATCTGCTTTTAATTCTCTGCGTAATTTACCCTCTGATATTCCTCTTCTTCTTTGGCCCTGAGGAGAGGATCATACTCCTAGACGCCTGTTAATGAACGCTTGTGTCTTCTGGATGATGGCTTTCGTGGTACTCCAAGTTTCCGCTCCGTACTGGAGAACTATTGCATTGAAATTTCTGACTTTGGTTGACAGTTGGTTTAGGTTCCAGATGTTCTTGAATCTTAGATATGCTGCCCTTCCATTGCAATTTCGTGCTTTCATATCTGCATCACATCCACCTTGTTTGGTGGGTTCATTACATCAATCGATTCGCCATCTTTGCGTAGTACTCTTTTCTTAATACTAGTATTGCTGACTCCATTGTCTCAGAATACACGAGCACTGCTTTGAAGACGCCTACGCTCGAATACAAGTAACCTACGAGTATCCTCTACTCTGACTACCATTACCAATATCCCAATGTCTGTAGCAAGTACATTACAGTTAATTCCATAATTCAGTACAAACGAATATTTTTTCATTTCAGTCATATCATAGGTCAATTTATCATTAAAATATGCTAAGTGGGTAGCATGTTTTTACTAATATGTTTGGCGCATTAAATAAACGTATTTGGTTCAAATATGCATAAACACATACCTCCTTGAGTGCGAAAACGTTCGGTTAGGAATCTTTCCTGTAAAAATATTTGAATGAATGAAAAAGATATACTTAAGTAATTCCTGCAAGCCGTTATGCGTGAACAGTACATACGTTAACGATAAAGAAAAGAAACTGATATATCACGTGAACATTGGCAGTGGCTGTTTAAGGAGAGCAGAAAGAAACCTTTGTACATTATAATCCATAACTTTAATATATCACTCAAATTTGGTTCTCGATCGGTTGAGTAGGAGCTGATTATGTGATCTACAGTCAGTCAGTTAGAACGTAGAAATTCGTACGTATGTACATCAGTTCAGGTTGCCATATCACATTAATACAGAGACGCAATTGTCACTTCAAATCCCATAGTTTTAAAAGTAGTGGAAAAATTAGCAGTAATCGGAGCGATTAGGATTCGACGATATTATTCAAGAAGTATAATTCAGTGTAATAAACTTAAAAATATAAAGATAAAATGATAAGGAATTCAGAAGGTTAGAACTTGAGAGAACACAAAGACTGGATGAACCTGCACCGTTGCAAACCGTTTCAAGCCATATCATTCGGGGTCAATAACCAACGATCACTATCGTTACGCGGACCACGGTAGCCTACATCTGCCAATATGACTCAGTCCACTTGTCAGTGACTTCATGCATTTCTGCCATGTTTTGTTTTGGCCACCCCTATCGATGAGGGAATCGGTCGTTGAGCATTCGTAACACATCTCCCAACCACCTCAACTGATGGAGTTTCAATACTTCATCAATTGATCTGCCATTCTTACATAGTACTTGTTTCCTAACAGCAGCATAGCTTATTCGGCTGCCACTCGATACTCCATCTATGATCGAAAACCAGTAACCAGAATAGAATTCACCTCTTTATTTGAACATTGATTGATAGAAAACATTCGACAGCTTGGACAGGATTACACTATAGAGGTATCTTCAATAGTACTGTGAAGATTAGATATTCGATATCGTACGCAATTAGACTACAAAACCCTATACGAAGTACAGCTCACTGAGTCGTTTCGAGTGAACAACGATGTCAAATAATGTTGCTTGTTCTCACTCTTTCTCCTGGTGGTCGATTGAATTTTGGAGACATCAAAATCTCAGGAGAAGCATTGGATGCAATAGAAAGCTCAAATACAGCGGAACGACCTGGACTTCACAGACGGTCTGCCCTTCCATTGCAATTTCGTGCTTTCATATCTGCATCACATCCACCTTGTTTGGTGGGTTCATTAGGGTTGGTCTGTTGCAGAGGTCTTCGAAGTGTTCTACCCATTTGTTTCAGTCAGTCAGTCAGTTGCAACGTAGAACTTCGTACATAAGTTCATGTTGCCATACCACATTATTAGCACAGAGACGCAAACGTCAAATCAAATCCCATAGTGATAAAGATAGTAGAGGTATTAATGTTAATAAAGAAGACTAGGGTTCGAAGATACTATTCAAAAAATATAATTCAGTGAGATTAGGTTAGAAAGACAAAGGTAGAGGTGCTGGCTAATCCAGAAGATTAGGATTTGAGAGAGCTCAAAGAGTGGATGCACCTGCGCCATTGCAAACGATTTTGAGCCATCTCGTTCAAGGTCTCTAGCCATTGTTGACTTTCGTCTCGCGGACCACAACCAGGTAGTCTACATCTACCAACATGACTCAGTCCACTTGTCAGTGACTTCATGGATTTCTGCCATGTTTTGGTCTGGCCGCCCCTAACTTTCTTCCAACCTATTCCTACACTACAAAACAAAGCTCGACGAGGCAGTCGGTGGTTCGGCATACGCAACACATGTCCCAACCACCTCAACTGATGAGGTTTCACCACTTCATCGATTGATCTGCCATTCTTACGTAGTACTCGTTTCCTAACGACAGCATTGCTTACTCGGGTGTCCCACGGTATACGAGCAATGCTTCGAAGACATCGATGATCGAAAACCAGTAACCTACGAACATCTTCTACTCTTAACGGTCATGTTTCACAGCCATATAAAAGAAAGGAACGAACTGCTGCGTAGTACACCCGCCCTTTGGTTAGCGAACGGATATCACGCCTACGCCATAAGTGACGCAGGTTGGCTAAAGCCAATCGAGCTTTCTGTATCCGAGCTGAGATTTCGTCAGTCACCAGACCGTCAGCACTGATGAGACTCCCCAGATAAGTGAAGCGATCAACACGCTCGACTACTTCACTTCCTATCACTAGTTCAGGTGCCAATGCAACTCAGTCTTGAAGCAACATTTTGCATTTCGAGGGCGAAAACCGCATCCCGAACATGCTTGCAATGTTGCTTATGGTAGTCAGAAGACTCTGCATTTTGTCAGCGTCTTCACCGAATAGAACTATGTCATCGGCATATTCTAGATCAGTAAGCGACATTCCTGGTAGAAGGTCAACCCCTGAAAAATCTGACGAGCTTAATGTTAACTCTAAGAGGATGTCTACGACAAAGTTGAACAAGAATGGAGAGAGTGGACAGCCCTGACGGACACCACTTGATGTAGAGAATTCAGATGACAGTTCGCCATATGCTCTCACCCGACCAGTGGTGTTCGAGTAGAGTGCTTGTATAAGGTTAATGTACTTCTTTGGTACACCTTTCAATGACAGACACTGCCACAGAACCTCACGATCCACGGAGTCGAATGCCGCCTTAAGGTCCAGGAACACGACTATTGTCGGACGTCTAAATGTGTGTCTGTGTTCCAGGACCTGTCTGAGTGTGAAGATGTGGTCTATACAACCACGTCCAAGTCGAAAACCAGACTGGTTTTCTCGAGTCTGCTCTTCACGAGCTCTTGTTGGACGTCTAAGTATAATCGAGGCTAACAATTTAGAAACTATATTAGTTAAACTTATTCCCCTGTGATTGTCACAAGAGGACTTCTGTCCTTTCTTGTAGATTGGGACAATTAGCGACTGAGACCAGTCAGATGGGATTACGTCCAGTTCCCAGATTCTACATAAGATCTCGGTCAGTCTAACCGTTAAAACTGGACCACCATCCTTAAAAATCTCAGGGGTAAGCCTATCAGGACCTGCCGCTCTACCTCCCCTAAGATTTCCTATAGCTTTCTCAACTTCGTGTAAACCGGTAGGACTTAAATCGATTTGCCATTCAGGATGACTGGGGATCGTGGGCAACCGAAGTGTGGCTGAAGGCCAGTTGAACTGATCCCTAAAGTGTTCTGCCCATCGGTCCAGCCTCCTAGATTGAGAATGGATAATAAGACCATCCTTTTCCGAGATAGTCTCAATTACACTAGGATTCCTAATACCGGTTTCTTTGATAAGGCGGAAAAGTTGTCTAGTGTTGCCTATTGCCGCTGCCTTTTCCATCGCTTTTGCTTTCGACACCCACCACTGTCCGCGGTCGTTACGTAGGCTTTTTATAAGTCTGCGCCTAAGCTGACTACGCTGTTCATCATGCTCAGAGTCAGGTGGGATGCGTTTTCGAGCATCCATCAGTTCGGTGGATGCGACTGAAATCCACTGCTTCATCCTAGCCTTGTGGTTTACCTTGCTAGCAGATACCATTGCTGTTTCCACAGCCTTCTTGATATCATTCCAACCTGCTTCAGGATGGGAATCACTTGCATGGCCGCCTAACTGTTTTTCTAGTTCCTCCTGAAATATTTTCTTAGCTTGATTATCATCAAGTAAAGCCCTAAGAGGCTTCCTTACGGTGTCTTTCCTACGTCCAGCAAGCCTCAAACAAATACGTGCTCGCACTAGGGCATGATCTGAATCCAAACATGTGCCCCAGAACGAGCGACAGTCCTCTATCGAACCCCTCCATCGGTGGCTGATGGCGATATGATCTAGCTGTGTCCAACGTTGAGACGACTTCGGGGGTCGCCAGGTCAAAAGGTGTTTTTCTTTATGCTTAAAATTAGTGTTTGCTAGAAATAGTTGGTTATCTGAGCACAGTTGCAACAGACGGTCGCCATTGTCTGTTCTTTGAGCCGCGAGACCGTAACATCCACCTAGGTGTCTTTCATTTTCACTTAGTCTACCTACTTGTGCATTGAAGTCACCAGCCATTATTACTATATCAGAGCGCCTAGCTTTTTGGAGGAGGTCCGAAAGCATTCTGTAAAACTCATCTTTTACATCATCTGGGCTGCAGTCAGTGGGGGCGTAGGCTGATATGACGAAGAGGCAACGGCGAGTGTCCCTATCTTTCCGAGTCCTTACTGTCCCGTTCAGTCGGACGGCGCACAAGCGACTATCTACAGGGATCCAGTCAAGGAGAGATTGTTCTGCCCTACGACTCAATGCTATACCTACACCGGCGAGGCCCCTAGAAGCAGCATCAGGGCTACCGGATACACGAAGGGTAAATCGAGCTGCTTCTTTATCTTGACATGGTGAGGTCAAATGAGTGACGCTACTCGGATTCTGTATGTGTGTTTCAGGCGAAATCAGATTAATGCTGGCCTGTATGCGCGTTTCCGAGACGCAGCATAAATCGATGGCAGGAGATTCTGAAGTCCTAGCTAATGATGCCTGTTTCCCTATTCGACATAATGTCCGTACATTGAATGCTCCAACATGTAGTTTGGAACGGGGTTTAAGGAGACCAGGAACGACGTTTCGCAAACTCGCATCGTTTGCATTAGCTGTGCACTGTAATAAATGAATGTGAGAAGAGTTAGTCATGGAGATAAGAGAGGTATTAGGGAACGTAGGAAGGATTTGATTTTGAACAATTTGGTCTCGTGTACTGTTGCAGGTATGAGGGCGGTTATCACTTCCCGGCTGCCCACACCGTGGAAGGTTGTTTCTTGAGGGACCTGAAAAGGAAGATGGATTAGTGTTGGTGCGTGACCGCAGAGCCCAAGGGACAACTGCTTGAGGCCGGTCACGCACGGTCTTTTTATGGAACGTTGTTTGAGGATTAGCTCCGTTCTTAAAGGCCCTTAGTGGGCACCCTTACCGAAGGAGACGGAAATCCGTGAGTTAGGGGAGGTGTGACATTTTTTAGGGCCGAACTTTTCTAACCCTTCCTTCCTTGTGAGAAGGCAGCATCGCTGCAGATGCTGGTTGTCCGAGGGAAACACCTTACTGCTGCACACCCCTCTGCAGTCAGCAGTACGACTTCGCCCTCAGACCTTGGGTAGCTGCTTTTAGTCTCATCGTTCTCCAATCGACCTGTCTGGCATGGTGGAACCTTGAGGAACATGTGTTCCAGCCAGTATAGCTCGGTTGGGTCATCACGATAGGCAAGCCCGACCACCACGTCAAGGTAGCAGCTTCGGTCGGGACCCATTTGTTTCGCTGTTCTTTGATCTTGGTGATTGGTTTGCCGTTCTTGTTCTTCACCGGTCGCTTTGGTTTTCGATATTCTTCAGCAAACCTCTTCGTTGTATCATATGGTTGTCTCGGATTTCCTTCTCATGCAACTTTTTCTCTATGTGCTAATGTTGTGTAGCAACTTGAACTCATGTACTTACGTACGAAGTTCTACATTGTGACTGACTGAATAATTTTTTGCGAGTATCTTCGTTGTATCATGTAGTTGTCTCGGATTTCGTTCTCATGCAACTTTTTCTACTGTCGTTGCTGGATCTTCTACATACTTTTGCTTATCATGTTCAATGCACCTCACCACCTGCTTGGTTGTTTGTGTGTATTCAGCTTTGCCTTAGCTTTCTCTGTTTTTGTTCAGCTGATATTGGTTGCTGCCTTGATGTTCTTGCTTTCTCGAATCTTATTCGGAGGATCAACATAGACCCATTCCATATGACGGTACTTTTTGGTGACACAAAACCTCATTGCAGACTTAAGTTACTGTTTCATTGATCTCTTTCCGATTGTTCTCCATAACTGTTTCCTCTTCGTTTAATTGATCGTGAAAGGCTTGTAACTTGTTGTTGAGATCTATCACTCAGTCTGCCATTATCTCGAAATTAAATCATTATATATCCAAATTAACAATCCTCAAAACTATAACTATTCTGCCATTTGTTTTGACAGTTTCTTCTCATTATATTAATTCGATGTTGTAACGTGTACCAAAGTGCATATGCACCAGAGTACATATACATGATTTTATTTCCAGGTGAAATCCTAATTAGATTTTTAAACCGATATTTTCATCTCCTAAAGTGTGTCAATAGAGGTCTCGATTGTGATATAATTGTCTCTGAAGTTCGTGAAACTAGTCATAAACCTGATGAAATCTACGGTATTATTGAACGATTATCTCCTGGTACGCGCAAACTCGAATTGTTTGGACGTCCTCATAACTTACAGCCTAACTGGTAAGAATCTAAGCATTCAATCAATATATGGTATATATATATATACGCATTCGAACCATGTAATTCAGCGTCTCTAGCCATCGGTTACCATTGTCTCGCGGACCTCAACCTCGTAGTCTACACTTACTTACATTATCAGTGACTACACGAATTCGTCATGTTTCGGCTTAGTAGCCACTAGCTTTCTTCCGGCCACCACTACATCACAAAGCATCACTGTCAAGGCAGTCGGCAGTTAGGAATATGTAACACATGTCCCAACCACCTCATCTGACGAATATTCACTACTACATCAATCGATTCGCCATCTTTGCGTAGTACTCTTTTCTTAATACTAGTATTGCTGACTCCATTGTCTCAGAATACACGAGCACTGCTTTGAAGACGCCTACGCTCGAATACAAGTAACCTACGAGTATCCTCTACTCTGACTGGTCATGTTTCAGACTCGTAAAGTAAGACGGAGAGAACTGCTGGGTAGTCAACTTGTGCTTTGGTTGGCAGACGGATATCTCGCCTACGCCATAAGTGATGCGAGTTGGCAAAAGCCAGTCGAGCCTTTTGCATATGCGATATTGAGCAGTATCATAAATCAGGCGAAGTTTGTAATTTCAATGTCAGAGTTTTAATTAGCAAACCGTCTATCAACCAAGTGGTTTGATATGTTTTACTGTAAGAGACACAATCTACACAACGTCAGTTTTGTTCCTGTTACCAATGACTAGGTTGGACGAATTCAACTAATATCGTAGTATATACGTAAAAACCAACTTACGATTTACATTCTCACATTGTCACTTGCGAACCATTTTAAATCAAATTAACTATAGTTTACTGTTCATTTTAAGTTCTTTATTCTCATAAATGTACACATCGAAATTTTTCCAGTGGCACTTATCTTAATGATGTATTACAATTAACTGACTACTTACTATAGTGTATAGTGTTATGTCTGCTGAGGGGTCTGCTCTCATAACTGAAATGCTGTCATATGGCCACACTGACTTCTCCTCGCGGGAGTGTTTGCGAAATCGAGAGGATGAAAAGCTGACAACAGGCGCTTAAACTGTTGGTGGGTACGGAGTCGCGAATCCCTAGTTCCAAACCAATGGTGTGCGAACTTATTGTTGGTCACTGACTACGTTGGGACCGCATCTCCGCCTTGTTTGTTGGGTCTGTAGGTGACAAGTTTCGGAGAGTGGCTCGGTTCTGTCACCTGGGTAGTATCCTAACCCACACATAGGCGTAAGTCAGTAAGTAACAGAATACTACAAGCCAACTACCATTACCAATATCCCAATGTCTGTAGCAAGTACATTATAGTTAATTCCATAATTCAGTACAAACGAATATTTTTTCATTTCAGTCATATCATAGGTTAATTTATAATTAAAATATGCTAAGTGGGTAGCATGTTTTTACTAATATGTTTGGCGCATTAAATAAACGTATTTGGTTCAAATATGCATAAACACATACCTCCTTGAGTGCGAAAACGTTCGGTTAGGAATCTTTCCTGTAAAAATATTTGAATGAATGAAAAAGATATACTTAAGTCCCCTCACGATTGTAAGAAATCATTCGGAATAGCACCAACTAATACGAAATGTAGGTTCAGGACTTCCTGCCAAGTATACCTCACGAGCTTACTGGGGTTCTAAAATGCATCTACGGTGTTCGGCCCAAGCGTTCTAAGCAAAAGCAATGAATTCTTCCTTTTTAATTCTTATTATATTTTTCGTAATTCGATAAATGCGCCATAATAAACTACACAATGCTATTCTACATATTCAACATGCTTCATACTCTTATTCTTATTTTGCAACAAAAATACAGGATCACACTTGGAAATCAGTTGGATGGAACTTATTTAGTTGATCCAGCAGTTGTTGAAAGATTTAAAAAATATTATCCAAATGGTTTGGATATAGAAGTTAAGTAAAAACCAAACTGTATATATTCTGATTTATCCATATATAATTTCTATTCATAAATTTACTGTATATGTTGCGAAATTATAAGAAATACTGTTGTAAAGAAAAAAACTTATCTAATAAAAAAAAATATCACTTGTTCAAGCTACCCTGTTCATTGGTTGATGAAAGTTATTTCAATGTAAAGAATCTAACTCGCCAGTCGTAATAACTGTGTTTAATCCTTGTTGTATCCATGACATACCTAGTAAATCTTTTGTAGATGGACGTTTTTGGGGATCATAATGTGTACAAGCTTCGTAGATTGCTTGCATTTCAGTACTAGGTGGATTGATTTCATTCTTGGTAAGGGAATTACAGATAAACAGGAAAATAGGAATGAATAAAAATCTCAGCAAAAAGAAATGTAAACCTTGATACGATATAGAAGTTTACAATAACACCATATATATTTCCCATAAGTGATAAATTCGAACTTCCCAGGTTCCCTGACTAGAGAAGCAGGAAGTGAGTACCGATATGATTAAAGTAACCTCGTTGTTCATGAGTAAGAGTACAGAGAATTTAACGAAAGAATTTTTTCGACGGAGGCATTCGGATCTGTAGTTGTTTTGTAAATATTTAGGTCGCATCAGTATGATTCAGTCTCTTCTATCTTTCTACAGACTCATACACATATCAAACTATAAATGTGAATGGATGGCTTAGTTAAATGTATAAAATTGAAAAATCACAGTCATAGGTGTTATTATGAGCGGTTCCGAAGTCTAATTGTGATAAATACTAACCCTCCAAATTAGTTTCTTGACCTGGAAGGCTACCGGATAATATGTACGAACTCTCCTGTGTGTATATACTCGACCTTAGAAAAGGAAGCTATTTATTTTCCGACCAATTAAATGGTTTCGCCATCCGGGACGTTTTCTGGGGGTCATAAAATGGCGTAAGCAAATTGATTCGAGGAGAGTAAATTCACAGAAAGTCACTAAGTAATTTCAAAACTCATCATTTATGGATTTCCGTCAGTAATGACGATAACCAGACGGGCCTAAACTAGATAGTCGGTAACAGCCTACACTGCAAAAGACCTAACGAACTCAGCATATTGGGAAAGGTAAAAAGGGCACATTAACCAGACTCAAATTTTCATACCTGTCTGAAAGACTCAACAGAAATGTACGCTTAACGAAAGTTAGTTAAGTCTCTCTTCTAATTCTGACAAGAGTATATAGACATGTCTGGGTGTCTTACGATCCATTGTCATTCACTGTTTAACTAAAGCTCAAAATTAATATCCAAACTTTTCAGCTAGATGCGAATAAATTGCCACTTGGAAATTTTAGTACATAGCTAGACTTAAGTGATTTTCGCCAGTTGTTGAAGAGTTAGGAGTGGCACATTCCCGACAGTTTCTTGCAAAAGAGCTCCAAGGGTTCGTGTTAAGTACAGAAAGCCAACCGAATGTGGGCGGGTTGAATTCAGTTCGTTGTGACTCTCAAGCATTGGGTTTGCCAACAGGATATGATTCTGTGTACTTCACAACATTACACAATCCTACTTAGGCTCATGTATGAGCAAATAAGCGAGAACCAGAGACCAAAAATTGTACTGGTGGTAGCAGGAAATACAGGTCGTATAAAAGCAAGTCGAATGGAAGATCACTATCGTGCCAAATATGAGATTTACTGAACTCCTGATATAATTCGGTCTAACGTAACTATATAGACTAATGTCGTCTTCTGGCACAATTCGCAGACAATTCGTCTTTGTGTGATTTCGCTGATAGAAAATAGTAAAGAAGTTAGTCGGAAAAACCGTTATTTTTTTTAGATCAAGAGCTCTGAAATCTAATTCTTTCAACAAGATAGTCGATATATCTAGGAAAATATGACTTACGTGGAGTTGAGGGAAATCTAGGTGTAGTATTTTCTTTAGTAATATAAGCGAAGGGGGACATCTTGTGTACGGTGGTTGACCAGTGAACATTTCGTACAAAATAAGACCCAAACTGTATACATCTGAAGACCATGAATATCCTGTAAAATCTTGCGCCAATAATTCTGGGCTGTACCACGCTACTGGGTGGCTATATGATTCACAGTTTGATGACTCATGTAACCTCCAACCACGCCAAGCAACATAAAGGAATGGCAGATCGTTTCGTGCCACAGTGCTCCAGGATGGCGGTAGTTGTGCCATACTTCCCAAGCCACATAGTACCACGGTCACTTTATGAGATTTTGGGTTGGAGTCCAATATTTTTCGTATAAGTAGATGTTTTGAACATAAGCCTCGATGAAGTAAACCACTGTTATGCAACTGGTCAAGGCACAATACTACTCGGCCCATAATGGCACATACCAGTTTTTCGCACAAACCACTACCTTTTTGACGCAGAATATCATGCACTGAGCCATAATCGCTGAGAGGATAATGCAATTTCAGTAAACTTTTGTCCAGACAAACACTGGAAGGGAGACTCAAGAAACTGTGGTCCACTCCAACTGCACTAGAAGTTGTGCAATTGTTTTTTACGTAAGTCGATGACAAATTCCGAATCATGTTCATAAAGTCAAGAAGTGTTGAAAGACTAAATCGATCACAAGCATCCAACTGAATTTCCTTTGACCACAATCGTGAATTAGGATTGATGCGATGCTTGACTGCAGGTTGAATATCAGTTTGCCAAGAGATGACTAAGTTTTCACTTGGCGTACTATCTAACGACGATGATCTGTCCATAAAAACTTTTAGGCAAGATGCTAACTTACATGAAGTCTTCGTCGCATATCATAGCTAATATATTTGAGCCGTCAGCTGAAAGGGATGGATGAAGCGGACGCTGTAGAGAAGTAAGACCACTGCAACTTCAACCTATGGTTGGTTCCTGCTTAGCCAGGAGGTACCTCGTGTGCTGGAGGTGTGTGAAGAGTAGTGTGAGATTATCTGGAAGAACGAACAAGAGAAAAAGATGAGCCGACGAATCAGCAAGCACGTGGAATACACTCACAACAGATGAATTAATAGACAGCAACCAGAAATAAAACCAGCGTGAGATCAAGACAAACTGCTAAACGAAATTAGAAGTTGATAGAGCAAGGTTCCGAATGTTTTACACCACCTTCAAACTGAATCCCACTCACTTATGGGCGACCTTGTAAGACTTGATTAAGAGCAGTCATTCAGATTTTGAGCTGTTGGAAGCTAGTAGCAAAATTAACAGTTTGATCTGGCCTGTAAATTGACAAACCTATTGTAACAGGTTGATTTTTGAGACTAAAAATATAATTAACTTAATTATTTCCCCTACTGCATACCTTACCCTCAATTAAAAGCTAGAATGCAACGTAGTGTACTGAAAATCCTTAACACCAGTCCACTCAGCATCCGCTTCATGTATAGGTCCACTGACCTGTCACCTGATATACCTTTCACCTCTCTCACAATCTTCACTACCAATTAACAAACTAAATTCATCCATATATTACTCAGTTCTGAAATTTTATTCATATTAGCATTAGAACTTTATCCTTATTATTCTCCACATTGCAACTAAATGATCTCCCGTCTAGTAATGTGACGGCTGCTGGTGTGGTGCGAGCTACTTATAAGTAGTACATGACGTGAGCGTCAACGTAATGTCTGGCAACAGAAGATGGGGGGAAGATCAAGAAAGGAAGAGTTAGAAAACAATGAAATTTGTATGTAACGCATGAATAGTAACAATGGATTGATGTTTTGCAACAGGAACAGTCCAGTTCTATATGATGAACTGTTATTTTGCAAATGAACGATTTACGAAATGGTTTTCCAATTTTACTGAGTAACTCTGTAATTTTCGTTAAATACAATTCGGTTGCCCAACCTGTGTTCTCTTTCACTACACTGGTATCCAGAAACCTTACTACCCTGAAACAAACGTTTTCGTTTAAATCCCGAGACATACAAACTCACAACCAACTGCCAACTGACTAGAATTAGACAGTCGAGTGGCTAGACCTCCTTCCATTGGACATTACTGAACACCTGGAACCGTACCGAAAGAACAAGAATCGAGCGCGAAGCAATCAAATTGGTGTACACTAGCTTGTGAAAAAGATATTGGATATTGGACTTACCTTTCTTTCACCTAGTCCTGTGAATCTTCGAGAGAAACCGTCCTCATCAATTCCAATGACTTCTACATCTGTTCTTCGAGGACCACAGGTTAATTTTGAATAACAATGTCTACAGTACCTTACATCTTATGCTTCTTTCATCACATTAACCTCTCCATACCTCTCTTCCATTAACGATATTGTTCACAAACAGAACAAGCATAGTAATAGGGCCCACATTCCTACAACCTTTTCTCATAATATTGCAAGCAACACTTCAGATGTACATCTTGCCTCTCTGAAAGATGAGTACTCACCCTTTGTTACACTAATGTTAATTGGTACCCTAACTGTAGTTCCTTGATTATTTTAAACAATCCTTCACATATCCTAATGACCGAAAGTTAGTCGTTTTCCAAAGTTGTTGACTCATACATTCTAATACAGAACTTTGAACTCTTTAGCTGTGACCAGACACTAAAATGGCTGAGGATTTTCTCATTTATATGTTTTGAAATATCGAAGCAGAAATTTTCAGTAATACCGTCCTTCATAAATTGCATTATTCGATATGGCTCATTGTACACGAACATGAATGTAAAAATCTTGCTGGATGCATGTGTTTTGCTCCAAACACAATCGATCGTTAGACGCCTTTAACTCAAATAACGACGTGTTATATGAGGCACTCTAGTTTACAGATCAAAGTGGCAAAATTGGTAACACATTGACTGTAACAGGATTTTTAGCTCGATAAATATAGTTCGCAAGTATATTTCACTTTAAATTAACAATGTCTCTTACCCTGGAATGTACAACACAATAGTCGGCGCGAGTTATGTCGTTTGCGTTGCGACGAACTACTGCTGGGTGAAAATCAATCCGATTTTATCTCAGGACTGTCTATAACAAGGACTGTTCAGGTTAGTCAGTCTTCTCAATTGCGTTCCCTAGATAATGACTTGACAAGCTCCTGAGTAAAACAAATGTAAATTTCCGAGAACATTAAGGCTAATATTTAACGGGTGGAATGAAGTGCTGTAAATAGAATAAAGAAAGGACCGAGCGTCAGAATGGAAAATATTTTCCTGCAAAGGCGGTTTCTAACTCAACAGATACTTTGCAGATAAATAAAAGGTATGATTATTCAGACTTTTTTGTATTAGAACACTCACTGTACACCTGCCGTTTATGTAGATGAATAAATGAGATGTAAAATAATTACTATGAGATCATCAACAAATTCCGGATTAAAGCTTATTCTCTGTCTTTGATTAACAGAGGGGTTATGAATAGCGATGAGAACGTAATTGTTCCATAGACTCCGAGGTGCAAGTTATTGTATTTGACCTGCATCCTTCCTGTCACTTCAGGTTGCTCGATTATTCTACATGCACGATTCTCGCACTTACGCAAGGTAACTGGCGGAAACAGGTGCCAATGTTTCTGTCGCATAGTCTGGTAGCAGCAAGTCTACGCGATGCGAATGGCACTGTCATTCTTGCCTACCGTACACCACTGTCAACGATCCATCAGAAAGCTTGACGACGGTATCTGTGGACGTTCGTTGCTGCCGATTTCCCCATGGCCGTACTTGGTATTGATTTCTCACAGCACTATGAATTACTATCCTATTCACGTAGACTGCAGGTGATCGAGATTCTGCGCTAAACCTGTCCAGCTTACAAGTGGGGTCCCTTCGTATCTTTCGGATACGCAGTCAACAGCACGTGCCATCTGCACCATCTACGTACGAGACTTCAAAATTTCTTGATCTACTAACTTGCGTGCGCTTCGAATTTGACGTGAACTCCCTGACTCTCTTCCATTTACGGGAAACAACCCACTTTCGGGATACTCTATCACCTCCGAAGCTATAAAAAGATGTCTCCATTCATTGGTGGACAGTCTGTAAATATTTTCGGGCAAACGGAACCATTCCAAGTCAGAACCATTGTGCGGTAGGTCTAGCTGCCTCATTCAACTGCTCTTTTTCTAGTTGCTTCGGCAGCATACATACATCCACTCACTCACAAACACAGGACTTGTGGACAAGTTACTGGATAAACGCAAAGTTACTTACTAATACGGTCAAAGGTAAAGTTACAACTTTGGAGTACTTTCAGGCTCTATTCCTTGTAATTTTATTATATATTACTAAATTTCTTCTTTCCTAAACCCCTTTTTTGTGTATCTTGTATTTTAATTATCTCGGTGTTCACCTCCTAATCTCCCTGGTGTCATGTTAAGTAATAAGGTCGCTAGTACACATTACACTAAAACAACCAGGAAAACTTGTAGAGGCATAAACCCCGGGGTTGATAGTGCGTCGAAAATCCCAATCTCGTGCGAACGGGTTGTTAAAAAACCCAAACGGTCAGTCGGTAGTACGCCTCTTAGTGTCCGTACTTTAGGTCACTCAACGCAGACACCACAGAGGAAGCAAGACACCACTCTTATTCCTAAAAAGACCAGTAAGCTAGTTAAGAATAAGAGAAAAAGACGTTCCGAGGCTCAGTCGACACGGTCCAACGTTCAGAAATAGCATAAGGATGACTGTTTTGCCTGCTTATTACCAGTCAAAATCGGCGACCGTGCTTTCGAATACAACTTCTGTAGTACATGGGTACATTGTCACTGAGACACTACAGCACCTAAAGAGTAGTACGGATTCATGCTGAGTCATCCCTGCCCATGGTTTTGGTACATTTGCCCTCGGTGTAGAGTATGTGAGGCCCTGACAAAGCCACAGTTCCCACTCAAAATCAGCCCTAAAGTCCAAACGAACAAACCAAAATCGCCTGGCACTAAACCAGTAAAACAAGTGACCAAGGCTACCACAACCCTGTCTTACACACCGACAAAACTTCTGGTTGTTGTTAACCCCCCAGTATCTGCTAGCAATACAAAACAGTGGGTGAACGTGAAGAAGGGAAAGAGCAACACCCCGACTCACAAGCGGCTACTACCCAAGAACAGGGACGGCAGAGCGAACTCACTCATTTTAGTTAATGTCCCAGTATCGGAAGAAGGCTTGCTAGAAAGTAGGGCTGCCTTCGACAAAGAGCAATGGGATAAACACAGCAGTTAAATTAAGTATAAGAGTCAGTTTCTGATTGCATATTTACACCACGTCACTGACAGAAACAGTATTATACAGCCACATTTTCAATAGTAGAGTACAAATAAGGAAGGAAGGTGCACAATAGGTTCTTTTGGCGATTTGCCGAGACCACTAGTGAATTTGTTAGGAAAGGTCATATGGAACGCGCTTGATACGAGCTGTGATCCAGACAGTCATTTACATAGGGTGCATGTTCTCTAGAGTCGCCAAGGATTCCCCACCGTGAATGGGGTTCTAAAAAGAAGAGAGAGAGAAAAGGCAGCAGTGTGCAAGTGTATATATATAATCAAAGCACTACTTAACCTGTCATGTTGGAGCAGTCAATACAGTATAGTAAGTCAAGATAAAATTCATACTGACCACTTAAATTAAATTAAATTAAATTATGGGAATATAAGAATATAACACACAGATAAAGGAGTACAGCAAAAAGAAGAAAGAGTTGTGCAGTGTCAGGTGGATAGAAGAGAAGTCGAAGTAAGAAGCTGGATTTATGTACGTTGAAATCGAAATTCTAGTTGAAAGAGTAGAGTTTGTAAAAAGAAAACTTTGATGAACAAAATCTCGCACTGT